TTCTTGAAGGTCAATTGAGCAATCATAGGGACGATGTTCCAGGAGTGTATCGGCATTCTTTTTTTCAAATACATCTTGAAATTCTTGATATTGGCTTGGAATGCAACTTGAAGTCTTTTTACCAATAGAAACGGGTGTGGCATAAATAATATATGGTGATTCTTTCATAGCAGCATGCAAGAAAACTTTTACACCTATAAATACGGATTTAATTGAACTGGACTTATGACTCTCTACTTGATTAATTACACTATTAGTTATACTTGTAGAGAAAGTAAGAATTTGGAAAATCCAATCTATTTGAGGGTTGAATTTTTTTAACCACAATAAATCTAAAATGACTGGATTAGAGGGAGATCTAATGATATTAAATACTACAAAACTATTATGACCATTGATTATTACTTCTATAGGAAGGGTTTCGTGAATAATATCTCCAGAAGACAATGGACGACCATCTATGACTTCTACATGAACAAGTTTAGTTTTCTTTACTAAAGATATGTTATGTCGTTTAGTAAATCCTTCATCTAAAAAACACGCTGAGGCTCCTGAATCTAACAAGGCAGAGACTTTGTAATATTTAGGTCCTAAAATAATATTTAATGTAAAACAAGGAAAGGGCTCTAAGGAGAGAATAAGACCTTTACTAGATGTTGTGCAAGGTTTCAGCCGCACGGTCCCTATTGTAGCTGGACAAACTCGTTTTCTGACATATTATCTTCTTTCACAGCCATACTCCTCATTTTGTGATTGCGTCATTTCTTTGGACAATGTTGAGCAGTGTGCTTTGATTCTCCACAATATAAACATAATCCTTCTTGACGACGACAAATCTTTTCTTGCTTAGTAAGAAGTTTGAAATGTACTGCATCAATTTGCATATCCTCTACTTCCGAATGTATGTGTTGAAGAGTTGTTCGTGTTGCCATTGAATTATAGTAACGTTGAGGTCCACTTGTATGGTTCTCAGATCGGAATTCAAAAAAGTGATTGTCGCACTTCACAGCAAAGTCAATTGCTTGACTCAATGTTTGAGGATCAGGTAAGTTGAGCATTAATTTTTTTACCTCATATTGTAATCTGTAGAGAAATTCGCTAATAAGTGCAGCATCATCCCACTTGATATCAGTTGCAAGTTGTCGAAATTGTGAAGCATATAACGTTACTGATCGATTGCCTTGTCATAAAATATGGATCTTATTGGTTGCAACACGAATTGCATCATGTTCTCCATACATGGATCGAAACTCCGCCAAAAAAGCCTCTAGATTATCCAATATTGGATCTCATCGTTCAAGAAAAGATGAAAACCACGATAGTGCTGAGCTTGACAGAAGCGTACTAATAAATCTAACTTGCGATCATAGAGTTGGATAGCTTTGGGATTGAAGTTCAATCACAAGTTGCACTTGATTGATAAATCCTCAAAACTTGGATCTGATGCCATCAAACTTCTCAGATAGGGAAATTCTTGGTTCTCTAATATTTGAAGGGCATTCCACCATAGGAGAAAGGACATGGTTTGGTGCAGATGTTGAAGCAACTCCAACCATTTCTACATCTTCACTTCCTGTCAATCTTGTTGCTCCTTGTGGTGGTAAATTGAGTTGATGCATCGCAAGCATTAACTCCCTCAATTGCTCTTGCATTTGTGCCATTGCACTCTTCATTTCAATAAGTTCTGCCATGATAATACTTAGAAGAGAGAAGATGTCTAATATCACTCAAGACAAATAGAAGAGAGGACTTGAGAACAAAGAAAATACTAAGGACAATATCAGTTTAGAAGAGGGTAATCCGCAACTTCTAATATGCTTATATCTTATCAAGAGAAAGGGATAATCCACTCTTAATCAAGATTAGACAAAGCTCTGATATTGTAGGTGTATTCTTGTCAATCTGTCAAGGACAAGAACTCGATGAAAAAATAATTCAGACAAGTGAGCCTTCACTCAAAGAGAGGTAACAAAATATATATAAACAGGGATATATATTGAAAGAGAAACTGGAATGGCTATTGCCAAAAGACAAGAAAACTAGAGACTCTTGAAACTAGACTAGAAGCAAGAAAGGACTTGACAAGAGTGAAGAAGCCTTCACTCTTGTCTCTATATATACTATCTAACTAGGGGCTACATGGCGACATTCTATAGGACCTCCAATATGTGTTGACTTTGTAGGACACATGCCTTGACTTACAAGGCAAGTTTTTCTACGTGTGGGCCACATAGTTAGCTTGATCTTCAAGTTAACAACATGTGTGGCACATAGCCAACTTGTTGACCACGTTTTTAATCCAAAAAGTCAATTAAAGATACTTATGAAGTCAAAGCAACGTCTATAAAGCTTCTACGAAGCTTCCATATTAAATACTATAGAATTAACTTACTTTTACCTACTTTTATTTACTTCTATCTAATTGTATATATAATTACTAGCTTACATGATTATGTCCGTGACATTTTGTTATTGACTAGGTGAGTCTCAAGATTACAAATCTGCTTTAATTTATTGGTGTCTGAATTTTGATGTTTTGGACAACTTCTAATTTGATGGCCTAGCTCCCAAGATTAAAAATATAATGTCTTTTGTGTCAATATTTGTCGTCTATATTGTGTCACTGATCCTTATAAGGAATCAGTCTCCATTAGTATTGATTGTTGTGCTATAATATTAGATAGTGGCATAGGACTTTGCGCTATAAGTTGTACTCCATGGTTTTTGAAATCTATACTATTAATCTTCTCTCGAATCCTAATTGCCTCCTCAAATGTTTGTAGATCCCTTAATTCCATCTTTTGTTGGACCATAGGTTTCAACTATCATACAAATTGATCTATCATCTTTGCTTTTGAAACATTGTCAATTTCAAGACATATGAACTTGAATCCAAAGACATAATCTTATACTGACTAGCTTCGTATAAGGTTAACCAACTGATCACATGCTATCTTTTCTGCATTGATGGACCAAAATTGATTCCTAAATTTGGTCTCAAATTCCTCTTAGTCACAAAATCGACCTTGAGCTCCATATCTTTGAGCTTGATATTGCCACCAAATGATTGCCACATCTATCAAATAGCTAGCATCATACATAATTCCTTCGGTGGTGTTTGCCTCAAATAATTGGAGGTATTGTCACATGTTGAAGAATCATTAGCATATATCTTCTTGCTTTGAAGTCTCAGACTATTTATTGGACTTACTTAATTTCAACTTAATAAATATCAATTCTCTTATCCTAAAAGCTTCCATTTGTTATTGCAGAGTAGCTACTTAGCTTAGAAAGTGTTCTATCCAAGTCTCCATTTGGGATTGCTTTGCCATATCTTCCATGCTGCAATTTCCTTATTGAATTCTATTACTATAAAGTCTTCTCCTTTTCCAAATGACTTTTTAAAAGTAGCTTATAGTAGCTTCAAAATAGTACATGATATAACGACAACAACTAATCTCCAACCAGACAGTGGTTATCAATACACTACCAAAGAATAGACTAACATTGGCTCTAATATCAATGAAACACAATTGGATTATCTCTAAGATCTAAAGTCCTTCCAATCCATAGCAATATAAATCTTGTCACAATATAGAACAACATAGACTAGAACAAAATTGAATAAAATTAAATAGAAAATTAAATAGAAATTTGAACAAAATTAAACATGAAAGGTAAAATAAAGCAAAAGATAATTGAACAAAATTGAACAAAAAAGTGCAAAACCAAACTTTACTAAGAAAAAGAAATCAAAGCTATATTTGACCAAGCATCCAAATGACCCTAATAGTACTATTTATACTTTGTCCTACCATCCTAAAACTTTCTAAAATATTCTTAATGGTGGACTCCACCTAAATAAGTGCCGTAAATCCTTTCTAGAATGTTCCATGGTGGATCCTACATAAACCACCAACTTAGCTCCAATTCTAGAAACTTCTCCAATATGGCTCCAACTACCTATCTCTATGCATCAATAATACAAATATCTTATCCATATCTCATTACAAAAAATAAATAAATCTATCAATATCATTTTTAATTCTAATATATATTCTAAATAAAATAGCTTTTTAGATTCTTAAAACAATAAAAATAATCTACATAAATTAGTCTTATTATACTTTTTATTCCATCTTCTATCAAAATAAAATGTATTTTTTTTCTTATTTTTGTATCATTTTAACCTACTTAATAATTATGACTTGATATAATAATAGCATTCATAATTTGGAAATTTTTACAAAATAAGAAGAATAAAGCAATTTTTTATATATCTTTGCAAAATATCATCTTTATTTTAAGAATAAAAATAAAATAAATAAAATAAAGACTAATAATAAAACCATAAAAAAAATTGTAACAAAGTTTTAGAAATGTATATAGTATTTTTAATATAAATAATGAAGTTGCTCCCATCTTGTATTAAGATTAATGTACTTTTCTTATAAATAATTATAAATAGAAATAATTTAGGAGTTGTAATTAGAGCTTATCTAATAATTAGAGAATATTCATCTAAAATAGCTTCAATCAATTCTAAAATAGCTTATCTAATTTGGTTTAGTTGATACAATTGAAAATTGAACCAAATTTTTGAATTCAATATTTGCAATCCAATATCCAGTAGTCTAAAATTTAGAACCACATTACAAAATCTTTTATCCATAAATAATCATGTGTTTTAAATAATACACTCTTAAGTAAATATAATTCTTAATGGTTGACATGTCTTATCAAACCTATTAAGTTTGATGTAACCAAAACACAAATTGACATACCTTTGTTGTTTGCAAGTCCTTTACACACAATAAACTCTCATCCAACAACTTCAAGTCTTGGTTCACAAGGATTAGAGCAGCTAAGTGGAGTTCCTCTTACTAAATGTATGTGACGTTCGAAAAAGCAATTAGCAGCTATACTAATTATTTTAAATAATTTTCAAGAAAAATTAGTTGCCTTAACAGAGAACAGTGAGTTTGATCTGCACGAAAATAAATGAGGAATGATTGAGCAAATGCTGACTTTACTAAAATTCTCCATGTCAGGCTGCAACCTGCATCCTGACCATGTAATGACAGTGGCGCAGCGTGTTACAAGCACCATTTGATTGAATTCCATTACTAATGAAACACAGGTTTAAAGAATTAGATTATCATTTATAAATGATGTGGGTGCAGAGCTACTTAGTCCAGATCCCCTCTTTCTTGAGAACGAAATCTACAGCTTCATACACATTATCAACCACTTTGTCAGCAGGATACTTGTCGTGGTTCCCACCTCCTCGAAAGTTGCCACTCCGCACAAGGATGGAGTACCATGGCCGTCCCGCACCAATTGCTCCTGCTATGTCAGTCTCAGGATTATCGCCTATCATGTACAAGGTCTTCAGAGCACCCTCTTGCCTTGCACGATCTACAGGTAGAGGCAACTCCAAGGGACCCACGTTTGGATCCTCTTCTGAATGAGAATTCATTCCTGGTTTAGAATACATCATCCCCGCGATTCTGTGAAGTGATTTGGCAGCCAGATGGTACACAATAGGTTTCGGCTTCCCATATGAAGTATATAGAAGTGGACGTTTTATGAGTTTCACGTAAAGGCTCTCGAGAGCTATTCGAAAGGCGCCCATGCCAAACCTAGGAACTGGAAATTTGGTCGAATACTCGAAGTCATCTGCTGCAAAATATAATGATGGTTGAGGAAGTTGGGAATCAAGTTTTCCTGGATATCCACCAGCTCGGAGCACATCGCATAATACCTGCTACAACAGCACGTACATGGTTAACAGCAGAGTGAAATCTAAAAGGCGTCAGTTGTAAATACCGCTATCTTTTCACCTTTAAACCAATTCCAAGTAATTAACGTGCGTGATCACATAATCAGGACTCCATGAAGTCGATACAAAACTGTTCTATTAGAAGCAACATTTCACTGCATCGAAATGTTCACTGGATTGCATTTCAAGGTGATCATTTGATTTCAAGATGCAGCCTGGACAAAACTTGGAAAGGTTCACTGACCTGAATATCTCGACTCCAATCAACTGGATCACTGCACACGAACACAGCTGCAATCTGCCTCTCAATTTCAGGCATGAGCATGCCGTTGGCATTACTCTCATACTTTGCCCAAGGCTTGTAAGACAGTAAGGGATCGATGTGCGGGAATTCCCTGAAATAATTGTCCATCTTTACAACCGTTCTGAAATATCAACATTAGTCATATCAGAATGACGTTTCTGTCTAGACTTACAGAACGCCAACACAAGAAGAAAGTCTCAAAATGTGATATACGATACGTACACTTTTTGTTCTGGAGTTCACACAACTACGTGAGAAGCACCACATAGCAGCCGATAAATTTTAAAAAATAAGTAACAAATCAGGGCCAAATGAGATAAGAATGTAGATGATTCTAAGAAATCGCACTACAATTTTGTAGAAACGAAACATCTAACCAAGTGCACAGTTACAATACCACTGGGATACAAATATTGCAAGCCCTTAGCCTGTCACTGAAAAAGCAAAATAAAATCAACTTACGAGAATCCATAGCTGGTCAAAGCCGTCTCGGGTTCTCCTTTGCCAAGAGACAATACCTTCTTTCCTCTGTATCTGCTTCCATAAACATTATCCAAGTGTGTAAAAATGTAAAGTAGAACTAAAACTGCTTCTGCAGAGTGGGTTACGTTGACCCAGATTGAATGAAAACAACTACCACGAATAAACTATTGCTCGAATATCAGTAATGCGCTGTAATTTCTAAACTATGACATGGAAGCCAAGTCGGGAACAAACCGCTGTGCAAGGGTCTTGAATGGAGTGTGACCTAAATGAACCTGCGAAACTCCACATAACTACCAATCAAATTCCAAAGCCCTTGCCGTTGAGAAGGGCTCAACGAGATTTTTTGAAATCGATTTCTTCACTAATCGCCACGCACAATTCATCTCACATATTGATCATAATTGCTTCAGTGGAGAGCAACCAGAGGTTAAGGGAAAACACCTGAATGGGGTTCACAGGGACTGAAAGCTGGCGAGTTAGCTCTTTCGCTCTGGCTGCTTCAGTCATTCCCCCACCTGGAATAAATAAGACTTTCCCAGTTATCTATTGATCATATTTTTTTTCAAAGAAATGGATCAGACCTCTACACCAATTTAAAACACTTTCTAATCTATTTAAAACAAAAAGTCAAGGGCACACAGTGAGCATTGGGCTAATTCTGTCTGTGCAATACAAAGTGAGAAGCATACCATTCGTGAGAAATACGTATGGCACCTGAAGTTTCCCTGCACAATTGCACTCCGAACCATTACTTCATGACTGCGATCTCGATACATTGCGCACAAAGAGATAAAGGATGCTTTAGGTTTAAAGATGATCATCATTACCTGTATCTACGTCTTTATAAAGGCGTCGCAGAGCTTCAGGGGCTCTCTCTATGGTTTCACTGCCTTGTATGAGAACGCCGTCTATGTCAAATGCTATGCCGAATGCATTCCTACAGGTGTACATTCCACAGCTGAGTCATGTCAGAGCAATCAGTCGCAAGATCATTCCACACTATACCACATAAACCCTCCGATTTATCTCTACTTTTGTTTATGTCTTTGGTTTAACCTTGCAGATGAGCGAATCACTCTTTGGACAGCATACAACGGGTTTCTGTTCAATAAAACAAAATATTTTTTGACAAAATCGCGGATCACTGAAGACACTTCGAAGTCTGCACTGCTCTTCGAATAATCCTCCGCATCATAACCTAACGCAGAATCACCGAAAGACCGAAAGAGACCGAGACATATTTCTACTCAATATCCTGTAATTCGGGAAACCGCGAGCGCAAGGCCGTACGCAGAGTAATGCTATTATTAATAAGATGCAGGAACGAAGCATAATAAAAGTTCTATCAACGAGTACGGTTTAGGAAAGCTCTTGGAAAATCAAACCTTGAGAGGTACAATCTCTCCAGATTATACCGCTGCATCTGTTGCGATGCCTCGCCAAACTCACACATACTTCTGCACGGCTTGGCAGAGCGAGGCATCCATGCTCCCCGCCGCGACCATCGCAACACTCGGATTGCAGCCATAGCAGCTCCACCTCCACCACCCTCATCCAGAACGGCTCATTTGTGTGCCACGCCTTAATTCGCCTGATCAAGAGGCCAACACATAAAATTCAGAGTCAAACTCTTAAGGAGTCGCCAAAAAGTGCTGTAGCTTGTTCATGCCAAAATCTTCGGTAACTCGCAATCTATCTCTCTAACTCCGCCTCTCTTATTCACTTTGTTGTGGGAATATTCAGATGCGCGACAGAATTAGGTGCTTCCGCAGGGTGTTGTTAATAGTCCGCGGCTACTCTTATGAACTGCCACAACCTTGTGCGTGTTGGTATTTGCCGAAATCGGATTCAGGGTTTATTGAGCACAATAGCATCATGTTCAAGGCCGTAGCAAAAAATTGCGACAATCTTTTCAATCTCTAAGAGCACATGTTTTGAAAAGATAAAGACGACTATGTGTGCAAAAACTATGCCAATGGTTGAGTGCTGCGGGACTGACTATGGGAAACACGAATCATATTCAATCGTTGCTGTGCGGAAGTTTGGATACAGAGCGCAGCAAAGACGGGGATCAGAATTCCTGAGTCTTAAGTGGTAATATTGTACATTGAAGAGAACTGCGTTCATCCTAAATGTAGCAAAACGAATGTATATGCTGCTATTTGAGTCAGTATTTCTAACCAGTCCCTCCGAGGAACTGAGTGATAAAAGTACGAAAGAGAGAATTCGTGGATCATAAATTACTTTAAAATTGTCCCACACCTACGGTTATTAACATGGCGAAGATTACACAAGCAAGATATACTTACTGGAAGACTAGCCATTTACACTACCATCACAATGGTAAGCATGAACACCTACCAGGCGAAAACCATTAAGCTGCAAGACGAAAAAAAACAAAACAAAACAAAACAAACAAAAAAACAAAAAAAAACAAAATGATGGAAGAGTAGCGCCTAAAAGTGTATCTACTACCATTTTGGTGCCTGGGTACTTTGTCATAAAAGGTTCCATCACTACTGCTGCAGAGAATCCTTGGTTAAAAAAGCTGATACAATAAGACTAACAGCATCCCGCAAATTAGCCAGCTTGTTCTGGATGAAGAGACAGGCATGTTTGCACGCTTCTGCATCTTCAAAAGCAAGAACCCATCGCCCATCCACAAGATTTTTATTCCTTGGACTTGTTTTGGGAAGACCTCGTTTCCCGACATCTGCCAGAGGCTGGTGAGGCGATCGTATCCGTAAATGTAGCCAAGTTGCATGCTTCTCATCGATTCTAGGCTGTAAAATTCCAACCATCCGCAATATCATGTCATGTACTACTTCAAATATTTAAAATAAGTATTTCAAGGAAAGAGTAACTTCAACAATTTCTACCACAAGCTAGCAAGTATGCTTGAGAAAATAGCAAAAATCACATGAACAAGAATTCAATTAACAAAGCCAAACCAACACAATTTGCGCAAAGTACATCACAGGGACTCCCGAAGGACCAAGAGATGAAAGTCCGGCCACATACATCTGATCCAGCTAAAGGTGCAGTGCCACGAATCAGTCCACGGCGCTGATCGCTGGAATTGTCCTCAATTAACAATAACGATCCTGTTGTTCCTCTCAACACCACCACGAGATGAACACACCGCTCTTTCCCTCTTTCAAATGAGACCCTACATAGCATAGCATCATCCGCTGCAACAAAGACCAAACCAAATCACAAATTGACATCAGGCAGAATCTTGCAAGTTTAGAATATATAGAAATAATAAATAATAAATAGAAACAGAAAGTAGATTCAACAAGTTAAGAACTCAAACAGTAGGATGTGTCCCTAAAACGAAGTACGATTTTTGGTAACGACCCTGAGTTGATAAACCAATATTTCCGAAACCAGATTCTAATGAAGCTACATTCAAGAAAATGAAAAGCTTATTTATTGAGATTCATTATGAATAACACTACAATATTCAGGGTTATGAGAATTCCCACTACAACTTACAAATGTCCAATTCTGTGCCGATTTTTGTTGATGGAATTGGATGTTGACCCCTCATGTCTTCAGGCAACTCAACTAGAGGAGGCGTCTCTGTCAAGGTGCTCCCCACAAGAAGGATGCGAATTTGATAAAGAACCATCAAAGTCTGAAATCATTCACAAGCTCGCATTAGTCATTGTCTTAAGGCAGTTGATCTCTAATCCAATGTTAAGAATTTCTTAAACTCCGTATTCACTCTCAGCCAATATATACAGATTAATGGTACTGAGATAAATTACAGATAGAGTATTCAATAACAGTAGGTGCAATCCATGAACGATAAAGTTGCCACTAACCTACGGATGTTGAAGGCACTAAAAGTCAACAAAATACCATGTTACAACAGTTGAAAGGTCTACAGGCCACTTCAAAATAGAAGCAAAAGATAGAAAAATCGAAACATAAAACAGGAATCAGGTAAAACATGTGCTTATCCTCAACCTCTGCTACTAACTTCAAATACCAGAACAAGGGCAGCTTCTTCACACAAAAAATCAAAAAAATTAAATAAAATAGGATAATGTATATCAAAATAAAATAAAGGCAAAAGAAAAAAATAAACAGCTTATCTAAAACAAAATGTTAAGAGTAGAAAGATTGGCTGTGAATCTTATAGGAGACCAAAACTACCTTGACAGATGCCAGCATTCTTTCCCCAACAAGAATCGAGGAAGTCACTGGTAGATTTTCTGCCAGGAGAATCCCAAGTGTGAGAAAAGTCCTTAAACAGAATCGTAACTTGCAAGTCAAAGAAAGTAACCAAAAAGAATGCACCGAACCAATTCTTGGACTTATGCTGCTTCTTAAGAAGTGTTGAGATTACCCTCAGTGTTAATTTGAGTGCTTGGCATCAACACAAAAGAAGCGTCCTTCTGGAGAAAAGGTGTGTCCAGTGCTGTAAACAGAAAGCAAGAGTAAATATCGACTGCAAACAGTATCTTATGATCTAACTTTTAACAGAACCATCAAACGTAACAAATCTCTTACAAGGCATATTAAGCACGTAGTATATTTGAAAAGCAGAAATGAACTAAACATCCTCTTCTGGGAGTTCCAGAAAATAAAGACTGCAGTCCAACATAATCAAATGTGCTAAGACAAAGCTGGGTCACCTTTACGGCAGAATTTCCACTCTTCTGCAATCACTGCTGGGATGATATCTGCCCAGCAATCAGTCAATTCAACAGAGAGCTCTTGCTGAGCAGCTGTATATACGTCCTGATAAGATAAGACGATTGTCATTCACGAGAAACTTCACGCGGTGCAATGTCGAGACTTCAACCAGTTACAAATCTACTAAAAGGCGTGTAGTATAAAATGGTGTGCATTATCAAAGCACTGTTCAGCTACATGGTGTCCAGACAAGTTAAAGACCGCAGCATTTCTTATTTCGTGATAATCCAATGCTTCCCAACAGACCATTAGAAGGTGATTCAGAAACAAGTATAAACCATTACAAACTGAGCTAATGATTTTAAAAAACATCCAAGAACATCAAAGTCAGATACTCAACGAAAATTTTCGTATCAATATTGGTGACGTACATTAAGCAGCGACATGTGAGTATCACTGATTTTGTGCTCATGATATGGCAAAAGCTGGCGCAGCAGCCACCCTGCTTGCCATAGCACCTCTGAATAGGGGGGAGGTCTCCGACACATCAATTTTAACAATGCTTCAAGCATCTGTAGTCACCAAAACACAAGAAAGAATAGTGTGAGAATGTGTAAATGAGTGGGGTAATACGTCGACTAATCGTTCCTTGCCTGTACTAATTCACATACAAAAATATGTCGATATAGTCACCTTTTGCGCAAAGTCCATTGTCGACAGCAGTACCTGACTACGATGTTTCAGTGTGGTGGACCCCGACAGCAAATCGTCCCCGAGATGGTTTTCCCAGTTATCACTCTGCAAACAAATCACCGTATTAGCCTCTTCTATAGAGCCCTTGTGCCTGATCAACAAAACCTTAGATGAGCTGCTAAATTTAAATTTACTTCAAAAACAAGGTAACTAAAACTACAGCAGAAAAGACGTGAATTTTTTTGGAAGATAAGATTGTACCATAAAGTCATCACGAGGCCGATCCAATGATGGTGAGAAGAGTCGGTCCACTTCCTTGTCGGATTTGCCGCCAATCAATTGTTGCTGAAATTCAAGACCTCAAACTTACGGAACTGACAGTGTGTGAAATTCAACTATGGAGATGGTAAAATCTCACGAACAAGACCAAGGTTTTCAATAATACAATTGTCGAAATCCACAAAATAAAATCAGAAATCCGATATTCCGACGACGTAAAAAAAGATAAATCAAAGTAACGACTTACCAAAAGAAGCTTTTTGTGACGTTTTCGACGAGGAAGAATCCCAAGTGCGTCTAGCAGTGATTCATCCAAAGCTGCCACCAACAAACACTCAAAATTGTCATCAATCACAAATCTTTAGTTTTGAGCTACTTCAGCTCCAACATGGTAAGAGAGTCGGATTTACCTTCGTTGTGCAGAAAAGACACCGATAAGCACAAAGAAGCCATCACCAATTTATCGTCATTGCTGAGGAGATATGATAGCAACATGGTCCTGCGCACCATGGAAAAGGTATGATTAATAAAGAAGTCATAAATGGTCGCCTTCGGTCAGAAACATATATTCAATGCAGCAATTCGAATACCAATAACCCATCTGAGCTTGACGAGATAGGAGATTCTAACAAGATAAAACACAAAATAAGACTTCCAGATTTACATTATTACAAAAGAGGGCAAAACAAAAATGACTGTTGTGTCCAACAAGTAAAACCATCATTAACACCCCAATTTACCAAAATACAGGACTAACCGGCCATCTAATGCTCGTGAAGAACTTGACACTTCAAAAGAATTAGCAGTCCCTGCTCCTGATTCACTTGCTTCATCACCTAAAGTTTCAGCTTCACTGAGCTGATGCGGAAAGCATTCAGAATTTTGAAGCTGCTCGTGATCAAGAGCGACTGCTTGGTCCGTCCTCAATAGTGACGCCCCAATGCTGTTGACTAAAGCTTTGTGGTGCACAATATGTAACAGTCGCAACAGAAAATAAAGCGATGTCAAAGTGCTGACACGTTCGTCCTGCAATGACGCCCTCGTATTAGTTTTCTATGTGCCACCAGAGACTGATACAGAACGAAAGTGTCCGGCTATTCGTGATCCAATCAAGTTCGTCTTGTATAGGGAGATACTGAAAACCTGAACGATGAAAATGAAACCTTGAAAAGGTAATTCCTACTCAACAACGTGCCGATTCTGATCAATAAGCGAATTCATATAAAGATGAAATGTAGACATTCACAAAACCCTCCACGATCATTGAGTATAACACAGATAGTAGCTGTACGGAAGAACACTCAGAATCTTACCGATGGTGTGGTGGCACATTCATCGACCGGACGTAAAGAAGGCAGCAACAAAGGCAAAACCAAGCTGTTCATGATGTTCTTTGTCATGATTGACTTTAAAGCGGGTACATTAGAATTTATGATGTCATTGCAATAATAAAGGAGATCGCCAATTTCAGCTATAGCTCCTTCTAATCTTCCACGCAATTGTCCAGAGTCTGGATATCTGATCATGTAGCAAAATTATAAATGTTTGACGCTAACCAAAAAAGTGTCGATGTAACAGCAGCATAGAGACTTTGACACAACACGCACAGAGAGATTCAACTTGCTCATCAGTCATGTAGACTCTACAAAACTTCTACCTCTGCACCCAGATTGGACAGGAAAGGAGTACTGAAAACTGCTACAAATATTGATTTCACACTCCATGTGTCTCGTTATAAATTTTAGAGCCACCTCAATAAACACCTCTCAGATGAAAAAAAGGATTATTTAATGTTATACTTTTGGAAAAGAAAATAGGTAACTCACTTCGAAACCTCAGTAACCAGGCCATCCAGGGCATGTGATTGCTTCCTTAGGAAAACAATAAGGTCACTGAAATAGTCCACAATTGGCGGGTTTGTCACGAACGTTCGGATGCTTTCATCGTCCACTGTCCATACATCACCATGAATGAAATAAGCAGAACACATGTCAACACTTGCAACAGCCGAAACTAGGAGAATACAAATGTTTGGTCCAAAGCAACAAAACTTCCAGCATGTTCGCAAACGCATCAAGTTCTTGGAAATTGAGGAGTGTTTCTCAACTCACCACGATATACACTTAGAGTAATAGTTCGAACAGCAATGCGAACCATACCCTCCTCATGGTGAAAGAACTTAATGGCTTCGGTGTACAAGGGAAAGGAGACCACTTCTTCCTGCTTAGCAGCAATGATGTAAATCAAATCACCATATATAAACATGTCTGTCGCATTTCCATCTAAAAAAAACTTAACACATTCCTATCTAAAGAAAAAACTTCTTAGATCTATTCCAATAAAATGACTCTTTCGAAAACACAAGTACCATGTAGTTTACTTCTTGCACTGGCTGATGCAACTTAAAGGAACACAACCAGAGAATACTGTAATTATTCAAAATCACGCAAAAGAATTAAGAATTGAAGTCAATTGATATAAACACAGACATCCAGGGAGTGTAAAAGAGGGCAAAGAGACACTCCTCATACATTGTTTGTCTTGATAAAGAATGAAACTGTGTTGCGGTCCAATTTCATGCTGATAGTCCTGAGTCAAAGATACAAGAAGCTTATCTACAATCACATATGAAGCATCGATCTATCCAAGTAGCATCTACCACTCCATGAATATGCTGGCAAATATCAAATGAAAGAAAAATATATATTCTACTTACAAACAGCTAGAAATAACGAAACATTTCCCACGAGGATGAATAGCTCTGCTTAGCCGGATGAATGACGACAGGAGGCTCGATTATAGGTTATGTTACCTCAAAAAGATGATATAATAAGCCAGAAGCTCTTCGTTTTGGAAATTAAAAGGGAACGTAATAAGGTAATTGATGTATTCATTGCTGAATAGATAATCTGCGAAAGTCATTCAGAGGACGTTCTGAGTCACAGACTAATACAAGAGTGATTGGCAACTGAAGAAACAAGTCAATATAGACTCGATCCAAATGTTGCTAAGTCGACAGCCTGACCATTTTCGGGATACGTATGCCCAGGATGCGTATGCTACGCTTCAAGAAGAAAAATAAATAAATAAATAAATAAAATGCGAGCTTAGCTCTTTTGGATAGGATAAAGAGCGCCAAATATATTCAACGTACGAAAAGAACGACACTTCATGGTTGAGAGAGCCCAGGTTAACCTTTCCGCTGTATAGTTACAACTCACAACTGGCACTTACAAATGGCATGTTCACTTCGTATGTTCTGAATCATGATGCTCAGCGTTTGTAATAGTTGCACGGCAACGGTGGTTGTCTTGCTACTGCTCTTCAGGATGCGAACAAAAGTGGCCATTACCTGCTTCTCCATAAAAAAACTACACCCTCCACCCAGCACCGACCAGTTCTTACTAAAGACTCGCATTAAATACTAAGAACATGTGATACTGAAACCTCAACAGCCAGAACCTTTATCATAAGATGGTGAATTAAAGATACGGGAATATGTCTAGTGTAAATCCTCATGTGGCCAATATACTGAAACAGTTATTACAACAAAGCTAGAGGCTTGAGCTGGTGGTTCATGGCATAAACATATGAAAGTGCTACAGATATTCCCGAATTGAATAGCCAAATCTTACTCAAAGAACGCAGGATCGTGCTGATCTCCCCAGATTAAAAGTTCGGCCATCGATCTGATCGTCTCAACGAGGTAGTTCTGAAAGTACACGAGGGACAATTTAGACCTGCTGACTTACATAAAATCACCCGTTACAGATGAACACTGCCGTAATAGCAGAAAAATGCTATGTTCTTTTGGAATATATACCATCACGGCAAGCCTAACAAATTGCAGAAATTTCTTTGAAACAAAGCAAAGTGCTTCTCTGATCGCACTTGCCAAACATTCTTTAGTAAAGACTTCTATGAACAAACATGCAATAACATTGACCAGACCCTACTACTGACGTACTCAAAATTCTTCGCTCCCACCTTACTAGATTCTGTGATCAAAGTTGTATTTTGAAGTTGCTCGTTGAGATATCTGCACCAGAACATGTAGCAGCAAAGCTTTAAAACCCCGTACTTAAAGCAAAAAGCTTTGGACGCTCCAATTCATTTACACTAATTAAACTAATACCTCCACTCACACACCCACGCGCATACGTGTGTGTGTGTGTGTGTATATATATACACACACGCCGATTGATTCAAAAGTAAGCCAGAGATATGAACCAAAGGCTGGATATCCTCGTCAATCCCGCAAAATCGCTTTCGCAACATTTACTAAGTTTACGAGAACCAACATTAATGCAGCGATGAATGAAATGCAATCCTCTACTAGCACTGAATGCACGATTTCCAATGTAATATTGCCTCCACGCCTCAACACACTCCTTCGAACTACGATCACCACCCGCAGAAAATCATGTCACGAGAAATTCATCCAGATTCAAAACCCCTCAACGCAGCGATCACAGATAAACCCCCGCTCAACTCCAACCTACGCAACATCAATGACATCCGCAGTCCTCGCTAATCCTCACCAATCCTCACTCAATCTCTCCAACTCACGTAAGCTCCGACATTGAAAAGCGCTCTCGAGGGCGCCAGAACCACATGATGCCGTTTCTCAACGATGTCACAAGAATGGAAAATAGGGTGATCCTTCTTCTGCTCCTGCTCCTGCTCCTGTTTCCTCGTACAATTCAATCGTGGCTCCCCGCACCTAATCACAAGCTCCGCATCCTGTCCGAATCCTCCACCACAACCATAACAACTACGTTTACCTCCACCTGCTAAGCCTTCCACCTGCCCTGCATGCCTTCCCTCCATCTTTCCAAATTCCTACTCTCCAATTGTTCCAGCACCGTCGTGATCCCTCCGCTCCATCTTTCGCAAACACCTTGCTGCATCCGCATCGTAATCCAGCATCTCCAAACACGATTATGCAACAACGTTCCACATCTGCAACGTCGTCTGATCGAATTGCCTCGATCCGAGTAAGTGCATCATCGAATCATTCAATCAATCAATCCATCAATCCAGGGGTAATATAATAATGAGTTCCTTGCTTCCGGCGAGGTTGTGAATGTGCTTCCTTTCTTCCTTCCTCAACGCACAGACGACGACGAGGCTGTAACAGAGAAAAAGTCGGCCCTTCTTCGTCGTTGTGGCAATACCCCTACTTCCTCCCTCCCTCCATTCCCGACGGACATCGACGGATCGTCGATCCATCTGACGAGTTCCGAGGAAGGACAGGACAGCGCCAAATGTCGAGGACGGAGGGAATGAAGCTCGTTACCGACGGACGAAAGGTGATGAGTCCGCGACGAACGAACGAACGAACGTGGAGTTGTGTCGTCGTTGCTGGCGGAGGAGGCTCGGCAGTGTGCGTTCAAATTAATCCCACTTGAGCAATATGAGTTTTGGAAGGTGAATAGCATTCTCCCAATGCTAACACGCCCATACAAACATGTGCATCATATTGGGTAATGATATAAATTAATTTTTCTGTTCATAGATATATATATATATATATATATATATATACACACACATATGTGAATAATGGCTAGATTTTAGTTATAAAACGAACATTTTACATTAATATTTTATGTGAGCAAGACAATTATTAGTATTATGTTATAAAACATACAATAAGATTTCATCTCGTGCATGAATTAAATATGATTCAATAAAGAAATATATATATATATATATATAAGTAATATTTTTTATTTAATTACATTAAAAGTAGAAGATAGAGCTTTTCATATTCACTTTGGAATTAATTTTTAGTATGATATTAGCACAACTTGATTGCAAATATAGTATCAAACTTTACCTTAAGTAAATAAATTTAGTATATTTCTGATATGCATTGTTTTACAGTAACAATGGTAACCAACTTTTATTGGTATAAATGAATTAAATGAGATATTTCTGTGATGAAAAATATTTCATCACAGAATTTAATCTCAAATATATAGTTAATCAATTGATTTAAATTTTTCTTACAATACATGTTATTCATAAAGAGGTATTTTTATGTATACACATATACACATACATTAATTTAATTTAATTATTTTTGTTATTTAAAAGCAACATAACTTTGAAGATTGCATATATACTATAAATATAAATATATGTTATCATATATTTTTTACTACATACTTAAAACTTTGTAAATCGTTTTATATTTGATTTAATATATGAATTGACATACAGTAGAGGATGAATGTGAAAACTCACTAACAAATTATGAATGAAATGCAAAGTCTTAGAAAAAGAGAAGTTTAGGGTTGCAGCCATGCTTTCAAGTTGTAGGTACAAATGGGTTATTTTATTATAGTTGATTCCTATAACCATTATTGCAATTGTAAACATAATATTATTCTTCATCACAAATTACCTTTTAATGATGTATGGAAAGTAATTTTAGTGCTTTGGTAGTATAAGATATCTCTATATGAATCTGACATGGAGGATTCTTTATTTTATTTTCATTTTATTTTCATTGGTTCTCATTTCAAGTGATTATGGTCTTGAACAAGTGGTGGTTGAATGATGAGCACCTAATTATTTTGCATGCTTAATTTTAAATCCTAAAACATCATCAAGTTTGGTAAGATCTGTGAATCTTCAGCCTCCTCATCCGATATCACATAGTCTATGGGATGATACTGAGAAACCAGGCCGCACAAGCTGCTGATTTGTCTCTGAGTGTGATTTAGATTATGTCTAACCTTGTTACAATTATTTAGATGATGGACATAGGGGATCGCACCCCAGCGGTGTAGAATAATTCGATCGCACCTATCAAAATCGATACCAACTTGTGGTCCAAAAGTGTACGTTTAATCCTATCTCTTAAGGGTGCTGATATTGGAGCTTTTAATTGATGGATTTCTGGTTCTAGAGGCAGTGTTTCAGTGAGTGGTTCGTGGTGGTTTGAGAAAGTGCGCTCCCGTGGAGAGTTGTTGTTGTTGTTGAGGATCGGGGATTCTGTACCGGAGGTTGGTGGTCCGCAAATGTCACTAGCAGATACTTACTACAGTGCAGTGCTTGCTTGTTTCACCCACACTCTTTGCACTCCGTGGTGTAGATGATGGTCTGTGGGGAAACGAGGAGTGAGTGAGGGAGAAAGAGAGAGAGAGAGAAAGGGAGAGGGAGATGGAGGGAGACAGTGTGTGCAGTTTCAGCATGGAATTAAGCATCTCTTTAGGTATTGAGATTCTGTCCACCATTTCCGTGCACCCATCATCCTGACTGGGCTGGCAGTCCCCATTCATCTACCATTACTTCCAACCATTCATTGACAACCTGAGCCGAAATAAAACAAATTCTGTCTAAGAAAGATTGTTACCCTTGAACTATGCTAAAACACACACACACACACACACACACGTATAAAAAAATATATATATATATATATATATATATACATATATAAACATACTATAAATCTACTATATATTATAGATAAGGCAGCATTCAACTAGTCAATTTTACGTTCGTCAAAAACAATCCCCGGGGTTCAAAGTAGGATACAATGAAAAACTATTTGTACGGCTCACGCTCATCAATGGGGCAACAGCCAAAAATACACACCCAGGTGCAATCCAGAACGGTACGCGTAAGCCATTAGATTTTAGCCAACAAATGTAGGATTACTTGCAACTTTAAACATTCAAACCACCAAAAACTTGTCCCTGATCCGTCGTCTACAGTGACACTGTCCAGGGGGTTTGATCTGCCAACACCAAAATCTACCCATACGGGAAATTTCCTGTAACAAAAAATTGACAAATGACTACGTCTTGAACCACGGGCAATAAGATGGGCACCGCCCGAACAGAAAAAAGATAAAATTTGAGTATTCACTTCGTCTATTAATGAGGCTAAGGATGCCCTGCAAGAACCCACATGACATAGCTACGGAAGCGACAATTCCAGAGAAGAGGAATAATGGAAGCACTGGAGGAAGACAGTTGCAAAGTCAGAGCTGTCGTGGAGGAGACAGAACGAAGATGTGGGGAAGGGTTTTGGTCGAATTCGAACGAAGAAGACGAAGAAGACGAAGTAGACGAAGCGGATGAAGAAGTGCCGTTGGTCGCCTAGCGTTATACTTCCTCGTCCCCCTCACACTTATTTGCAGAGAGAGAGATAGACCTAAGCTTCGTGTCAAGCATGGCCATGGCGGTCCTCCAAGGAAGCGACCAGTCTTGAAGCTCTCTCTCTCTCTCTCTCTCTCTCTCCTTCGCTGCGTCTCGAAGAATGTGATCGAAAGTCTTCCTTCATGTCTACGCTGCTGGCCAGGAGGTAGTCGCTGTTCTTTACATGCTGAAGTTTGATGTATTTGCCAATACTTGTTTCGTGAGGACTTTGTTCGGGTAGGCTGCGACTGTCGGGCGGACATTGGCGCGCTTTGGTTTTTCGTTTGTTGTCAGATCGGGTTGACGCGAACACACAGGTGGCTGCTGTGATCGGAGGGGTGTGAATGTGGAATTGTAAGCGCGAGGGGTACGAGGAGTGGCATGGACGGATTTGTGAAGAGGAAGAGCTTTGGAATAGTTTTTGGGTGAATAATCAGGGTGTTTGAGTGGAGTTGGTATTTGGCAAGTGCCTGGACAAAGTGGATCGGATGAGGGAAGGTGCATGACAGCTCGATTTTGGTTGGATGGAAATTGTGGTGATCTGGAGTGATCAGCAATGGCATTCAGCTGGGTGATCTAGCGGAGGGAGAAGAATTTTGCAGCTGATGATGAGCGTCAGCACGGGCCGACGCCGTAGTCTCGTTGCCATTGCCTTCTGTTGAGGCCTACCTTAGTCGGCAATGGATGCTTACGTTTCCCCAGTTTGCAGGACTTGATTTGGAGCACGCGGCGAAACTCCAGGCCCTTAGGCTTTACGTGCAAACAGGAATGTGGTGTCTACAGAGGTTTCCAGTTAAAGACATGACATGATAACGGAATGAAGGGGCGCAGGAAGGGCTTATTGGCAAGTTTGAAAGGACAGGGTAGTCAATGTCACAATTTGATCTCGGTTTTAAGAATTTTGTGCTATTCTAGAAGGATCTTTGCGGAGACTTAAAGTAAAAAAAAAAATGGAGGATTTGTTTAGCTTAAGCGATAAGTGGATAAAAACAGTGGCATTCCCGAGAGTTCTAACATGGTCAGCATCTGGGCGTCCCGAGGTATCATTTTCTAACTACACCTTCAGTTACTATGGTAAATGTCACAATATGAGGCGATTTAGTGGAAATCTGCTCAGACCTGGGAGGCCCTGCTGGGTGTGATTAGGTTTTGGTGAATGGCGATAAACTCGACTATTCGACAGCCAGCAGATTGACTGCTGAATGTGCTTAATGTTCCAACTTCGGCTTGCGCATAACGTTCGATAGTATCATTCTAGGAGCTTTGTTCTCCAAGAGAAAAGATTTCCATGGATACCATCTTGCCAACATTTTTCATGTCTAGGCTTGTAGTAATCTCGATCAAATGGATTTTCATTGACTTGTGGCTTTCTAGAGCTGATTACCGATTCGGAGTGTTGAGTTCTATTGATTACGCAGTGATTTCGTAGGTCTCGTTCATTCTTAACTTTATCCTGACTGCTGAATGCGCTTAATGCTTGCTTGTAAAATCTTGCAACTGTTGATTTGTAAAAAATTGTTCAGGCAGATGAAATAATTATAGCAGAATTTAAAATCGTTTAACACTTAGCAGCAGCAACAATTATCTGAATCAACAGCATGGGACTGCCGTCGATCACGAGGCTGCTTATGTTTTAATTCAACGTACTGTTTTATGCTTGTCCAATAGTGGAGGCTGGCATTAAGAAATTCCACAGTTAATGATCAGGTTTTATGACATGTTGGGACTGCGAGTCGGCTGAACCCATATTACGTACTGTTTCATTCTTCTATGAAGTGGTCTCCTATGTCCGACTTCAAATTCCTTATTTATCTCTATATTGTTTCAGGTGCCAGCTCGGGCTGCGGCTGCTGCCGTGGTAGCTAGAAAAATTGCCACTCTTCCTCCTCATGAACGTGTGCTGCTATCTGGGGTTCCAGATTCTATTTCTACAGCTCGACCTCGTGCAGAGACAGTTCAGGAGCTTGAAGAAGTTTTCTATGAGAATGTATGGCATCTTTTAACTTTGCGTGTACACAAGTTCACATGTTTCTTGATGTTCAGTTTTGTCGGGTTGATGCATTTAGAGCCAAGTATTCGGCGTCTTTGGCAATTTAGTGCTGATCATCTTAAACAAATATTTTGTAGTATTCCTTAGTAACTTATTGTGGGCAGTGAGATGCTGGTTTTATTTTTACTTTTATTTTTTAAAATTTAGTTTAATCTAATTTTTTTGGTAGTCAGACTCTGCATATCAATGTGGCATTCCATTTTTAATGTGGTGCTGCCTCTGTTAATAAAATTTTCTTGCGCCAATTTTTAACTGTAATAATTAAGGCTATCCAAGCCACCTGGGTCGTTCTTTTTAGAACTAAATTATGTCTTCTTCTTAGTGGTTGTGTTGTTTTTCAAACATCATTAGTCATATAACCTCCCACTGAAGATTTCAATCTCAGTTTACAAGCAAATGCCAACCACAAGAAAATGTTAACCCAAGTTGGTTATGTGCAGAAATTTGATCCTGTACGTCATTTACTGGAGCAGATACCGGCTGAAAATGTCAATCAAAGTTATTTTGATACCCAGGTACGTGATGATGCAGACTTTTCCGCTGTTTGGTTTCTGTGCGTCGGTACAAGTTCACTGTACAGATTCATTCTCGTGTTTTTGGTAGTATTTGTGAAGAGGAATTTTCGTACTCTGATTGGATTTTCTTCTCCAACAAAGGATATTTTTTCTTAGAAAGCAGGGTGGTAGAATGCATTTACGCCGTGAGGTGCTCTGAATCCGTGCGTATGTTCAGTTGGCTGCATATCATAGCGCATATCTAGCAGTGTCTGTAATTTCTTTCTGGGGATGGGGATGTGGATATGAAATGAGATTTACGGTTACTATGGTTTTGTGTTCAGCGTTGTCTTATTAATGTGTATTCTAAGGATAGTACCGCACTTAACTATGAAACACCACTATCTGGATCACCGTTTACCGTAATTTATTTATTTTTGTTTTATCTGACTTGAATTGTCGTAAAGAGCGTCGACGTTTTCAAAGAAAGAACGTTGGCATGTTCTTATCTCTGATGAGTACATTTATGGTTATCTTGTAATGCTCCAGGTTGGGCAGAGATTGCTGCAGCTTGATGTTATCACAGAAAGCTTGTCTAAACAAGTAATCGAGCACCATGAAGAGATGGGTACGTCGTATACATCCGTCTTTTCCTTTTTAAGTTCAAACTGTCATCATCGTGTATGGCAATTTTCTTGGCATGTATTTAAGGGGGTCAATTTTCGGGTCGTGTCTATTTAAACTAAGCTTGGTATAAGCTTACTGTTGGCAGTTGTGGATAGATTTAGTAAATAAGATTATCAAATTGATGAACTTTCTCATGCAGTCCGCTTGCTCTCCAATACCAACATGGTTATCCTAACCTAGTCTTGCATTCTCGTAACTTCGTTACTCGCATGACATTTTATGAATTAGCACATGTAGGCGATCGTTGCACTTACTCCACTGTAAGGCTAGCCAGCGATAGTCTTTGGGCAACTTGGTTCATGCGTTGTAGCTAGCAATTATAAGTAGGCAGGTTTTCTCGCAGAATGTATTCGCTGTGTAAGGCTATTCAGAGGAAATTGCGAAACTATATGTAAGCACTTGGGTTGTGTGGCGATTCATCATAATTGCAAACTGCAAGTTGGAAAACGAATCTCTTATGTTGAAGTGTTGACACTCCTGGATATCCTGAGTGAAGTCATGAACTATATTTTCCTTGTTGATCTACAGTGAAAGGCATGAAGCTTGTTATGGAGCTGGAAAGAGATTTGCAGATAGCGGCCATCATTGTCAAGGTTAATAGAGTCCCTGAACTGTTGACTCTTTGAGTAATATTTTCTGTTCTTGCTTATGGTCAAAGAACTATTGTTCAGATAATACCTGTTCTTTGTTTTTATTTTTTATTTTTTTTTGAAGTTCTCAAATTGTGTTGTTTGGAGCTGTGAAATGCAGGTTCTTCCATGTTTCCTACTAAGCATGCATTGCTACATTTGATAATTTTGTAAGATATTCACTGCCATGCTGAGCTCATGTTGTAGCTCATTCACTTGTTCCGTGCCGACAGAATGGGAGGCGACATCTATCGAAGGCTATGGCTGAGGTTTCTAAGGACCTTGTAGTGGCTGCGAATGTTAATAAAAAGCAGACTTTATTGGTAAAATTGTATTTTAGTGTGTTTGTTATATACTGATTTGCCTGCATTTAAGTAGCTGTAACCATTTTTGGCTGTAATATTTCTTGGGTTTGCAGTTTTGTATTTTGTTGTGCATACCTTTTCATTTCTTTTGGAAGTTGAAACGTTTATAGTGGTTTGACAGTGGCATTGATAGATGTGAAATTTCCATTATGCAGGATATTGTTCCAATTTTGGAACGTGTGCATCATGCTTTGAATATTAAATCATGCCTTGATAGTGTGGTGGATGAAGGAGACTTTTCTAAAGTATGGTTCCAGACAAATCCTTAAACATATCTATTAGAAATTTCTAATATTTGTGATGAACCTAAGATTGGCAATTGCTAATACCTGAATTCACATTGCCAACGTCATTAGTGTTAACATGTTATGCTTTGTTTCTTTTTGAAATCTAAACAATTGAGCATTTGAGGAACTGTAGTCTGTTGTTACAAGGAACCATTGATTTTACTTGTATTTTTCAAGATTATTTTAACATTTGGGGGGTTTGTGCTCACTCTGAATGTACAGGCTCTGCATATGTGTTCAGAGTGCCTATTGCTGCTGGAGGAATGTCCAGAGCTGGCAGCTGTTCAAGAAATGAATCAAAGTATTGAGGTGCGATTAATCTTATTACTGTTCTCGTTCTGTCGGTTAACTTTTCCTTTCATGTTATCCCTGTAACTTGGCTATCCTTGTCACTGTTACTTCATATTTGGTATGCAGATTTGTGTTTCTCAATGCTTTACACGCGGTTGCCTTGCTTTTGATCATGAAGTCTATGTAAACTCTGTATGCAGTGAGTTGTACGCATGTGCTACCAATTTTGGATTTGTATAAAGTCATGCTGATGAATGCGGTACTTCTGGAAGGTCTTGGTAATATAATTCTATTTGTGTGGTGAAGTCGATTGACGCTCGTTGACTATGTACAGGAATGGTTGCAGAGGACCATTACTAAAGTAGATGCGTTGCTTATGGAAGTTTGTCGAACGTTTCAGGCTGAGAAGTATAAAGTTGTAAGTTGTATTTTTGATTGACATGTTTTTAACTTCTTTTTATGTATTCAGGTTCAATATAAAACCAGTAAGGCATGACAGCAAGACATTAATTGTTTTATTTATTTTTTTTCTCTGAGTGGTCTAACTTACAAAGTGGTTCGACACTGGGATCATGTCAGGTTATTAATGCTTATACTTTACTGGACGATGTCACTAGTCTTGCTGACAAGGTACAAAGCTTCTTCGCGCAAAATGTTGTCACAGAAACGTATGATGTGCTCAAGAACCTGCTATTTGAGGTATGTAATCTTTTTTTAATCGCAGTTTTGTCGCCGTCAGGCTGGAACAATTTGCCACAAAAATTGGCTGGGCTATTTAATCATTTAAGCATGTTCATTGATACTGTATATTGAATAATGTGAGTTCCTGATCAACGCAATAAATGAAATGTATATCTATAATGCTGATGAAGTAAATGAAACTTATGAACCGTTGGATGCAGGGAGAAGATGGAGAAGCTGCATCTATTAAAAACAGGTATCGGTCTTCTCTGAGGCTTCTTACATAAAATGCTGTAACCTGAGATGAAATATGTCTTTCCCAGTCTAATTTGTCTCTATGCTGCTTTGTTAGTGCTGCTGTCGTATTGTAGGCTGATGATCGCTGAATCCGCTAGTCTTTGGGTTGATGTTGCATGTCTCAGAGTTTTCACTGCACATCAGCTTATTTGGTGATTTTGCATATGATTGTTGTTGCAGACTTCCTTATCGAGACTTGTGCATGCGACTCCCCGAGGCAAAATTCAGAATTTTTTTGTGCAAGACCCTTGAAGTTCTATTTGACCTCATGTGTTCTTATCACACAATGATGACATGGCATCAAAAACCAGAGGTAATTCCTTTTACTATGTCTGGATCATATTACACTAAACTAGGGGCTATAAGATGTGTCACGTGCTGCATGGATTTGAAATGGGATTAAGGTAAAGGAGTGATTTTGTTGTAGTACTAAAGAAATCATGACATTTATAGGTTTGTGTATTAGTTGCCCTTTTCTGACTATTTAAACATGCATTCCGGCTTTGAGCCGTTTTATTGTTTGTCCAGTCAGCTGAGATTAAAGATCCTAAAGAAGATCTTAGATTAGCAATTCGCTCAAACGGAAACGACCTCCACCGTCGTTCTGGTAGTCATGGGGATTTGAACCATATTATCCGAGAGAGCAGACACGTCCGCACAGGATCGCACTCCGGGGAGCTTTTTGCTATACCCATGTCCCCAACATCTGTGCATGCAAGCAGGCTGTTGTCTCGAAGTGGATCTAGAAGGAGATTTATTCCTGACCACGCAGAAGCATATGAAAATAACACTACTGCAAGTGCGGATTTAGACTCGCAAATTCTAGAAGAAAATGGAACCAGTGACGATCTTGCCAAGCGAGAGGAATTGGTAATAGTGACCGTTGCAAGGGCTTTAGAACGTGGACGAAAGACAGTCTGGGAACTGGCGGCTCGTCGTGTGGCAGCGTTGCTTTCAAACGATGCAGTATGTCGAACAAGTCCGCATCAGTTTTTGCAAAGCCTGGACTGGGTGAACAAGTTCATTCTTGCTGGGGAGGCGTTTTGTGGCGCTGAAGCTGTATCTTTGAGAACTAAGCTTACTAAGCAGAGCGAACAGTATTTTGGAGCGTACCACTGTCAAAATCTTGAAGTAAGTGTATTAGGGCCTCTTGTAAGCCATGCTTATTGTGCTTGTCCGTGTTTGTCCCAGGATCTAATATCATGTTTTATTACAGATTTTGCGAATGATTGTTGAAAAGGAGTTGTGGCAACCCCTCTCATCATTGGCGCTGAAGACAGTGAATCTAGCAGGTCTTACAGGCTATGGTGCATCCTTAGTTCGCGCATCTGTGTCAGGTGAAAGTCCTGGAGCTCATCAAGGATCCAACAGTCTTAACTCTGGTATCGAAAAGATCGGCTTTGCAGTCTGGCTTCAAAAGGGAAATCCATTTGCCGAAAAAGCATTGCATGATTCTGCTATCACGAAGGTAGTGGACGGAGATGCTGTGAAGGTCAATGGTAATGGCAAAGTAGGTCTTGTGGCGAATGGTTCCGTGACAGTTGAAGATGATGAAGATGAGGAAAATAAGGATCTGCTAGCGGATTTTATAGATGAGGATAGCCAGCTGCCAGGTTGCTTGTACAATAATTTTCGAAAAAATATAACTGCGGTTCATTCAAAGAGGGACCAAAGTTCTAATGCTGACAAAAGTCTGATACTTACCAATTCTTCAGTGAATATCCTTAGGTGAGACTCTTATGCCTCATATGATTCGTATTTTCATCTTAATATACCAGTACGTTTTCTTTCGTCATTCGATTTGCCGCAAACAGGAGAGTTTTGTGCCTTCTTGTAGTGAACCATGCGTAGTTTATGAAGCAGTTAGCTTTTCTTCTGATTATTATTACGGTGGGAACAATATAGCTTTTGAGTGTTCCTTTTTCAGGTACATGGACAAGTATGCAAGATTGATGCAGATTATGCAGCCAATTGCTGCAGATGTGTTCAAGGTTTGCTGTGTTGTTCTCGTGAACCTTGTGTTTTAGCTTGTAGTGTTTCACTTTTGACTTGTTTTCTGTATCCTAGATGAAATTTCTTAACATCTACGATAGATTGTCGAGTAATATCTGGCTGTTTCTAATTTTATCTCTTATGATTTGACACTATTGTTGTTTGACACAGGGTCTGGGTCAATTGTTCGAATTGTATTTTTTTTCTATTTTTAAGACCTTTGGACAGCGAGAAGCGTTTGGAGGTAGTCGAGGTCAAGAATCATACTGTAAGTAAATTTAAAAATAGTCCATGGTTATGCTAGTGAAAATTTTCTCTTGCTATGTTGCAAGCTCTATTTGATTGCAATTCAGTTTTTGGTAGCATTTGACTAAATACATTGTTTTGGTGGATCTCGCAGTACTGACTCCTCGACTGCGAGCCACTCTGTTAAGGATATCACAAGGATTAGAGGAGCAGCGTTTGAAACGATCCACAAGCGCGGGTAGCCAGTCTCAAACACCACATACTAGTGCTGTACCCGCACTAACCAATGCAGCTGGCATAGAATCAGATGCGTCACCAAATCATGTGTTTGGAGCCGCTGAAATTATGATGGTCCCTACCAACTTATATGCTATAAAGGTAAGATTTAAGTTCAATTTGATGCCACTGCTATCTAAGATTCTTATTCTTTTCATCTCATTTCTACTATTCTTACTGGTCTTATACTCATGATATCGTGATTCTACTTATGTTGGAGTGCATAACCTAATCATAGCTTCTTATCCACCTTGCGTGGAAGATGCTTGAGGTGGATTGTTTGAACACATAGCACCTCTTTCTTTGCTGGTTTTGTCTTGCAATGAAGGGGCAATTTATTTCGATGATATGCACCTATTCTCTTTTGACTGCTCATTATCGCCTGAGATTGTTTGCTCATTAGCGTCACTAGGGTTGAAAGTTTATGTGGTGCACTGTAGATGGTTCGTCCAAACTTGTACAGTTTCAGTTGTCGAAAAAATGTGAGATTTCGGAGTTAAAGGAATCTCATTAATGTTTAGATCGAGTGTTGTGTACATCAGAGGAGTTCGCGTAATTGCGACTTGTCCTGACAGCCATCTAGTACATTTCATACCTTTCCCTGTACTGTGATGTTCGGTTTAAGGCCTTGAGTCAACAAAGCAGCCAGTCATGGATCCCAAATTTTCATGTTTTGCAGGAACGCATAGTAGCAACGGAGTCACTGATCAGTCTTTCGCAAATGTTGAAGAAGTCACGGCCATTGTTGCAGGCTATGCTAGCTCAAGATTCGTCAGCTTCTGTTGAATTCTTTTATACTCGAACGGTAGGTATATATTTTGTTGCTCTTTGATTCCACGGATTTTTCTATTATTAGATTTATATTAGGATTGGCGCTGAAGTTCGTGTACTGGTGCATATGTAGATAGATGCAGTGCCGGATTTGAGAGACCATGTGTTCAAGGCTGTTGCACGGATGCTCCTCAACATAAGCGGGCAAGTTTTTGAATCCAACAAATCTCGTAATTCTTTTCTTTCCCCCATCATAAGATGTTGGATAGATTTGCAAAATCAAACTAGTATGGAATTGCGGAATTCATTATTTTTTTATTTCTATTCTGGTCACTTTACATGTGTCACTTGGCTTCTGCTATGACAACGCATCCAAATATTGCTGTTGGTACTTGCTGCGTACTCTTTACGTACTGTCTACACGGTCTGAAGACTGTAGACATTGTTGATGGGTTTTATGTTAACCTTAATTGTCTCTTCATTCTCTTGCAGTTATATTGAGCGCATAGCAAATGTGAAATGGGAGCTCAAAGACTTGGGAATGGAACACAATGGGTATATAGACCATGTCTCTTCTTTGTAAACCCTTTTGTACTCTGATATTCTTGAAAAGTTTTCTAAGAAGAGATAGTCCATGTCATCTTCAATGTCAGCTGGGATCTGATCAAAAGTACCCGAACACTGACATTGAGACCCACGATTGTAATCAAGATTGTGGCTCTATCATTGCAGATACGTAGATTGTCTACTGGGTGCGTACAAGCAGTACTCGACGAAGTTGGGTTACGGTGGTGTCGAAGAAGAGGTATGACATCAGGGGAGTATCACAGAATTTTTTCTTGTTTTGATCGTCCTTGGGATTTTTCTGCAAGGAGTGTTTGCACTGTAGCTCGCATTGATATGAGCAGATATTTTACTGCAACAATAATGGGAAGGATTAATTATCCAGCTGTTTTCAGGTTTACTGTATCATTGAATGATGTCGATTTGAATTTAATGATCTCGTTACGGAGTTGCAGATGCACGAGCTTTTGTTAGAGTATGGAGTGGACACGCTCGCTGAAACTATCGTGGAAGGATTTTCACGTGTACGAAGGTGCAATAATGAGGGTCGTGCTTTGATGTCCCTTGATCTCCAGGTACGCTAACAAGGGCTGTGATTGATTTATGCGGATTTTTCTATGCTTGAGCTGCATTGCTGCAGTCAAGTATGAAGACGTTTGAGCCTTTTCTAAGTAGTTTGTTACAACTGCAGGTGCTCATAAATGGCTTGCAGCATTTAGCGCCCCCAAGGCTGAGGTCCAACTTGCAAATTGTAGAAACTTACATTAAGGTAAAAGACCTTTCTACAACTACTCAATATCGTTTGCAATCAACTTCTGAGGTGAACAGCTATTGACAAGTGAATGTTGTTTACGTTTCAGGCATTCTATTTACCTGAGACTGAGTACTTGCACTGGGTCAAAACACATCCTGTGAGTATTCGGGTTTTGTTCTCCGCTCTTTGTATTTGAAGCTCCTAGACCGTTCTTCTTGACTAACAAAACATTTGTTATGAAGCGCTTCCTGTACTATTGACTTGCTTAAGTGGTCGTTACGGTGCAACATATATATATATATGTATATATATATTGACAGGATAAGTAGTGTTAATGCATGGATTACTGGAATATGTTGCAGGAGTACACGAAGTCGCAAGCTATTGGGCTAATCAACCTTGTGGGAGCTGCTAATAACTGGAAGAGAAAAACTAGGGTTGATTTGGTAGATAGGATTGAGGCTGGTGACCTTTGATGAATCTTGATTCAAAAAAAGTACCTGAATCTAAAATTAGCAGATTACAGCGTTAAGTTATTCTTTATTTCCCTGGTGCATGAGGTCATTCAGAAGGGCTTCAGTTACAAGGTGTTTCTCCCTGAACCCGAACTTTGTCCTTGGATACCTCCAAATGAATACACGGGGCAAATTTTCTTATTCACTCTCGTCTGGTAGAAGCTCAGGGACGCTTTGCCTAATCAAATGTTAAGAAGCTCAGAGCCAGTAATTTGTTGCAACTTACACTTAATGCCTTGCGTTTGCACTCATGACTGGTAATTGGTGCTGGGCTTAGTCTAATCGCATTGAATGCTAAAAACATCTGAATATCAATACATTTACAATTCAACACTAATATGAAAACTTGGTATTAGATACAATACTTAAATGATATTCAATCATCTTTTTGTTGATGTGACACGGAGAGTAAGGCAGGCTTCGTGAGCTCCATTTGCTCTACCTCAAACCTTTCCAATCCCTTAAAATTGAATGTGGGGACCTCGGTTTTTGATGGGGGAGTTGTGTAGGCATTGTGTATTCAATATAATTTCATCCACTAGACATTTCTGCCTGAAACCATGTTGGTAAACAAACCCAGGTATCCAATCCTACAACCTGGTTTTGGGGAGTATTAAACAGCTTCGAGTCAAAGTTTACTTCAGCTCATTTCCTTCAACTCAGTAACTTCTTTCTAAATTCTATTCGTATTAGAACTTAAATTTGTAACTTAAACATTATATTTAAAAAGTTTAATGTGTTTTTCCAATTCATTTCATTTTAAACTTCTTTGAATTTGAATTTTATATCTTTTGATTTTGTACTTATAATCATGAGTATAAGCATGAGTATATTATGTCAGTATATTGCATGGCTTTAGCTTCCTTGCATTTATCTTTACTTGATTTAAGATATGTCAAGGGTAAAATATTAGAAAATTAATTAATTTTATGTTTATCAAATTTATTATTTTAATCAAAAAAGTACATCCCAAAAAACAAAAAAAAAAAAAAAAAAAAAAAAAAAAAGGGACAAAAAAGACAAACAAAAAGAAGACAAAAGCCATTGAGGATAGCCATTCACAAAGGATCACCATGTTCGTAGCATCCCTCATCAATAGAAAATTTTGCTCCTGTGAATAATTTTAATTTTTTACAAATTACAACTTATAATCTAACTGAATTTTGTACTTATTGTCCAGCAGAATTTATCCGCGTTTACATTCTTCTATAAATACCTTGACATCAGTTACAAATTATGTTATTGTACTCCAAGTCTATTCTCATCCTCTTTGGCACTCTCATGACATTACCTGTAAAACCCTTGAAGAGCTTCATCTTAAGCTGTTCCACATGACTTATCTCTTGATTAGCTGTAACAAAGAAAAAAAAAATAGTAAAAAAAACACTACATACTAAATACTGAACTTTATCAGAAAGCACTTACTGAGATGTGAAGAAATTTATGGGAGAAAAGTAGAAATTACATGCACAACGTGTACAGAGATGAACTCATTTTGATTCCTGTTGCTCTTGATCCAATTTGCCAACCACTCCTTTGTAACAACCAACCCATTCCTAACCATAACTGATGAGGGCTAAACGATAATTCACCCATTGGATAAGAACATTGAGTCTTTTCAAAACATGCACTGTTGACGATGAGCATAACACAAACCATCAAACAATAAAAGGGGTCAACAAAAGGCACTTACATACCTTCTCGGATGATGTGCAAACACAACACAACTTGCTCTACACCAGCCTGTATCAAACAAAACAACCTTAAAATGTGGATGCTACCATTATTAAGAAAGAACACGACTCACCCAGCCCGCTGGTCAAGCTTCAAATTTGCCATGCTACTGCAGCAAATACAACCCTAAAGCTTTCAACACGCCTATTATACAGTAAAGAAAGGTCAATGGTAGAATTATATTTATGCATACTACAACCAAAAAAAACCAAATAGAAGAAAAGAGGCGCACACGGGTACTTGCTACGCAGGATTGTGCTTTGAGCTTGCATTGTTCTTGATATCATGCATTGCAATGTAATCTTTTGATACAATGAACGTTAACCTATTTTTGTTGAGGCCCTATGAAAACTTTTGGTTCACTTTTGATGAAAACTTTTGAGAAAACAATGAGACAGGTAGCAATAGAGAGTTTTTGTCTCCTCTTGTTTATACAATTAATTTGTTCCCCTGAGCTGTTTTATATAAGAGATATTGATGATTATATTGTAAATTATATAATGAATGAAAGATATTAATTTTAATTCAATTATTAAGCAGAGATTCACTTTTGAAATGTTTTTACAAGCATTGTTTTTACAAGCATTTTATATTTTAAATTAATTTGGTTTGGCTATTTTGTGGTTGAGAAAAGGGCACTGAAATATTGTGATTTAGTATAATATTGATATGATTTAAAATTTAAAATTGAGTCTTTTCAGATAATCTAGTAATGTGAAGAAGATAACCTACCTTGATAAAACTCCTCTCGTACAAAGAAATGATCCATTGCCGCACAAAGCTTATTGTGTCTGCCTGCTCAAATACAAGCATTGTGATTGAGACATGATAAGAAAAAGGCTGTTCACATCGAGCGGCAATGATGCAGCATATCCAGCATTTTAATTGTCGAAAACTCGTTGAGGTATATGAACAATTTAAGACATTGAACAAAAATCTCGTCATTTACAGTTATCCTTGTGTGGTGTGGCGCCACCAGTGTAGGTCCTTGAATACATCGGCAGTTGCAACTGAGGAGACCTACTCTGAACACAATGCTCAACATGGGTGTCTTAATTCCTCCAATCTAACAGACTAGTGAAAGTACCAGGCTATATTAAATATCCAGACTATTCTTGTCATTCTAACGCATAACATAAACCTGCATTACCACGATCACCAGCCTGGATCTCGTGTGAAAGAGGTTGATTTCGACTTCCATCATTTCCGTGAGCGCAACCCTTCCAACAACGCCTTCGGTGACTGAAAAGCTGACGCAACACCTTCGGCTAACTTCGCTTCAACCTCCAGTTTCCGTAACGCTTCCTGTTCCTTCCGTGTAGCAACACCCGATCCCATCCTTGAAATAGCCTGAGCTACAATTCCTCCAACCTGTACATCTCCACAAGCCAAAATGACGCAGAAGAAGCTAATGTTGATGTGTTTTAAAGTGGTACTTGAACGTCTCAATTGGAAAAACACCGCGAGAAAAACAGCATCTAATCTCTTAAAATCCCTAGTAGACGCTCCAGCATATATGGATACGTCAGAAATTAGATGAGAAAACATAGTACCACCTCGCGAATACAAACGAACGCCTACAGCGTACAAACCAAAAACGAATCAAAGATAAAGCGTCAAACCAACCTTGAACGTTTTCAGCAAATCTATCTTTGAGTGATCCAGAATACGTTGTCCATCCTCATTAATGTGAATAAAGTCCTCGAAGTCTCCATCCCACACAAGGTCTCCATCACATACGAAATAATCCTACACACTTCAAAATATATGAGTACATAGCTTAGCATAGAAAACTGTTCTTACGAATAAACACAGAAATGTTTTAGTGAACCTACACGGGAGTAATCAAACAGCGCAGAAGAACCCCGTGAGCTTGGAGTATCAATGGCCATAGAAATTATCACTGCAAAAGAAAAAGTTAAATGACTAACCTGCAAATGAAAAATTGGTTGCATAGACGTACGTTCCAGACTCATGATGGTAAGTGAGAAAGAAGCATCTCCATCTTTCAAAGTCTTCATTGTATGCCCAAACATAGGGCTTTTTTTATCGATTATGTGTCGAACCATTAGTCCATATTGCAGGTATGAGACCTACGTAACAAATGGGCAGATATAAAAGCCGAAGCAAATACATGTGTTCTAACATCAGATACACCTTCTCATTAAAAAGTTGCAATGAACTTATCGACGAAGCTAGCTCAATCACAATCTTGTTACTAAGTTTCTACCCAGTGATGAGTACCTCAGGTCGAACGAGCTGAAGATCCTGGGAAGAACAAAACATGGAGCCCGAAGGTAGTTTCACAAATATCCGGAAAGTCAAACAGATTTTAGCATCTACCAATTCGCATGGAGCAGGGCCTGTCAACACCAGCCGTACAGCAAAAACCCTGACGAAAAGTTGGACAAGATCAGACATCAGTAAAGACATGGGAGACCTGTGTGATGAAAAAGATTTGAAAAAAACATTTCTCTTAAACACAAATCAGACCATACAATGTAGGAACAGCACAATGTCCGCAGCGTAGTAAAATTGTCCGTCAATTCTTACATTGAAGAGCTTGGACATACAAGTGAAAAAATGTTTGCAGTGTGAAACCATGAGGACTACAATCTCACCTATATTTCTCTATTTCAGATGTTGATACATAGTCTTCGCAACGAATAACCGCCTTCTTAGAGCATCGTACGGGAGATGAAGGTTGTGACATCCTTGCAAACACTGCCACAACAGACGAGACAACATCAGTTCACACAAGGATACATTACCAAGCTAAAAAGATCGGAGCATAAACCTTCTCGGACATATCCAAGCTGTGAATGTAATGTGAACTGCTTACCTCCTCCACTAAGAAAGACAAAAAGAAATTGGGCCACAAGAGTGTTCACATTTGCCACCAGCAAACAAAATGGCGAATGTGCAACCACCGGTGACCCTCCAAACGTTGTTGACAACGACAATCTGAACACATAACTCATATCAAATATCTCATTTTTGGAACATCCTAATAAAAGGTGGTAAGCTTAACATCATAACCAGCAAAATACTTACCAAGAGCTCTTTGCAACCAAGCGAACATATAGATTGAGGCAGAGCACAAACAAGCCAAATACTCTGAACCACTTCATATTATACGGAAATACCTAGAGTTCAATAAATGAGTTGATACGATCGAGTGCATACGCATAGAGGTAGACATTGAGAAGTGCAGAGAACCCCCGCGTAGCTGCTACAACTGAACCTTCTCCAGGGGCAGCCTCAGCCTCTCTGGTTCCATCAAATGAGAGCCCCCCCTTGTCCAACAAGAACAGAGGAGTAAACAGCAATCCAAGTACTAATGGCGCTAGGAATACACCAACAGTAAACTGTCCCATAGGCATCTGCACAACTTGTAGACGGAGAGGTCGGTTTCTATACAAAGACATTAACCATTCAGACCCTCTGTATGTAGAAAAACGCCCACTTTAGCAGGTCCATAAAAACAACAACGGACGCTTCAGTATTGGTCGGTATTCCATACATCATACTCCTAAACGTCATAATAAGGAATGCCACAGAACTAATCAGAAGCCAAAAACATAAACCGACTCACCTTCAAACAAGCCACGTAGAAGTCTTGCAATATGGTGAGAAAGCTTCTATCATGCCGCACCAGCATGCCTTCCATACCTTTCCTTCCTTTGGGGGAAGAAGTAGCAGCTGTCTTCGCTCCATCAAATGCCACACCTCCTGAGAATCCGGAACCATCTTTCATGCTATTTTGTCTGTGCAAAACCTCATTTGCATTCTCTTCTATAAGATCAGCTTCTCCATGCCTGCACAAATCCCACTGCTATCAAACGGTCTACTTGGCACCGTCGCCTTCGTTACTAGTGGTGAAAATCCTGATAACGTAATGTGCACGAGCAGAAATCAATTCCCACCAAAGCAAATTCTAAACTAGCAGTGCACAAACCAGCAAATAGAGTACCTGTCCACCTGGATAAGATGGAGAGGACCAGTCGTTATGCAGTAATTAAGAGGTCTACGTTAACAAATTTATAAAGGTTTAGTAAAAAGAGTCTAACGGAATTCCAGCTGCGGGAGCTTTAAGTGGCTCCTGACACAGGCCATTTAAGACTCCTGATTTAAGATACGCACGTCAAAGCTCGACAACGAAATACCAAAATATCACAATACCTCAATTGAGTCATGTAAGCAGCAAATTGCACTGAGTGACGAAGGCGTCGCCATCTATTACCAGCTCCAGAAGAAGATCGCACCAACCGCACAGAACCATCCGGAGACTGCAGGGTGTCACGGCTAGCAACAGATTTCTCATGTTCGTCTCCACTTCTAGGGGTTGATGCAACAGATTCATCTCTCAAATCACTTCCCTCAATCCCAGACAAGCCGTCGAGCTTCATATGAGTGATCGACGTTTTCTGCATGCTTCTACTCTTGTTAGTTCCCAACCGGCCACTCGGTGGTAGAAATGCCTAATCCTCCTTCGCCCCTAAAACAGGAAAAGACGTAGCATCTTCTTGCTGAGGTAAGCCTTTATTACATTCGGCAAAGCTTTCACCCGAAGATTCCTTCCCCACGGGATCCACTTGTCCTCCAATTCCAGGCCCTTCTTTCCTCAATCTGTTGGGCTCTCTTCCATTTTCTCTTCTAAGTTACAAAGGAGCAGTCATCCATCACTTCCACCCAATTCCCTCACCGTCGCTCCCATCTTGCTTCGCCTTCTAGATAGTGCCCCTACTCTACCCGAAACATACCGCTAACGCATCTTGAGAGGTATAATCATCCCGAATGCTTCCATTCTGATCCGCACTAGGGGTAGTGTATGCCGGCAGATCCTCCTGTAGCATGTAAAATGGCTGCTACTCTCTGTAGAGGATTGCATTCAAGTCAGTCTCTTCAATAGATGGCGCTGACGACAACAAAATCCGCGGAACTTCTCTCCTTCTATTTGCCGCGAGATCATCCTCTGCGGACAAACTCCCCTACTCCCGTTAACGAAACCTCTTTTTCAACTAAAAACTTCACAAAATCCTTCGAGGATCTCCAAAAGCCTCCCTCTCCAGCGTCGAAAAATAACACTCACCACCTCCAACTCCCTCATGCAATACTCCAGCTCAAGCAAGCAAACTCCGTCCACTTATCAATCAACACAACTGTAATACAAGGACGCTCGAATCCATGATTCCTAGATTCTAAATCGACCACGACAAGTCTTCCAGATCCTATCACTACACCACTCCACCAAATTCTCCAAATCCAATCACGCTCCACCACTCCCCTCCCGCAAAAAATCCACCAACCAAACTATCCATCAACTAACAGCCTCACAAAAAATTCGCAACAAAACAACCTCACATACACCTCATAAACCACTCACTCACTCAGTCTCTCATTCACTCCCCGCTGCAAAGAACCACTCACTTCAGCCTCCGCAATCATCCAACCATTTCCAACTCCAAAACAATCAACAACTTCAGAATTCAAGCTCAAATCCCAAGACAAACTCACCTCCTCCTAGTCTCCCCCTCACTCCAGCTCCACGCCCACCCCTCACGCAGCAGCAGCTGGTCGCGACATGTACGAAAGAGAGCAGCCACTGCGTACTAACTAGTGCAACAAACAAAGCTCTTCACCGGTCATGACAAACAGTTGCAATCTCGCAACGCGCCTCCAAAGCCTACAACTCAAAGCCATGGCGAGGTCGGGGCGGGGCAGCAGGGCGAGCACGAAGAAGGGGGCCGACGAGTGGCGTGGGTGGGGGCCGAGGGCTGTATGAGGAAAGGACCAGGCATTGGCATGGTTCCAGGTTCGGCAAATGTCGCTGTAACAGTGATGACATGGCATGACGGGGAAGGGCCCTTTGGCACCATGAGCACAGGCACGCCACCTTAAACCCCCCCCCACCCCCTTTCCCCGCGGGGGGCACGGGTACAGGGGAGTCGGGGTCGGCGGCATGGTACCTGCAAATGCATGGCCCACAAGGGCAGCCGCGGATGAATGGTAATTTATGGATGAAATGTTATGGGTCATATTGGATGAATGAAGAGTGGCTGGTGTGAATTGGGGGGGGGTATAGTTTGTCTTTGTGTTGGTATTGAATTGGGAAGGTATCATAATTTTATTGTGTGGATGCGTGTTTCTGTCGCCACTTTGATGGACTTTTTGGAGGTCTTTTTAGGTGGCTTTTAGTTGCCATCCACGTCACCTCTCACACTGTTGTGAAGCAACTTTGTAGATCTGTCACATTTCTAGACATGACCATGTTCACTTTTCTTCTTCCAAAGTAGAATGTAATATTAATATTAAATACTACATTTGTGGGGTTTTTCTTACTTTTGATATTCTAAAATTGCTACACAATTTTTTAAAAGAGAATATATATAAATGTTGTGTGGTTGTTGTGTTGTGTTGTGTTGTGTTGTGTTTTCCTTTCCTTTTCTTTTCTTTTCTTTTCTTTTCATAGTCCTTGATATCTTCTCTTACTGTTCTTATGTGAAATTTTTTCTTTACTTCTCTTCTCGTTGTTCTTACTCCCCTTGAATCCAAACATGATTTATTGAGTAGTGAAAGAAAATGTGGTGTTGGATGAGTTGTAAAATAGGATATCCCATGCTCTCCACAACCTCAAACATGCAATTGCTTGCATCGGAATAACCAAACAAATAGATGCATGGTGCAAAATACACAGGGAAGATGTCAAATTGCACTTTGAGCATTCCATGCTCTTAATGGAAAATACATCACTTTATTTATTAAAAAAATTATAATAATTAATAGGAAACATCATATCATATATATAAATATGTAGATACACATTCATTGTTTTGAATTTTGTACTAATTACAAGAGCATCAATACAAACAATTCTTAAAGAATTTTGTTATCTTCAAAATAAAATATTTTATTTGTTTAAGATATGAATAGAAAAATAGACTTTTAAGGATGTGTTTGTGTCATAAAATATATAAATATGTCAGTGAATAAATTTGTGACAAATAAAAAAAAAATTGAGGACACATAGTACTTGAAATTGACTTAATTGAATTTATGTCATGTCACACACATAACTTGTCAAAGTGAATGCTAGTCACAAGAATGTAGTTCAAATAAAAATCTGTAGCAAATCAATATGTTTATTATGCTTTATCTTGACGTATAGGTGGGCCAATAACAATGCGCAAGGTTTGATAAACATTGAATGAAAGACCATTTTATCTATAAGAAATCTAAGCTATTGTAGTATAAAAATCAAAATTTGAAAACCAGAAAACTAAAAAACTTAAATTTTGACAGCATCATCCAAAGAAAATAAAATTCTAGTTTGGAATTTTGAACTAATTGCGAAGTGATGAGCAAGGGTCTGAGGATAAGGAATACTTTTGACACAGGAAATTATAAATTTTGTAAAACATCAATAGAATAAATACATATATATATATATATATATATATAATAGAAAATTCTTCATTATACATTAGACAATTCTTCACTATTTCTCTACAAATACAAAGAATATCAAAAGCTTATAAAAACAGATCTTAGACAAAAAAATGAAATTTCTAATGATTCCAAATCAAATTATTTTCATGTGGGTTTGTGCAAGGTAAAGACATCAAATGTTAACATAATTTGTATTATTCTCAATTTGTAAATTTATTATTAAAAACACATAAAATTTTGAGTTTCAAAGGCATATGGTTTAGTGTGGAATATTGCACTTATATTTATTAATGATACTTGTACTCAAGTTTATTTTATGTATATATATATATATATATATATACACAAAAGTTACTGTTTGGATTGGGTAAAACATTATCACAATGACACTCACAAAGAAAGTGCAGCAAAGAATAATCAGTGAAAGATTTGTCACAAAAATGGAACTTGCATGTAAGACCAAATATTGCATGCATGTTCTCATAAACATATATATGGGTATAATCCATCATCTAAAAAAATAAACAAATAAATAAATCAATAAATAAAGGAATATATATATATATATATATATATATATGACATTACAAAATATCAGTAAAAATCTGTTCATCTTTGTATTCCACAAGGCATTACACACGGTTTCATCATTACCAATCATATAAGTTATAATTGATGATTTTTTATCAGCTATTTTTTATATAATATGTTTTTGTAACATGCAACCTTCAATTTTGTATCTAGTTTTGCAAGAAAAGTCATGAAAGTCTTCCAAAGCACTTCATTTTCACATCAAGGTTAATCTGAAATCCTGCATAAACTTGCAACATTCATTGAAATGTGGTTCTAACGTTGACCTGAAAAAATATCAGAAGAATTGGGTCCTTGAATTACAATTGAACCACCAATTTGTAATCACACCAAGTCCAACTAGGACTTGATTTTTTGCCACCACTTTTACTCCGCAAAAAAAATCCCGGAGCAGAAGGAAATCCGAAGAGTGAGTTGAACTAAGACTTGGCCGCAATCTTCTACAATCGAGAACGCTGTTTGGAGTTCACAATCTTCGCACATTCAACCCGCAGTACTCGTCTCAGCAACTTGTTAGATGGTGTTCGTGGGAATTCTGGGAAAACAACAACTGCTTTCACCTGGGTGATAGTGAAAAATGAAAGCAAACATTAGCAACATTCACAGCACCATTGGCAGCGTTGCGAAGGCATTATCAGGTTCTCAGAGAGCTATGTGTTTCTGTGATGAATTCGCCATTAAAGGAAAACATAATGCACTGCCCATAGGAACGTAAAACATCAGTAGGTGCGTACCTTGAACAAAGGGTTCAAATTGGACACAACAGAGGAGTGAAAAAATTTCTGGAGCTCCTTGGTGCTTAGGTTGAAACCTGGTTTCAGAACTGCCGCAATCAAAAGCTCATCTGGGCCGCCTCCAGGCGGTTGCACCGCGACGGCTGCGGTTTCCTGAACAGAGTCGTGAGCTTTGTTGCAAATCTGTTCAATTTCAACAGCACTCGCCTGGAAAGAGCAGAGAGTTCACAAAGTTAGGGTGATAATAACTTCAATTTCATGATCTTTTTGTCAAATATGCAGTTTATTGTAGAATTATGCAACACTCTGCACGCATGCAGGTCAAAGAACAGATATGCGTTTTGATTAGTAGCTAAAGATTTTCCCCAGCGTACGTTGTCCTAGTGCATACAGCCCCGCATTTTAGTGTGTAGTTAAAAGAGTATCGAGTCCGGGAATCGAACAGAACTCACCTTAATGCCACCCAAATTCATAGTGTCGTCACTTCGCCCATAAGCTTTATAAAAAGCTCCATGAAATCTTTGAAAAATATCTCCATGTCGTCTCAATGGCTGCACAACAGGAATTCAAAGCGTACAATTCATGCTAAAGAGAACCAGCATTCAATTTCAGATCAACCATTTCGCTAGCAAGAGAAGGAAATTGATTACGATTTTTACTCCGTTGGGGGCAGGAAAATTACTTTTCCATTGAAAAAAGGCATCCCTTGGAAGTATACTTCGTAGTGATCAGCATTGAGAAGAGTGCTTGATGCTCCAAATATATGCGGATGGAGGGCTACTTCGCCTGTGCATGCTGCCTCATCTGGCCGCTACGGTCCACGTGAAAACGAAAATAATAGTGGTTTTCAATAATGTAGCAATCTTGCAAAATAATATGTTATAACCAATACTAGTCGAAACTTCATTTCCCAGGTTGTGAATACTCACATATGAATTGCTAGAGTAGTCGAGGATGAAAGCCTTAATGGTCATTCCGAGGGTACTGAAAGTAGCAAAGGCCTGGGGTTGCACCAGACTTCCAGCAAGGTACATTGATCCCAACTCCGTGCCTCCGCAACATTCTAGAACGGGCTTGTATCCACCCCTTGCGCTTAACCAGAGATCATCATCGACAGATGATGATTCTCCAGTCGAGCTAAAAATCCTGAGGGGTCACCAGCCACAAGATGAAAAAGGATCTTAGTCGCTTATAATCACTTATAGATTCTATGCTAACGAAAACGATTGTCAATTCACAGGTTTTGCTGATAGGGTGGTCGCTGAGTGATCTTGACTATCCTGTAAATGTTGGAAAAACTTGCCGTTTGTGATGATGAAAGGGAAGACAACGTCATAAGATTCAAGGAAATCAGCGTGCGTGTCAACCAGAGTAAATGATTCAAAACATTCAGTCCGTGCCAAGAGAAAAAAGTGACCAGAGATCGAAGCACCAACCGGATGCGAGACCAGTCAAGATTGGCCATGCACCCGCTAGTTTTCCATGTCTTCACCAAGCTAGGAACGGTTCCTAAAATAGAGATGTTGGCATCCTGCAATCACATCACTGGTTTCAAAGAGTTCTGTGAATGTCTTCACTAGTAAGACTGTAAAACAAAGATGGGAAAATGTTTTGCGATCAATTTGAAAGTTGTCATGACAATGTTTAAGTGAACTGGATGATTACCTGCACAAACTTTCCAAATTCTTGATCCAGTGGGGAACCGTTAAAGAGTGCTAAGGTTGCACCATTCAAAAAGGCAGCATATAATACCAAGTGTCCGACTACCCAGCCCAAGTTAGTCGGCCAACAGATTATATCTCCTTCCCTTGCATCGAGGTGTGCCCAAGCATCTGCTGCGCATCGGAGAGGGGCATGTTGAGTCCATGGTATGGCTTTTGGTTCTCCTGCAACAAGCCATCAGATTCATTACATGTACTCGTGTTCCAGTGATGAAAGGAAGTGATCAACAGATCAAAAATATACAAATGCAATTACTGGTTTAAAGCTTCACCAGTGAAGAAGAAGAACGAAATAAGAAATAAATAAAGGATAAAGAAAGGAAGAGATAACGCAAGGAAAGAGAAAAAATAAAAAGGAAAATGAAGAAAACAAAATAAAAGAAATTACAAGAAAGAAAAAAGAAGAAGAAAGAGACAGAACAAACAAACAAAACGCAGTCGGTAGTCAGGGAGAACAAAATGGACCAAGAGCTAAGATAGCCTTTCATGACATCAAAAGGGCATCAGACGCCGAGTTCTCAAACATAACCCAAAGTCCGGGTTGTTCCAACCTGTAGTGCCAGACGAGAACAGTATGTTGGTGTGCGAATCTATAGATTGCACAACAGCTTTGTATTCATCTGGCCTGAACAAACAAGGCCACTAGATGTTAGTGAAACTGGCACTCCAAATTGAGCAACTTAGAAGTTGATCTCTCATTTTCCAATTTCATAATTCGTGAAGTAGCTTTTTCCTCAAGCTGATTCAAACTCAGTAAAGTACAACACAGTGGCAAGTATCCTATGTTCATTTTTCAAAAAACCTCACCTGCTTACATGCTCTGCTCGCGTCACGAATTCTCTCCATACCATATCTCCGCCCCTGAGCCTTAGGCAAGATGATTTACCATCGGAAGGAATGACGATTACAAGTGGAGCTCGGGCCTCGACCACACGACTGCCATATAGTTGTATGCTAAACATCAATTGCATGAACAATAGATATATAATTCATTGTCAAATCTCAACAATCTTGCATCTAAGGTGCATATCGGTTAACATCCAATTGAAATTTTCCGGAGGGTAGGAGCCCAAACCTATAGAGTGGAAGCTCCTTCCCTCCTCGTCGAATTATGTCCTGTAACAGTGTCAATTTAAATGCTACATGTAAATACTCACAGGACATAACACACACATAAGTCTAGATGCAGGGTGATCGAGAAAGCCTCTGCTGCTGTTGAATTATAAAACCCTTGCACAGAAGTACGAACCTGTGTGAAAATAGCCTTGGATTTGGAGATTCGAATACGGACTGCGATCTCATTAGCAACAAAGCTATCAGGAATACAAGCAGCAATACACCCTGCAAGAATAATGCCCAGGTATACGGTGACTGCATGCACGTTCATGGGCATATCAATGGCAATCGCATCACCTCGTTTAAATCCGAGCGCGTCAAGGGCGTTCGCTACACGGCTGTTCAACCCAACGTATAAACATGGTTCGCGTTAGTCTCAGCACAATTTACATTGCAAGAGGAAAATAACCGTTCGGCATTGAATTCAGATGCGTGACAATTGAAAAGTGGGAAGGGGGAATCTCGTTCTAGAGTACCTAGCATTGGCTCTCAATTGCGATAGTGTCACTTTGCTCACGGGTGAGCCGTCTTCACCCTCATTACGATACAATATAGCTATGCTCGAGTCGTTTTTGGAGCCTTTAGTTGTCAAACAACTCTCGGCTACGTTCAAAGAAGCTCCAGGAACCCAGACTCCTCCTGGATCAGCCTCGTTGCTCGTGTCTAAAAAACATCGTGGCTGTTGGTGAAACACTAGACTTTGAGTGTTCCAGACAAGAGGAAAATACTTCTGAAAAAACAGAAAATCCAATTTCAATACGATGGTTTCTCACTCTCGTGGACTGAGACCTTACTTTGGAATTTCAGCAAAACCTACCTACACGAGAATTGATGAAATGCTGCGCCGAATCTGAGACTGACTTTCCTCAGCTAGCTTTATCAGAGCACCTCCCGCAATTATACGCTGGCAAGTAGAGGGACTCTGCCAGGACACTTGTAAGCATATATCGTGGTAACCGATGCCGGACCGTATCTTTACTTTCGCACCGAGAACATACCTCGGGGTATTCAGCGGACCAGCGCTGGAGCTCTGGTAGGCTTTCTGTTGGACTCCGATACTTCTCCCCCAGTATGTCTTGGCCTTTGCGTTCTAGGAGGCGCCCCAGATTTGACTGCCGTGCAATTTCTCTGAATCAAGGTACGAAATAACAGATGAAGCACGTGCATGAGAAGGATTATTGTTCATTTGCATTGCATCTACAAGAAACTTAATGTCGGGATGCAGCGTCGAGCAGGATTTGTCTCGAAAATTAAACGGAGAGACAAAAAGGGAGAATGAAAATTAACAGAGATTATGGAACAAAATGAGCTTACGGTGTCGGAATCCAACCCAGCGGTGGGCCGAGCGTGGTGGTGTCCCAATCTCGATAAGTAGAATAGTACATCAGCTGATGCAGAGGAAAAGGCTGCTCTGGTTGCAGAAGCTCCTGTGAAATACGTTGCCATGTCCTCGGCTTCGACTGGAGCGTTTCGAACAGGATTACTCGCAGCTGATCGAAAAAGACGTCAGCCTCTGGAGGAGAAAGCCCGGCCTTCAGAAGATGCTGTTTCGTGACCAGGTCAATGCTCAATCCCTCCTCCTCCATCGCTTTAAACCTCACAATCAGTCCTGGAATTTCTTTACTCTGTCCACTACAACCAACACCTCAGGTGCAAAGAACTCCCGAGCTCCGTCCAGCCCACCGAGCACGCGTTCTGACTACAATTCAGCCCTTTGTACTTGATAGAGATTCATAGTGTGTGGACGTGAAACGATGAATCTCTTTTCAAGTACAAAGTACGACGAAATGCGAAACTCGGAAGCGACCAAATGAGAAAGATCGTGGAGACACAGGAGTGAAGACACACGATCACACCCCCACCGAGTCGCCAACCATTGCCCCGTAATACATCCCCCCTAAACAACTCGAAACAACCATCGCCTTCGAAGGCCAAGTTGCAAGACACACACTGGCGAGACACATTCCTGAGTGGCTTTAGCAGACGACACCTTAGAAGGCTCGCCGAAGCGTCGAATTCCGCTGCAAAAATCTGAATGAACACATATCCATATCTATTGTTATTTTAAAATACAGAGGGATCTGTCAGAGTCAGCATGTTCCCCAGCTTCGAATTCGACCTAAGCCTGGGCGTTATCAGTGAGTGCCCCGCCCATTCCAGCCCCGCTCGACGGCGCTGCAGAGTTGGTTTCCGTAATGAATGTTCATCCGTTCTTCATCGTCCGTTTTTCATCCCCTATAATGTGTCATTTCTTGTTTGTGCGTTTCAAATCAGAGAATCTCATCCTCAATTTAGGTTTTATTATATATATATATATATATTAAATATTTTCTTTATATATTTTGGTAAAAAAATATTTTTCACAATTTTTCTTTTAAATTTGTTCAACTCAAACCAAGTGCTTTGAAGGAATTCAAAATAGCATAAATACAACTAAAATATAGGTGAATCTTCTTCATGTACATTGAAACTTTTGATTTGCAAAACAATTATTATTGAAAAAATATACTTTATCTTCTCTTTCTTTCTCTACATTTTAATCATGTATAAATTTATTATTTATTATTAAACACTGAAAATTCCTAATTCTCTTTGAATTGTTTTTATCTTATGCATTGTATGTTTTGATGTAAGATGTCAAATCAGTTCAGTAAATATTTAAACTTAGATTTTGTTTTTTAAGTTAAAAAATCCACCATCCAAATGACTGTCACATCTATATTGCATGAGTTGGTTAAAATGTTGTTTTAAAATTAAAGTGAGCTAATAGGTGTATTTGTGTGAGTATATATATCCATGTACGGTTGGCACCGCTCATCATAATCGCGAAAAATAAATAAATAAATATAAATAGCCTGTTGAATCCAAACGGAAGTCAAGTAATTATTTTCAACAAATGGGGCTAAAAATAATGCATTGTGAAGCAGGAAAAAAAAAAAAAAAAAAAAAAAAAGGATTTTTACACAACGGCTTCAGAAGATGCTATTAAACAACCAGATTTTAAAGTAATGATAATAATAATTCGTAAAGATATTCCATCTGATATATAAAATAAAAAGAAATCAAATTGGCAAATGTTAAATCATTATGTCACTGTGCACCTGTTTGACTGGACGATGAAGTTTGAAATTTAGTGCATAGTCCGGCAGAGTTTTTGGTTAGGGGTGCCAAAATCAGTAATGGGCGGAGGTAATTAGTGCTGCAGTGATGTCACTCAATGATTGATGTGAGTTTTGCGATGCATCACCCGCGGAGAAGAAGACGATATGCAACTTGACATTGGACGGCACGTTGGTTGCTGCATTGAGATCTCACTAATACCAATGACTAACGTTTGATTCGGTCCACTCCTTGCCGGATTTCAAGCTTGGGGCAAGAAGCACATCGTTGTATGCAGACATAGAACTAGGAGTAGACACTTGAATTCTTTCAAAAGCCTCTTCTCTGAGCATCGCGAAGAATTTTCCTCATGGTGTGTAGTTGCATGCTTGCAGGTGCTCAGTCGGGACCATGGCTATCCAATCCGAGCTGTGGTCCCAAGGGTTATCGGAGCGTTTTGTAAAATGGTGGAATCTCTTTCGCACAAGTTCAGGATGATGGGCCTCGGAGCCTTCATTCTGGTGAAACAACGGAATCAGCAGCAGAGCATGGATTCGAAGGTCATGAAAGTTGTATTCCTGGTTCGTTACAGAACCTTCTCTCCTTCCTCCAGATTCCAAGTCCTTGAACACTTTCTCATTTGGCTTCTCTAGGAACTTTTGGGCCTGCGTGAATGCTTTACTTTAGTTATTAACTACACCACACTCGAAATTCAACTTGAGGGCGTCTGTGTGTATGCAATCAACAGCTTTGATGACGCAAGGTGAGCATGACAAATTTCACATTGGAATTGGGGACGAACCTAGCCATGCAGCAACCGCAGTGTCCCATAAAGATGAAGAGCATGTCAAGAATGGAAGTCGGCAGCGAAACTCATTTTCTGTTGCGAATGGGGAGCGCATTACTAGAGAAAATGGAACAGAACATGGTCACGAGATCGCACCCTCCCAGATGAACATGAAGGAGATCGCAATTAAGGTTGCGAAGAAAATGCTGCGGCTACCGCTTACTTACGCCACCGTTATGGGAATTGTCTACTCGCTCATTGCTGGCAGGTATTCAATTCCCAAGTCTTGCTTCTACCTCATGCAGTGAACCTCCACACTGTCATGTACTCGCATGGCTCTCTCTCAATTAAGAAATTAGCTTCTCTTTGGAGACAAAAAGTATCTTGAATTAGTTCGCAGTGAGCTGCAACCGTGCAACCATTGCATGAGATGAGTGCAGGTGGGGTTTCGATCCTCCTCGAATTTTGAGAAATTCGCTTGATATTATGGGCAGGATTACACTGGGGCTGACCATGTACTCCATCGGTATTCATTCACCTGCTATAACCCCCTTTCGATTTGTACATTTAAATATACTGTAAAATACTTTCAGAGTCCTCTTGCTCCTGGGCTTCTGAAGTGTGCAGGAGCATTCATTAGGACAAGATGTGAGTTCTGGCACTAGAATTGAATCCCGATGTGCTTATTGCTTAGGGCTGTTCATGGGGTCAGAAGAAGCTTCGACTGAAACACGTGTCATGTATGCGAAAGCAAAATTAGCTATCTCATTGATTGTAGACAGACCAGAATTACAGAAGAGCAGCTTGAAATTGTTAACGAGACATTATGCAAATTGCATTTGAATATCGTGAATAACATGCATGAGGAACATCGTGAATACAAACATTATGCCTCCGTCGAAACAATTTGGAATAATAATTGAACCATCCTCAGATTCAGAAGATGGTGGATCCAACTATGTAGAGGTAGAAGCTACAGAAGCGATTACTGTCGTTCCAGAGATCGATGGAGATGAATTTGGTGTGAAGAATTTCACTATCTCCACCACCCAGGACACCTCCACGTCTAAAGATGACAAGGACCTAGACACAAAGTCCAAGCTCAATGTGAAGGAAAGGCAGCAAGAAGCAGTGTAGTTGGCAGGTTGTGATGTCTCACAAGGTCGTTGGGTTTTCGACAACGTCATGGCACTTAATGTCTGACACTTGACAGAGAGAGCCAAGAGACGGGCGTCGAGAAACTGCATTCTCTACGTCGAGAAGTGAGTGCTCCACCTCACTCATATGCCTATTATTTGTCCATTTTCACATACTGTGACCAATTTCTATGTGACGAATAAAAAATCTGTTTAGTTGAGCTATATATTGTGAACCTGAATTTTCTATTCGTAAGTTGCTTATCATCATCAACCGCCAAGCTCAAAATAAACCTAATCCTAAATCTGAACCAAATATCTGATCAAATGTGTGAGTAATGGGAACACAATTCTCACTGCCGGTTGAAGTGGTGCGGTAGTACGTGCAATGTTGGCCAGTTGCTAATGAATATGACAGAGCCAACACATCCAGCACAGCGCATGGCGTGGGAGCGGTGAAGGCATGGATGTTGCTGCCGGACGTCGGATATAGCACCTCGGTTGGAGAGGTTTGCTGTTGTTATACTTCGTTTGGATCTGCTCCCAGCACATGGTTTACTACCAATTTCGCATGCCGTGCTATACTACAGATCCTGCTTCGTTAATACTAAAACTCGATCTGGAGTAGAGATGCTCACTTTCTTGAAATGGTGTAAGATCCCACATGGTCTAATCCTTACAAAGCTGTTAAAGATTCATCTGCAAATTATCACATTATGAGGTGATAATATGCCCTTGAGGCAGAAACTCTCATTCCCGAAAGCTTCAGGGAGACATTGTAGTTGGTCTTCAACGTCTGAATAATGTCGTCTGAATAAATATAAGCACACTTTGTAATGCGACGTATAGAAAAAGCATGACACTCTTGACTGCTAGAACTTTTCCCTTGGAAGAATCCTGAAATATACAACTATGAATGTATAACTCAACAAATTTTGCCCTAGAGCGTTCACATTGGGAGCTTGGGCTCACAAAGCCAAAACAAAGTTTTATAATTCATACTAGGTGTACATATCTATTATACAAAACAACATGGGTTTAATACAAAGAGACAAAGAGGGTTTCTAATCGGCCAAACATGGAAACGAGGGAACATAGGAATGAGGGAGGATGGATATTGGTGAGTTGCAATGAGCCATTGATGATCAAGCACCAATTTCAGGTTCTTTGCTATCAGGTTTCCATCATGTCCATATGTTCTCATTGTGTAAAATTTCCATGGAAAAGAGAGGTTTTGTATCATGGGTTTTGCCTAGCACCTGAAGAAGAAGAAGTTTCTTTTTTTAGGGTTTTAAGATGGTAAGTTATCTACTTGTTGCTTTTCTACACATGTTGGAGAAGAGTTGTACTATTTGAAGCTGATTATGAGTGATTAGCCATTCCGCTACAGAAGAGATTTGAGTGTAGTATGCATACATGATGAAAGGTTTGGGTTGTGACACAGTTGTAGGAGGTTTCTCATGTTTGCTTGCTTATTTATTTATTTATTTAATTCTTTGTTTGGCAGAAGTGACAATAAAGAGTCAAAGCCCTGGTTGTAATCCCCACCAAAACAGCTCCAGAAGGCATAGTTGCAATCCCAGCCCTGAAGGTGGCCAAGTAAAGAAATGTTTGATAAAAAGAGATGTGATAAATTTGGATATGTAATTTTTCACCCAATAATATTGATTTACTAATATAAACATTTACAAATACTAATACTTTATTTTCACATATTTTATGTTATTTTTAGAGATTTGTTAATGCAACATCCCCAATTGACATTGTTACACTCCATGTAATCTCCTCATAGACAACTAGCTAATAACATGCCTCTTTCTTTTGCACATTCTTTTCCTTTCTTAGCATTAAGAAAGAATGGTGGTTGAAAGGGAAATAGTGAACATTTTATGAAAAAATAGATTTCAAATATATAAATCAAACAGTTTTACCCAAAACTGTTTGATTTAGATTTTTTATTATTTATTTACTTTATTTATTTTGGGTTGCCAAAAACACTATTTTTATTTATTTATTTATTTTCCCTAAAATTTGGGTCAATATTGGGATTAAATATTGGGCTATCAAATACACTCTAAGTATAAAAGCGTGCTTTTTTTTAGGAAATTTAAGCTGTGTGGAGGTCACAAGGGGTATATCAATATCAATTAGGAATGTAGCATTAATAATTATCTACTTTAATTTTTAATATGTTAACATGTGTATAAATATTTAGAATGTGTTTCTTTTTATACACATTTTATATCTTTATTCTCATGAAGTGAATCACTAGTTTAGAACATTATGTAAAACCATTTACTATTAATGTATTGGTGAATGTTCCAAATACATTATTTTATAAGATTTAAATATTATAATTTTAAGATGTAATATTTACTTATTTTTTCATTTACCATACCTTGTTATTGATATTTTGAACAAAAAGATAAAAAATTCAACAAAGCATGGTTAAATTTACAACCAATTCGGAATCAAAACATAAAGGAAAGAACATGTTAGGAAGGTACAACACATAAATGAAAATAAAAGAAAGAAGAAAAAGAAAAGAAGATGAAAAAGAAGAAGCATTCAATCTCGAAGTCGGACTGGACTAGTGGACTCATCACTCAAACCCCTTTTCACACAAGAGGCGCTAAACGAAGACGATTACCTCTGTCCGCTTTCACACGGCACAACTACCCCTCGAAACGCACGAAACCAGGAATAGCAGCAAGCTGTGGTAATAGGTCCGATACCTGCGACCGCGGGGCAGCCCCCCGTCCTTCGGTGAGCGCGCTTGAATGAGGAGGAGGGAGGGAGGGTGCGGTGACAGAACGGCAAGCAAAAGCGACGACGAAGAAGAAGAAGTGCGAAGCGAGGAGGTGGAGGATGCGCAATCTGCATTCCTGATCACACTGCTCTGCCTGTCAATTCTCTATTTCCCTGCGTCCATCGCCATCCCGGCCCTTGTCAATTGTCTTCGGCACACACACACTCACTCTTTCTTTTTACCTATTGATTGAGGGGGAGGGGGAAGGGCTGATGAACTTTAATGGAGGGAGATTGGTTAGGGTTTGTGATTACGGTGTATAGTGTTTGGGAGAGGAGTTAGTTAGGGAGAATGGGATGTTGAGGAGCAGAGGGGTAGTGGAAGGGCGTGGGGGAAGAACACCTTGGGTGTAGTTTTTAGGGATACGACGTTGTTGTTGTTGTTGTTTTTTTTTTTTTTTTGAATTATATTGTTCTTGAGTGGGACACCATGGATGCGTTTCGGAAGCAGTTGGATGCCCTGATGGGGGCGAATCGTAACGGAGACGTGTTGGAAGTGAAGCGGAATTACTGGGACCGTGATGTGTGTCGGTTGTATCTCACTGGGCTTTGTCCTCACGACCTCTTCCAGCTTACGGTGGGTTTGAAAGTTTTTGTCTAACTCGAACTCTCCGAGAATGTATTAAGAGTACCCTAATCATGATCGTGTTGGTTGTCTCATAATGTGTGTTGAGGCTCCGTGGTGGAAGTAGTTGGCACCATGACTCTGGAATAAACTTAGCTAGATGACATGCGTTTTTGAGGGAGAAACCTCGTCGGTTTGTCGGCAGGTTTTTAGGTCTCTGTGTGTAGAGGGCTGAAATTTCACGATTCGATACATTGGCAGCATCCGCAAACCTGCAGGCACAGAAACGCTTAAGATTTTATGATTTTGGCTTTAGAGGGTTAGAAATTTCTTTTTGGTGTCAATTATCATTTTCTTGAATAGTTTGGCTCAAGGCAGACGTAGGTGTAGTTATTGAATGTGTCAAATGCTGAAAATACTCATCTTTATCGAAGCATATATATATATATATATATTTTTGAAGGTTCTTTCTTGATCATGCCGTCTTGCTGTTGTGGCTTCTGAACTTCTGCACCTTTGAAGTAAACAACTATGATGGCTTACGGTTTGTGAATTTTGAATCGTTCAGAGTTTTATGTCGGGCATTTGCATTTTAGGACGGGATGATGGATTGAAATTGTGCATCGAAGTCGAAAAATTTCTTTAACACTGCTGTCACCATTCTGCAGAAAATGGACCTAGGCCCTTGCTCAAAAGTACACTCTTTGCAACTGCGGAAGGAGTATCCTTATATTCGTTTTTCCCTCTTTTTTCGTTCCTTTTCCTTGTCATTTAATGAGTTTCTTTGATATCATGTTTAGCATTGTCAGTCTTTCATCAATTCATGCTTGCAAGGCCTTGACTACATTTAGGTACGAGGAAGCAAAGGCAAATGGAAAGGACAATTATGACAGAGACCTGGAGGATTGTTTAGAAAAACACATCGTTGAGTGTGATCGCAAGATTCAACGCGCCTTAAAACGTTTAGAGGATGATGACGCAGGTGCGGCTACTGCAATCGCTGTTTCGGAGGTGACACAGGTTTGTCACTCGTTTCTATTAGTAGTCTTTTTCCTGGGACAGAGACTGGATGCAGAATTGAGAAAGAACTTGAATGATATACTATCCAGGGGCGCAGACATAATCTTATTGCTTGGAGGCCTATATCAGGGTCTGAAGAGTTAGTTATCGTGTGTGTCCTGGCACTATTTGTGCACGTTGTTTCACTGTGTTCTGATTTTTCATCCTGTTTACGCAGTCTCCAGAGGCATTGGAGTATACTAGACAAATCAAAGAGAAGTTGAAAGCGGCAGAGTATTTGGGTAAGTTAAGTTTACAGTGTGCAAGATTGTGTAAAGTCTATGTCAAGGTCAGTACGTGACTAAGCACTCTCACAAGGTATATTTAGTGCATCCGTGATCTATAGATTTCTTTTTCTTTGTAGATCTGGAGGGGCGAGGTGACGACAAAATTAGAATCATGGAAGTTGTTCAAGAACTCCAGACTAAGCGTGCAGATAAACAGGTCATTTTTCTTCCTTAATTTTTGTTGACCAGTTCTCTTTTATGGTGTTTGAAGAGGTTTTGTTAGTGGTGGAATTGCATTGATTTAGCTATGATTAGTACTAATTGTAATTATTTCTCTCTGAAGTAAATTTGCAAACGCAATTTAGCATCAGGCCAAGTGGGACTTCGTAAGTTGTGGACTTAATTGTTGTTGTCAGCATACTCCAAACCTTTGGACCAGAAATCTTAAACTTCTTGTTGTCAAAATAATGAGAGTTTGATGGATTGATGACCTCAAACATGTATCAGGATCGAAACCTTCATTATGTGGCAGCATTGTAGGCATAAGGTAAACGGCGTGTGTATATTGGTTTATATTGATCGGCGTACTTGGTTTCAGGCAATGTCTCTACTGGAAGCTTTCAACAAAGACAGGGCGTTGATGCCACAGCCGCTTGCTAATCCACCTCCTCTTGCCCCCCTACCCACGCTTGTGACCTTGCCACCGGATGCTCGAACACAGGAAATGATTAAGGAGAAACTGAAGAAAGCTGAGGAATTGGGTTAGTGATTGCATAGTATATCCATCATTGCTATTTTCGAGCACTTACCTATTGACTTGCGTGGACTAATGCCTTTGTTTCATACTCCTGATTTTATAGCTTCCATGGTTTGCAGAGGCCCTGACATGCTTGTATTTTGTTCTAAACAGGGGAGTTAGGTATGGTAGATGAGGCACAGAAAGCAATGGAGGAAGCTGAAGCCCTAAAAAAGGTACAAATTAATGTCTTTGATATCGTTGAAAAGAATCTAAACTAGATACATGAATGCATATGGCCCGTATTTCTTTTTCCAAAATGAGTTGAGGCATTTCTGCAGAGCTATATTTTAAGTTCATACTTATTGGCTCTATTGGCTTGGTGGTGTATAGCAATATTTCCTAAATTTCTTACAGGATGTTTGATGTTGGAATGGTAATTATCAATGATTTGGCAGCTGGGAGCAAGACAAGAGACAGTGACGGACCCTGCTAAGCTACTAGCTCCTGAAGTTCGCATTGTAGGTGTCTCTTTTTCAAGGACGTATTATATACGTGACGCTCTTCTTGATCTTCTATGTTTTTGAGTCCTGTGATTGTTTTTGCTCTTGGTGTATCGTATGGTTGATCATCTGCCTGCTAACTACTACCTATATTTTGTCACAGGCTGATCAGAAGTTAAGAGTGTGTGATATTTGCGGAGCATTTTTGAGCATATATGACAGGTTTGCACTGTACCAAAACAGTTGATTTTAGTTTGCCGTTGAGCATCCATAAATTTTGAATTAGTCCACGTTGCTTGTCCTTCATCGAAAAACTGAGCATCAGGGAAACCATTCACTCGCTCACGTATGATACAAGTTTGTCTCGGCGCCTCCAGCTAAACGCTTTCCTAAGTTGATCACCCATGTTGGCGTTTGGCAGTGAACTTGTCTTGGGTTTATGAAGATGATGATGACATTCCACCGTGTTGACTGTATGTATTATGCATTTCATTTATTTTTCAAGTTTGTTTCTCTACCTGTAGGCGTTGGCTGAATTTGCGGTTGCTAAACCTAGTTTTGTTCTTGGTGTATTCCCTTCTTTATCTACTTGCAGTCGTGGTGTGTTTATATTTTAATATCTTCCTTCCTTTTTCCTTTTCTCTTCTTCTTTTGTTGGAATGTTGACTCTTCTAATGGGTTCAGAAGGACTTATCTTTTAGATGCTGCACTTAATGCTGCCAAGTGGTGGGTTTCATGATTAGTGCCTTGCTGCTTAATACTTTCAGTGACCGTCGCTTGGCGGACCATTTTGGAGGGAAGCTGCATTTGGGTTATATGCAGATTCGTGAGAAGCTCGTTGACTTGCGGGTACGCGCTTATTTCTACTTTCCAAGATTTTGTTTTCAAAAGCATGGTAAAGCGCGTGTATTGCCTGGTAGTGCCACAAATAGGAATATCTAAGTGGTGGACTGTACGCTGAGGATCGACAAATTGATGATCGTGTTTACTCCCGTCTACTTCGTTAGGTATTTCAAATTAATAATTTATTCTCGAAATTTGAAAGTCGAAGTTCTTGGTGTGGGAGGTTTCTGTGGCTTTTGCTTATATTCAAGAGTTTAGTGATGGTAAGAAAATGTGAAAGCTGGAATTTATAGTTCTAGCTGAGTCCGTTTGTTTACGTAACCAGTAATGTAATGGGTGGTGTATGTGCTGATTATAAATTAAACTAAGCCTGAAAGTAGTTGGTATCAAGCTCAGGTGGTTTCAAATTGTCTTGACGTACTTGTAATAACAATATAGATTGAGTTTGTTCTTGATTGAACTGTTAGTTTTTATTTTTGGTATCATGAAAGTCATGTCGCGTGGGGCGGGGGGTAACATTGAATATATACGATAAATGACTCGAAGCTTCAAGTAACGCAATTGATATTGAACTTCATTGAAATTGAATTACGTAAAATTTTCTAAATTCCTGAGTTATTACCTACTGTTTTACTATGGACCCGGCAGAATGGATATGCTATAAGAACAGAGAATGCAGTAACTGTGAAGTTCTTAGGATGAGTTTTGAACCTGCAGACTCAAGAACGAACCTACGTTGCACCGCTCGGCATCTGCTTGTTTAGTAGACAACTTCGGTTGGTCATCTTGTATGCAGTTATCATTTCCCACCAATCAACACCTTCGGTGGGCAATGGTACCTTTTTTGTAAGATCGTTTTACCAGACATTGTCTGATGTAAATTTCAGCATGACGGCAGAAAGATATTCTGTAGTAAAGATTGCACCTTGATACTGTTTCCTACGATACATATAATATGATTCAAGGTCTATTCGATTCTGTGGGTGTTTTTTTTTTGTCGAATTTGGCTTAGGATTTACGAAAATACTTCGCATTTCATGGCTGAGAATGTTTGTGGGTTTCACCAGGCTGAGCGAGCCGCCAGGAATGCGGGGCCATTAGACGATGAAAAGTAAGTCTTATTTCTTCCCGCTTAGTTTCTCATCTTAGAACAATAGAAGCCTGATTCAATTCTGCCATTCTATGCGCAAGCTTTTGCTCAAAGATGCAACGCCTTTATTTGACAAATTTTGAAACTAACATTTTTGTTAGACCAGGTCTCGAGAGCCCAGTAAAGCTCGGTCTATGAGTAGAGACAGGGAGAAGGAGAGAGACGTCGATCGTGAACGAGCGGATCGAGAAAAAGTGAAGGAAGCTGAAAGAGAGCGTGAACGCGATCGCGATAGGGAACGTACTCGAGGTCGTGATAGGGACCGAGGTCGTGACCACCGCAGTGGAAGTGGAAGGGGAAGAGATAGAGACAGAGACGGCGAGCGCGATCGTGGAAGATCAGACCGTGACTACAATAGTCGTAGCCGTAGGTCAGTCTTTTCCTTACCTAGGACAAGGAATAGCTCATAGAACATTGGTCACTGCAGTTAAGCAGTTCATATGATGCAGGTTTGTTTGGTCAAGCTTGTGAGTTGGTTTTCTCTGGTTCATCGTGTGCTTAAAACAGTACCTGTGATCTTAAATGCAGATCACGATCGCGCTCAAGAGAACGTTCCAGAGATAGAGACAGGAGTGATCGGTACAGGTAGGTTACGGTTCTATTCCACTTGTACCTCGGTTGAATTCTTGACACATATTTCTTCCATGATTTGTCAACGCATGTAAGAGTTCCCATAATTTCATGCTGTAGTTACATGAATTGAGGTTTTGATTCCGAGGATGTTGGTAATCCCATTTTTCAAAGTTCAATCTTAAATTTCTTAATAATGACTTGCAGGCGACATGACCGATATGCTCGTTATTGAGACTTATTTGCAACAAGCGATCAACATGCCCTTGAACATCATATGATTTTGGATGTCATAGCAAAGTAAAGTGCCTGGTGGCGCATTTGAAAGTAGAAGTCTTACCCTGCCAATCTGGTGACAACGGTTACTGTTCATATTCTGGTTCTTCTAAGAGTTTGTGCGCTTCAAGTCCTGTCTTCATCATCAGGCTTGCTCTGGCAATTTGTGGATTGGGATCCTATATGATCTAAGGGACAGAATGTGTAATCAAGAAGTGAGGGACAGGATGTAGAGCATTCGAACTTGTCAAGCGGACTTACAATGAATGTGGATGTCACAATCCATTTGTTGAACTATTTCCAGGATATTGAATATTGAATTTTTTTATTTTAGGTTGGGTCATTTTTGAAGTAGGTCTCTGTGTACCTATGTTGTGCACCTCCGTCATGGTCTTCTGATGATGTAAGTTTCTCAACCTGTATGTTTTGAGGCATCCGTACACTCCCTTTTTGCGTGTCTTGTTGGAAAGTTTTTAATATTCTGTGCTTGTATTTGAATCCCCTTCATAAATTTTCTTATGTACTTCCCCAGCTTTAATACAATTATATTAACCGTGTCTAAGTAGGATATAGTACTCATCGAGGTAGGGTGTTAACGTAATGTAAGATTCTGGAATGCAATATGCACGAATGGATAAGTCGGACAAGATTCATATCGAAGACCAATTGGGTTTGTCAAAGTGAGGGAAAACAGTGGTGGAATAACTTCATAAGTCCAAATTAGTAAATAAGAGTGCAATGAATTATTTTCAGATTGATGCCCCTCGAAGGATGTGATCAGTTTCCTTCGATAGAGATATTTCTTGGTGATGTGGAGTGTGCAAAGGACATATTCTATTTTTACTGTTAATAAAGGCTGATTCTTTTTGGAATATAGGTTTGAAAACATAATAGAGATGGTTGTTGGTTTTGGTGTAAAAATGGGTTCTATGTCAATGACAAAAGACGATTGGTTTCCAAACCAATGTGAAGAAATTGCTTGTATGTTGAGAAGTTTTGCATGATTTTATAATGCTATTTTGGAAGGAGATCTTGAATTAATAAGAGTAAAAGTTGAATTTATTTGGATTGAGTGTGATATGGCATGTGATTTGTAGTATATTTGTTAGAACAAAAAAACTACTACAAAATTATTATTAACCTCAACAAACAAGATATTGCATCTTATAGTGGATTGGATTGTAACTAGGTATTATTAGTCTTGAAACATTTGGAGATTTTATTTCACTATAATCTACTTTTGTAATGCTTTCTTCAAATTTTATATAAAAATGAACAAATACTATTAGAGAAATTTATTGCATGCTTTGAAGTAACACTATTCTTTTTACTTGACTAAACATATATTGTAATTGAACATATCTTGGTTTTTTATTGTTAAGTATAAATAAACTTGTACAAAATATGCTTGGATTAGTTTCACCATCAATTCCAAGAGCACCTACTTATAATAAAGTTCTAATATATATATTACTATCTACATAAAAACTACTTGGTTTAGTTTTTTAACCATGCAATAGCTATGCAACTTTTATTTTTACTAAATGTGCTCCAACACCAATAGATGCACTTTCTAAATTGCAAGTTTTAGAACAACAAATGAAATGCTAAGACACATCTCCTTTGAATAAAAAAATATACTATCTTATATCTTTACAATATATGTATTCATAAACAATTTTGTAGATTAAAATTCTTTAGTGAAATTTCTCATGTATTTAAAAATTACTTTCTTGTTCTTGTAGGTGTTTGAAAGTGTTTTTGAATTTATGTTTGCTTAAAACATACTTAAATCTATGTGTCAAATATCTAATGAGATAAAGTATTTTCAGCAAACATTTTAAAAAAAAACGTAATTATTTAAGTGGAACTTGAGCAAGATTAGATTTTGATGATAAAGGGACAGAAAATCAATAGAGTAGAGAGATTAAGGCTTTTGAAATTGCAGCACTACTCGTTGTTGCAAAGAAGACCATACTATTTGAACACATGCTTCTTATGTCTTGTAATGCACATTGATGTTATGAAATATTATCTGATCATATTTAGTAACGTTGTAGTAAAACAATAGCAAAGATATGCATAAGAAGGTCTATATACAAATACTTCTTGTGCTTACCCACAAAAGTATAAAAACATGTTATTTTGATTTTACTATACATAACTACTAAGAAATGAATAATATGTGAAATTTGACATAGAAGTTGCAAAAGTTGATTAGTGTGTATATCAAAATGTATGAATTATTTTCCAAAAATAAAAAACAATTAATTAGATGTTTTTTTTAATAGTAATTAAATATTTATTTAAGACAGCTTATAAAATTAAAAGTATTTATAATCATAACCAAAAAATTTAATACATGCTCTAAATTGTTTAAAATACACATTTTTAGAATTATGCAAAATCATTTCTTTCTTTTGCTATCTTATTTTTGTAATCAACATTTTTTTGAGAACTATTCACTAAAGTCTATAGTGAGAATATTTATATCGTCTAATAATAGAAAAATAAATCTAGCTTTTAAAAAATTTGTAGATTAAAAAAATTAGATTATCAAGTTTTAAATAAATTTACTTGAATTAACAAGAATGCAATGGAACATTACCAATGACCTCATTGTTACATTTATTTTGGTAGTTCTTTTTATAACTTTTTTTTATTATTTATATCAATAAAATATACTAAAACAATCCAAACAACTAGATTACAAGTTTAGATTGTAAGTTTGATATTGTATATTTAATAATCTAGAATTAAGTCAAAATTAAGTTTATAGGATTTATAAAGACAATGTGCATAATTCAAAAAATAAACTGCTATATTTTCTATGCTCTTATTTAATATAGTTGAACTTCTTTTGTAAAAAAAAAAAAATACTAAAATGTGGGTACAATAGTAAAACATAAGTACTTTGGTTGTACAATATGTTTTATTATTAGAATTCATTTATTGTGATTTCTATAAATAATATAAAAATTTGATTTTGGCAAACAAAATCTCTTTCTATTTACTTTTTTTTTTCTAAAGGATATATAAAAGTATAATTATTTTTAAAGCATATTCACCATCTATTGAAATATAACATAAATTTAAGTCTTATTACAATAAATCTAACTTTTACTACATAGTGCAATACTCCTCTTCCATACAATCAACATTAGTAGATAAATCATATATTGTTTCTTTATCATCTCATGTTAGATTGGTAATCAATCCTATAATATTAATTTTACATGCATGTTGCTTATGAAAACTACAAAAAAGACATGAATCCTATACAATTTTAATCCATCTCATCAAATTTTTCTAAAACCATGCCAATAATTCAACCACCCACATAAAAAGATGTAATGTCTCATAATGTCTAAATGTACTTTAAAAGAGATTTGTGCATGATTTACTGCCTATCCAAATTTTTTAAATAGTGAAGCACCTATATAATCAAAATATTTAAACTAAAATATAAAATATTGAAATAAAAGTATAATTTTGATATTCTTACATATTAATTGATTACAATCAAGTATAATTTTGATATACTTACATATTAATTGATTTGTAGATTACATAATAAAATATAATATAACTTATATTTTAAAAAATCCTTTTTTTCTTTTAAAATTAAAATTTAAAATAAAAGAATTAGAAATAAATGGTTTTTTTTACAAAATACTAGTAGCAATTTTTAGATTACCATTGTGGCTTAAAAATATTTAGATAATTATTTGCTTCTTATACCTTATATGTCTATAATAGTTTCAATTTAGTTTTATTGACTTACATGACATAAAAGCATTTCATTGATTAAAATTTTAATATACTTCATCATTTTTTTCTATTTGGTGTTTAATATAATTAAAAGCCAAACTTCATATTATTTTAATAACTAAAAATTATAATACACTAGTATATGATTTATTATGTAATTTAGTTGAATAAATTTAATACATTGTATAAACAAAGGTATTTCAAAACACTTAAAGTTAATAAAAGTGCCACTAGAGGTGATCTTCTTAATCAATTATAATTAGCACATTTGCAAGTAACATTATTAAATAAGAAAAATTGCTTAATTTATATGCACAAGCATTACAAATATTTAAAAAATTGTATCAAAATTATAGAAATGAACATAATCAAAGAAGACATCTAGAATATCATGTTAATATAGTGTAATAACTATTAACACTTAGCTATAATTCTTTTCAATAACTAAGAAGATTTTAACTATATATATATAATACTATTATTTTTTGTCTTTTTTATATATGATATTTAAGAAGAAACCAGACATTCCTATAAATTTATACTATTTAGGATGTTTGGCTAAATATACATCTAAATACATTGTTTTAACTACTTTTGTTTTGTAGGACATGGGAGCTTGCTTTTTTCTTTATAACTGGTTAAAAAAGCATGTATATAAATACATAGAATATATTTGTACATACAAAGACCAATAATTATCATTAACCATGAAGCATTTCATTATAATCTATAAAAAAATTTATAGGATTTTTTCTTATAAAATTATATTCTTACATTGTATCATCTATAAAGTAGAATATAAGATCTCTATTTAATATTGAATGTTAATAAATACCTAAAAATTGAATAATAATCATGATGTTTTTTTAAAAATTACTAATAATGTATAACAACTCATAAAACCAGTGCTTTAATTTACTACTTATGAAACACCAGTAACACAATTAATTAGCACACAAAATTGTATATTCGAAAAGTTATATTTATAGAAATAAAAAACATCTCTTAGTACAGAATATAAAATAATATTTTTCTATATTAAATAGCGTTGAATGTACAAATTTTGCTTCAAAATCATACGTTACTTACTTTTTAGCAATCCAAAATTAACTTTCTAAAGATACTTTGACAAATAGCAGCATTCTGAGACGATGTGTGTAGATGATGACAATTCTTTACATGAAAAATGTCGATGGTTACAAATAATAACAAATTTTGTGTTGAAATTCTGCTCTGCAATTGTTAGTAAACAGTAGAGATTTTTGGTGCATGCACAATGATTATAAACTTGTTATTCATGGAGTTATAGGGACTGAGTGAAAGAAGTATACGTGGGGGATGCAACACTTATTTGATTAAGTGATGTAAAACTTGTCTTAGAAGTTTCATTACAGATGATATGTTCTCTACGTAATCTGAAGCTGCTTGTGGAAGATTGTGTGAAGACAGAATTAACAGCGCTGAGATACATTCAATTTGATAACATATACACAGATATAAGAGTGAACATAGAAATAGTTCACTTTTATTGTCGACAAGTTATGAACAGTCGGTATTGTGCATAATAGTGTGTAAGTTTCAGCGGGATTACTTTCTACTAATTTTGTTATAATTTTTATTTGTGATTGACACTGTATTATCAGGAAGAAAGTTCAATCTTCACTTGGATACATTTTTTATCGTAGTACAGTTCAGCTACCCTTCAACACATGCAAAACTACAGGCAATCACAGTCTGTCCGGCAAGTGCAATAGGAAACGAAGTGAAAGCTTGTTTACAGTGATTTAGAAACCTATTACAAAATGGCCTGGAAACTATATCCCGCTCATCATTCTGTGGCCGTTTTTCTTTGATTCAAAATCACGGATTCATAATCAATGTACACTGATGACTGCAAGATTCGGATGAGAGACCTACACCGCACACACTGTTTCTAAGAAGCATGATCACAAAGGGAGAAGCACTCGTTTGAGCTACAAGCGAACACTCATAATTTGCCGATCGAAGACGAAGACGAAGGAGGGTCTATCTTGATGATAAGTATGTCATGGTCAAAGGCTTTTGTAAAAGCAATGGGCGAAGAGCTTGCAAAAGGACTTTGTCATAAACACAATGTTGAAAGCACCCAAAGCAGGCGATTGATTCAGAGCCTCTGGCCTGTGCAGCAGACAACACAACGAAAAGACAATGGCACGCTCCCTACGCAGGTATTAACCTGTTCAGGTGCGAAGGGACTCTCTCAGCCTGCATAGTTAATCAACGCATCAGGATTGCGCTTCTTAATCATGCAAGCACCCCTGGTGCCAGAATTGATCAGTTCGAATCACAAGAAAAAAGTTTTCCCTTCTTCAGAAGACCACACAACAACAAGACAGATCTAGCTAAAAGTGCCACAAAATATTCACAATTTGTCTAATTGTGGGTTGGTTCAGTCCACAAGCCAGAGCAGCCGTAGCACAACCCCTGTTGTAAGGGACACACAAGTCCTCTCGGCGTGTCTCTCCTCCATTTCTAGCGACTGCCCACCTGCAGACCATCACGCCAACTTTAAGTGCAAATAAAACATGGTTTGGTCCGCATGCTGTAATATGAACTCTGCACTTAGATTAGGAGTAAAACTTCGATAATGCGGAACGGTACCTTCAGAATGGTGCATGATGCGTCATTTAAGACGATGGAGTGGTTGGGAGTTTTGAGGCAACGTAGCTCTCAGGCAAGTAGATCTCGCCACCGCTTTCGCCCCACTGTTCACCACTGATGGTCTTCTTCGCGGCTAAGAACTCTCGGCTCATTTTATCCATGCCATCCTTGATCGCAGCTTCTGCCTCGTCACCGTATCCATGCTCCTCGGCATATCTGCGCACATCCTCAGTGATACTCATGGAACAGAACTTGGGACCGCACATGGAGCAGAAATGTGCCACTTTCGCACCCTCGGCTGGCAGAGTCTCGTCGTGGAATGAGAGTGCAGTCACAGGGTCCAGCGATAGTGCAAACTGATCCCTCCAGCGGAACTCGAATCTAGCCTTGCTGAGTGCATCGTCCCAACTCTGCACGACAGACCAGTTAGTTTTTAAGCCCAATCACTGTATCTATATTCACTTTCCTTCTATTCTAAATCTCAGCTTGGTGACAAAATCACTAAGACTCACAAAGTTGTGTATCAGGGATGAAGATCAATTTGACTAACCTGTGCAAGAGGGTGTTGTTTGGCAAGATCTGCGGCGTGAGCGGCAATTTTGTACGCAATCACACCAGCTTTAACATCATCCCGGTTAGGAAGACCGAGATGCTCCTTCGGAGTCACGTAGCAGAGCAAAGCAGTTCCCAGAGCTCCAATGTTCGCCGCTCCGATGGCGGATGTGATGTGGTCGTAGCCAGGAGCGATATCTGTTGTGAGAGGACCCAGAGTGTAGAAGGGAGCTTCACTGCACCAATCCAGCTGCTTCTCCATGTTCTCTGGTATCTTGTGAAGAGGAATGTGACCAGGTCCTTCATTCATCACCTGGACGTCCTTCTCCCAGGCTCGACGAGTGAGCTCACCTTCAGAATCACAACACCCAAGTATCAGAGTCTTGGACATGAATATCATCAGCTTTCAATCATGTCTGCTTTGTGAGGAGAGATTTGAAACGGTACCTTGCGTAGCGAGCTCAGAGAACTGCGCCATGTCGTTTGCATCATAGATAGATCCAGGCCGGAGGCCGTCTCCGATGGAGAGCGCGATGTCGTATTGGTTGCAAATGTCCAAGATATCGTCCCAATGCGTGTATGCAAAATTTTCCTTGTGGTGTGCGAGACACCACTTGGCGTGGATGGAACCACCCCTGGAGACTATGCCCGTCATGCGGCGAGCTGTCATGGGAATGAACCTCAACAACACACCAGCGTGAATGGTGAAGTAATCCACTCCTTGCTCGGCCTGCTCGATGAGCGTCTCCCTGAATACCTCCCACGTCAGATTCTCTGCAATTCCATCGACTTTCTCGAGCGCTTGGTAGATGGGGACAGTTCCCACAGGCACCGACGAGTTTCGCATGATCCACTCCCGAGTTTCGTGGATGTGGAGACCGGTGGAGAGATCCATGATGGTGTCAGCACCCCACATTGTGGCCCATTGGAGCTTCTGCACCTCCTCCTCGATTGAGCTAGTCACCGCGGAATTGCCGATGTTGGCGTTCACCTTCACGAGAAACTTGCGCCCGACTATCATCGGCTCGAGTTCGAGATGCTTCTTGTTGGAAGGAATGATGGCGCGCCCGCGAGCTACTTCTGACCTCACAAATTCGGGGTCCATTTTCTCACGCGCCGCGCAGTAGGCCATCTCCTCAGTGATAATACCCTTCTTGGCGTAGTACATTTGAGTGAATCTCTCATCTTTGAGCGCCTCCCTCCTATCGATCCACTCCTTTCGAAGCTTGGGAAGTCCTACATGGGTGTGCACGATGTCAGACATCACGACTTTCACAGCCATTTCCACGAATTACGAAACATGAAGGACAAAAAAACAAAAACAAAAACAAAAAAAAAAAAAAAAAAAAAAAGAAAAACTGATTTAGACTAAACCTTGAACGAGTGCCAAACCGTCGACAGAAAATTCTTCTAGAAGCACGGCACAAGAGTGTGAAGTACTAACCGTAGCGAGGATTCACTTTCTGCGGTCCACTCGTGTCGTAAGTGTCGAAATGCGGGTCATCTCCAGACAAGTGGATTCTCCGGAATGGCACCTGGAGCACAGACCCTGTGGGCTCATGCACCACTTCCCTGCAGCCATGTGAGACACTCGATCAGGCACCATGGCAGAGAAAAGAACTATCGCACGCAATTACAGATTGAATTACCGCGTTGTATTCGATGCAGACCTTCGTGTCTACACCAACTCACTAAGAAAATTCAGTGGCATTGAGGAGATCAAGGGGACATACTTGATCTCCTTGGTGCTGCTAGGGAAGCACTCTTCGAAACTAGGTATGGGCTTGAAATCTGGAGCGGCTGGGTCCTTTGTGGGACGGGTGCGTCCAGCAGAATGCACAGAAGAAGACGAAGGCCGTGGCGCGGTGGCCGTCATTACCACCTGCATCGAACCATTTCTGAGACGAGTCTCTGCGCTGAGATCTTGGTGCAAAACAGCACTTGTACCCTTCCGGAAGCTCGATTCCCCGGATGCCAGCACCTGCAAGGCGCCAGGCGATCGAGTCACCTCCACCGCCGCAGTGCCGTGGGTTACGAAGGTGGCTTTCGCAGCGCTCATCATGACCGACGCCATGGTTCTTTCTCGCAATCTAGCAACAAAAGCACCACAATCAGTAACCTACCTGCCACTTGGTACCGGGTACCAAAAAAAACACACACTCACACACACACACACACACACCAAAGCTCTGCCAATGCTAGACACGCACAATCACACACAGAAACAGACCTCAACGTCACATGATCAGCAAACACATGCACTGCCATAATCCAACACAACACACAATCCACATTCCCATGCGGAACTGCATGTCGATTCTGAACTCACCCACAACCTCCGACTAGACTCTCCACACAGTCTAGATAAATCCCACACCCAATTGGCGAAGTGGCGTTATAACTCCACCCCCCTGCAAAGGAACATGCACTCACTCGCTCACACTCATCCACACAGTGTCACATGCACACACACAGAGAAAAAGAGACACAGGGGCTACGTAGACAAATGTGATGGAAGAGATTAGACTACTACGACGACGACGATGGTGATGATGATCCATAAAGAAGCTTCACTTATCTCCTGTTATAACGAGAGTTGAAAGGGAATCTTGACAAGATTAGACCTATAAATAGCAGTGTGTGAGATATTTTTAAGGGGCGATGAACCCTAAATGGGTGAGATACATCCGCCACTTCTTTCTCCATCCCACTCGGCTCATTTTCACACAGCCCCTGCGGTGGGGCATAATCCAGAACATCAAAATTCAGAAACCAAACAACAAGAAAAGAAAGAAACAAAGACAAATGATCAAAGTTCCATTACATATAATGAAAGTAGAAGTTACCAGCACTCTTTTTACGTAAACTTTTCTCTTATAGAGCGGATGATCCCTTTATCCCATGTGGAAAGGTATATTTATTTCGTCGGAGGCTTTGAAATGCCGTCTCAGGCTAAATTAGAGAACCCTTAAATACACTGTTTTCTTGACCTGTGATAGGGGCGGGATGTTTGTATTTTTTATTTTATTTTTTTTTTTTGCTTCGGCTTGTGGCAATGTGTCGTCCCAAATGGATCAATGATGATTGACTCGGGAAAAAAAAAAGAGTAAAGCCGTTTGTTGACATGCGTGCAACATTGTGTCCATTTGTGCTCCGAGGATAACAATTCTTCAATTGTAACAATTTTATTGTTTTTGAAGACAGGTATTGTTGTCATTTTGATAAAGTCCTGGATTTTAGTACCATCTGATATTGTTTGATGTGCCAAGTAAATGACACCTTGGTTGAATGAACTGAGCTATTTTATGTTATAGAATGAAATGAATCTGGTTTTTTTCAGAAATTTATATGTTCTTTAGTGTTGTTTTTAAATTTCTTTAAAAATCCACAACATTGCACACCTGTTTATGAGTAAAACAATTATCTTTATTCAAGATGGGAGTGTGAATTTTATGTTTTGTTGAGAATCAGTTTAGTGCACATAATATATTGAATTCAATTCTGCAATGTATTCTATTGCATGGTTTTATCAAAATTGGAATGTACAGCACTTTTATTTCAAAGTAAATCTATGTTCAATTTTGATTCAGTTCTCTCTTATTTACAATTATTGTAGTTTCAAAACATTAGTTTTATAAAAAAAAATACAAAATGTCATCAAAACACCACTTATTCCCACTGATTATTTTGTACACACACACACACAAATATATATATATATATATATATATATATATTCCTAATATGAAAAAAACTTATTCACTTACAACCACTGAAGATCACATGTGTGCTTTTGAAATATTGTTCATACATGTGTAACACACTAAATTTAATATAAATATATATTACCATTTAAAGTATATCACAGATCAGCCATCCACTAAAATTTTAATATAAAAAACCATGTTTAAATGTATAACTAATCAGTAACAAATAACTTGATTTTAGATCTAACATTGAAATTTGATTTTTTATGATATCTAAAATGACACATTAATAAATCATATTCCACTATTAACATACACGTGCTGGTTTACAATTATCAATCCATTGCAAGTAGAATATATATATATTTATATTTATATTTATATATAATATTATTATGAAGTTTTTTTTAATATTATTTTAGAACTAAGAGAATAAATTGTTAAATTATTAACACTTGATTTTATTTGTGTTGATTGAGTTGTTTATTAAAATTTATTATCATAATTAAGTTGCATATAAAAAGTGTATACAAATACAAAATTGTGAAGTTGCAGTGGTTTTATTTTTTTTATTTTTTTATTTTTATAATCTATTATTCATAAGTTGAGTGACTTTTTTTTCACAAGGTTTTCACACAGTAACTTACAAAACTTACAAAAAGTTTGATCCTCTTTTTTTTTTGGAAGTTTTGAAAACAAGTGAATGGTATAATATTTCAATTGTTTCTAACATATTAAAAACAAATGTTGTTAACGAGTGAATGGTATAATATATTACATCTGTATCAAAAATACTAAACATTGATTGAAAGAATTAATTCGAATTTCATACAAAGTAAAATTTTAATCCCAAATAATGTTATAAAGTTGACAAATTTTTAAGTATGATTCATTCAATACATAAGAGAATCTTAAACAAGTTATTATTTTACTATATAAAAATTAGTTAATTTTTTATCCAAGTATCAAAAAAAGAAAAAAAATGGGTCACTTGTAAACATTTCCAATTGTTTGAACACAACATGTAATGTTTTTACAATTTGGGCACTATTCTAATAAAAGGAATTGTACTCAACACAACTTAAAAGGTCACCCCAAAACCCCCAATCCCTAAAGTGACCTAAACCTAATGGTACACTTTTCAACTTCAAAGTCATTAGAAGACATACCCTTCAAACTCAATTTTGTTTTAAAAAAAAAAAAAAAAAAAAAAAAAAAAACTACAAAAGACAGACACATAATAGTCCCTCTTGGTTGTAATTACAAAGACATTCGCGTCAACCCCAACTTCTCAATCAACGAAAATGAACAAAAATCACTTTGCTCATCTTCACTTTTACTTTTATTTTTAAGGAGTCCTTCATCGCCGTGCGTGACGCAGCCGCGAGTCTGAGAAGAAGCTCACGTTGCGTCACGGCACGGCGTGGCGGCAAAGGCGTCGAGAGCAAGGCCGCGACGCAGTCCGGCTCGGCTCCGCTCAGTGGAGGCATTGTCCCGCACGATTTGACCACCGTCGTGTGCGACACTACAAAGTGTGAATAAAAGGAAGCTGGGGGGGGAAGGGAGATTCCATTTGGACCGATGCGCAGGAGGAAGGAGGAGGAATTAGGGGCATCGTGCATGGTTGCCATCATGAGGAGGATGCAGCCAAACAGCATTTGATGCCCTTTTGGGTGCTTGCGATTCTTGTCCCCTTGCGCGGTCTCATTGGATATCTGCCATCGCACGGATCGCAGTATCAGGGACGGCATTCCTTGAGATTCTCGATTGCTGCAACTGCATTCACTCCAGGACGCTGCATGAGATTTCCCCCGAATATCTCCACAATTTGACAACGGGCGATAGAACTGCAGCGATGGAATTGATGACGATGAAAGCGTTTCTGTCGCACACACCCCCCACCTCGCCGCTTTCCACCACCATCCCGAAGAAAAAGTCAGCCGCTGATCTAGAGTGCACACAGCAATTCACCGAGAGGTAGTGTATTCACTGGGATGGGACAGTTGCTCAACCCCTTTCCTAACCCTAACTCGGTCCTCGAATTCCTCAAAATCATGGCATGCGCTTTTCGAACCCTGCAGCCTAGATCTTCTAGCATTCAAATAGTGTTTAGACTGTTTCAGACTTTGGCGTTAGATGAGCTGTGGGGCGGGCCATGTAAACTTACACCCTTCGATGTTATAGTCCCTGCCAAGCCCTTCATGAAAGACAGTTCATTCTTACTACGCTTTGAGTTTACGATTTACTGTCATCGAGCACTCAACACGCTAATCGTGAATCGCGAAATCTGTCAAACATTTAACACTGGCAAAAGAAAGATTCGTCCTTATCGCCGGCAGCATTCGTTACAAAACATTTTACACTGTGACAGAGGCCCTTTCAGGGCACGCAGAGTTTCTCAGGCAGAGAACAATGGTCAGTCAAACCAGTAGGAAGAGACAATGAGCAAGGAAACCCACTCAGAGCACGCAGAGTTTCTCAGGCACGCAGTGTTTCAAAGTTTCAGAGTTTCAGGGCAGGCAGAGTTTCTCAGGCAGAAAACACATAAGTATCTGAACCAAACGCTAAGAAGACAAAAATATCATCTTGAGCGAGTGGGATATCAAAAAAACCAACATTACAGATGTAATACACAGAGGTAGCCATATCTGTAAGATCTTTGTAAGTCGGACATTTCATGTAATACTGGTCTCTTTGCTGGAGACCTCTCAGCATTTAACTCTTGAACCGGAGCCTTGCATCTGCATAAATGAGCTCCACTAAAAGAAGATACTCAGATTAAATCTAATATCAACATTTCACAACACCGCGGACCTTCCTAACCCTTGAGGCATCGCCAAAAGTTTTACAGGTATTTGCTTCAGATGTCAACACCTAAAAAGCTTGAAAGAAACCCAAGCTTCGTAATAACAGGTTCGGCGCATACTCCACAAGCTCCCCGTCAATACGGTTGGTTTCTATCTCGTGTCATCTCTTGAGGTGCCCATCAGTGGGATGGCTGCTTGGAACGTTGTTGATGAAGCACGCTGCAAATTTGGGCAGGAAATATCTCAAAATCACATCGAACGGAACGCCACTTTAAACAGCCTGACTCTTCTTGGACCCCGAGTCTTTCTTCTTGCCGAAGTATGAGCCAATCTTCGATGAGAATCTGGGCCTGCTCTTTTTCTCCTCCAATGGCAATTGTGTTGCGAGAACGTTGGCAAGCGATTCGGAGGGGATCTTCTCTTGAAGGTTGAGGCGTGGTGGAGTAGGAAACGAGAATGGGACGGTGGGGTGTAACGGGCTGCTGTTCTGTGAATTTCCAGATGCTGGGCTAAGCATATAGCCCTGCCGATCCATTCCATTGCTGGGACTTCCCATTGGAGGACCGCCGTTGAAAGCTTGATATCTGCCCTGTCCTCTTTGGGTGCGAAGCATCCCTTCCACGGCAAACTTCGCTGCTTCAGCTTCATCACGTTTCTTCATTGCTTCTATTAACTCGGCACGACTAGCTTCGATATCTTTCTTCGCCATCTCTAACTTGCTCTGCATCTCTTTCTCACTTGCTTTGGCTGCCTCGACCTTCCCACAGCACGTTCACAGATTCACGTCATGGGCCAGATATTCTGAGTCTCACAAAGGTGCTACGTGGAATTGAGTTAAAAGCGAATGGACCTAAAACCAAATGTGAACAAGCCTTCACCATTCTACTCAACTGTCATCTTATTAGGATCCATGCATTAGCACCACGTATTCGAGAATAGTACCTTGTAAACTCTCAAATTGGTATTAAGGTTTGACAGTACATGTATTTCACACACCAAGAATGATGCATTCGACCTTGTACAACCCGAATTTAAATCTTGTGACTCGCAATGATAATGAAGCATAATAAATTTGATTGACCAGACGCATGCACTCCACAATGCTTGAAATCGTTAAAAGTGAAAAGGCAGCAACTTGTAAATGCACTCGAATTCGACGAACCCATGCAAGTGATTAGTACCTGTGCCATCGACAAGGCAACCCGCTTATTGGCCAACTCTTCAACCTCCTTTGCGGAAGTTTTCAAAGCCTGGTATTCCTCGGAAGGTATTGTGACCTCAGCTCCAGACTCGGACTCCTTGACCTCCACATCCGGATTGTACGAGTTAACCTTCACCTGGAAAACGTCAAAAAAGTATCAATTCAGAATCCAATCTTAACTTGGTTACAAAAAAACCAAAAAAGAAAGAAAAAAGTAGTGGTTTATGGAAGGGTACCACATAAACATTGTTGATACTAGTGACATCTCAGCACAATGTCTGATCCATAGAGGGTCTCGAAAATTTATCAAGAAGGTCTGGGAAATATTCAAATGTTCCACAGCGGACTCTCGACCTCCATGTACATATGCCATGGACAACTGCAGAGGATGTCAGCAACCAGCAGAATAGAGGCACGCGGCTGACCTGAGAAAGAGCTCTCTCTTCGCTTGCTTTGACGGCCTCAACTTCCAGAAGAGCTGCCTGCAGTTTGGTTTCTAGGGTCTCAATTTTAGCACTTACTTGCTTCAAATCCTGTTTCGCTTTCGTTAATTCCTCTATCAATGAGGCAGAAGTAGACTTCAGTTCGTCTTTTTCGTCTGTCACCTAGTTAATAGTAAAACAACCAAATACATATATATATATCACTTAACATGTAATATTAAACACAAAAAAACTGCTAATTTCACAAAAAACGAAGTTCGACAGTAACATATTCTAATTGTAAAGTGTTACAACCTTGCACATTGTTAATACTCGCTTAGAACGGAGCGAACACGCGTTCATTGCGACTTTTGAAATTGAAAGAAAACTTCATCCGAAAACTAGAGATGGTTCCATGATAATACTCGCACACAATTTAACAAACCTTCGTCAAAGCTTTGCTTAATGCGGAACTTTCTTCCTTCAGTCGTTTCTCTTCTGCTACAGCAGCTCCCCATTCAGTTTTCATCCGACTCATTTCCATTTCGATATCTGACTCTTTCTCAGCCAGTGCAGCTTCTCCCTCTTCTCTAGCACGTGCTATCTCTGCATTTGCGTTTCCCACTTCTGCTCGTAAAGATGCCATTGTAGCTGACATAGATCGCTCTGACTCCATCAATTTTTTCAACTTTATATTGGCTTCATCGAGGTCAAACTTGAAAGCTCTTGCCTGCCATAGAATAAACAAGCAGCAAATAAGGACAAGTTTTTTTTTAAAACAATAAGAAAAACCGTCAATATCTAATCAAATTCATACATTGTCTCCAATCTAAAATTCCAAGCAGCGCACAGGTTAATGTCAAGATGACGAATCATGAAAAGACTGCAATAACAAAACCTTTTCAGCGAGCTTTGTTGCATCTTCGAGTTCTATCCTCATTCGTTGCAGTTTCAGACTATAATCTGTAAATGCAGCTTTAGCTCGTGCTTCGCCTTCTTTGGTAATGCGTAACTCTTCTGTCAGAGCATCCAACTCATCACCTGTTGAAGCTGCCACTCCAGTCGCTCTCTCTTCAGCTTCTTTCACTTTCTCCAACTCTGCGGCCACTTTCTCGAGCTCAGCTTTGGTTGCAACATACGACTCTCTCATTTTCCCCTCCGACTCTTTCAGAACTACCATCTCTGCTTTAAGAGACTTCACTTCTAAACGCAGAGCATCAACAAGCTTGCTCAATTCCTGTTCAGATTCTCTGACCAATCCAAGAGCAGTATTCAGAGAGAGCAACTCCTCATTGGCGTCGGCAGCAATCTTTGAAGTCCTCTCCTCATTCTCGCTCGTCACAGCTAACTGTGATTTCAGCCCCTCTATCTTTGTCATTACATCGGCTAATTTTCTTTCCGCTTCCTTTGCTACTTTGAACTCGGCCTGCAGACTCTCCAAACTTACTCTTAAGCCACCAGCCTCTTCAGCCTCTACTCTAGCAGCTGCCAGTTCCCTCTCAACATTCATCCGAGCTTGGGTAGCTTTCTCTAGGTGTTCGTTTGTCGTCATCAGCTCCATAGTCAGCTCATCCAATAATGTTGCAGAAACAAGATCCCCGTTGTCTACCTGCATAAACCAATTCGTAAATCTCAACCCCCATAGTGACTATCCGCAAATAAGATGTCATTTTAAACTTCGTAAATATGCGAAAGTCAAGGAATCGATCAGCACTGAGTAGATGTTCATAATCACAAGTGTAACCTACCTCTCTTGATGAAAATGTTGGATGTGAATCAGATAATTGTTGGATCTGCACCCTGAGCCTTTCAATCTCCTCTCTTGATTTCAAAAGCTCAGGACTTTCAAATTGAAAGACCATCAAATCAGCCTGTAACCTTCCAACCTCATCCTTAAGTTCCTGGATCTGCTTAGACGCAGCACTCAATTCATCTCGCAGTCTGCTATTCTCTTCTCTTTCTTTTGAAAGATCTATCGGTGCAATACCATTCTCGGAGTGAGGGTTTTCAATCTGTTGACTGGTTCCTGTCGACTCATTTCCAACATTTGAGAGTCTTACGCTAGAGATGTCTCGAGACTCCTGGGACAGTTGCAGTGTGCCGAGTTGCTCTCTTGCCACAGTAAGCTCTGAGCTCGATTTCCCGTGCAGCTGATGAAGGGACGATAATTCATTTTGCAGCCTATTTATTTCTTCCTTTGCAATTGTGAGCTGAGAGGCGTAACCTCCGAGATGAGTTGACGAGATCTGTAACTGTCCCTCGAGATTCAAGATTTTCTGTTTTGCGTTTATAAGCTCAGTTGAGGAACTTCCACTCTGCCCCTGCACAGAATCCAACTCAGCACGTAACTTCTCAATCTGTTCTCTAGCGGCCAACAATTCTCCAGCAGAATTACTGCGGGCCGATGTCAAATCCGTTTGCAACTTATTGATCTCATCTTTCGCGCCATTCAGCTCGGCAACGGCGCTTCTTTGCTGAGCCTGCAGTCGATTAATCTCTGACATAGAATGTTCATACTGTCCTCGTAAGTTGCGTAGTTCTTCATTTGTTTTAGTAAGGTCTATTGCAGAGGCCTCAATATCTGCGAGCAGTAAACTGTTCAATTCCTTCGCATGTGAAAGGTCCGTACTTGAAATCTTAACACCCCTTAACTCGGATTGAAGTCTAACAATCTCATCCTTAGCCCTTGCAAGCTCTGTGCTGTAGGCTCCATGCTGACTCCACGATGCAGCCTGCAATCGGATGATCTCTTGCTTCGCAATTTCAAGCTCTGTACCATGCATGTTGGCTGCAGTTCCACCCTGTCGTAGCCTGTTCATCTCTGCCCTCGCACTCTCCAGCTCTGCAAAATGGGAACATAGGCAAGTTCAGGAGTGCCAGAATGAGAAATGTGCCCGAGATATAAGAATGTATACATACATTACGAAACTGCACGGTGTGTAGACTACATGAATACGAGTTCACCAAGGTAACAAAACAAATAATACAATAAATAACTGCACATGAGGTTAGTCCTTAAGGTTATCTTCACAAGGTGCGCGAAGTAGCCGCCAACCCGAATCTGCATGTAGCGATGAAAAGAGAATTCATCACATTTTGACCCTGACAAAGAACAGCTTCGGAAGGAAACTAGAAAACTCAAAAAGTGGAAGTCGTCACTACCTGCGGACAATTCGAGATACTGGCTATTGGCATTCTCAAGCTCCTTCTGTAACCTGTCGATTTCCATGCCGTGATTTGTGTTTGCTTCAGAAGATTCAGTGCTTGGCACAAGAGCAGTCCGTTGTGGGCCTAAGACTGCATCAAGGTGATGTTGCCAATCCAATCCGGCCAAGATGGGTAGTGATGTGGACTGTTTCATACCCTCGGTTTTGGCAGCTTCAGAGGCGGGTAGCTGTTGCTTGTTGTTAATCTCAGCGTGAGCACGACTAAATTCATTTTCAAGGGCGTAGGGTTTCTGCAACCAGAACAGGACATGGTGTAAGCTGAATGAAAAACAAACAAATAAATAAACAAATATAAGATCAAGCAGACGTGTAGCCTAATTATACCCATCTCATCATCTAAGTCCGCTTTACCTCTACTTGGGGGTTGGTGGCATGATACGTGCCGGCATATTGTAGACTTGATGAATCCGCACTATGAGAAAGGGACAGGGGTTGGGTCTTTTCTGGAATTTTTTCAACAACCATGCTGTCTGCCGCTTCAACGGGTGAGAATGGAGCCGACTGATCTACCTCTACTTTAGGCTCTGCCATGACTACCCGTCTTTGTTCAACCTGCAGGTAACGAAATGAATTCATTCAGCTTGAGCGATAATTTCTGGAGAACCAACCGCAAACCACAAGAAGAATGTTGGGAGCTTGGTAAGACGACAGTAACAAAGTGCTTGTTAACCAAAATTCAACGTAGACATATAGGGTATAGAAAAATTAGAGTATAGATCTACACAACGAAGTAGAGTTCCATTTCAAAGCTCGTAACTAGCTGAATTAGAAAATTGACCTCGAGAAATAGAGAGGATAATGCCACAAGCGACTGACGAAAACCTATACCGGGAATTACAGTCAACTGTGCTGTAGCTCGAAGACTTACGCTAAAGCTACGATAACCCACCAGAATCGACAACTAACAAAGAACTGAGAGAGTCCCATTCGATTGATCCTAATGAATGTCAGAAAACTGATACGTCATTGTAGCACGGACCAAAGAAAAGCTCCTGATAGGCCACGAAAGATATAGAGTTCCGTTCACAAATGAGAGTGCACGCAAGTCAACAGTTAAAAACAGCCTGGAAAGTAGACAAAACTAGTCTCTAACACGTGGTCACACGTCAATCTGCAGCTCGGGTACGAGCCTGAACAAAGCAATGTAACAATGGTTGTCTATCAGATCTTTTGGGGGACACTAGAAAGCTTCGCCTCGCAAAAACCATGTGCGTCTGTGTGCTGGAGCGACTAGTCCCAAAACTAAGAAATGTCATTTCAAATCGCCTACTTAAAAATTCGTGTGTACGCTACTAGGTGAACTCATAATTTAAACTTCCATTATGCCCAGATAAAACACATTTTCCTAATCGGCATTGCCTCATGCTTCGAATAAGCCTAACCAGTAGATTCCATTCAAAATTAACACCCATGATTTAGCGACAAACAATCCGCACCTCGTGGATATCGCAATATTACTTCGCTCGACAATAAACGACGCTGAAAAGGAAATCGTTCGAACAATTCTACCTATTTAACGGACACTACCCCAAACGATCCAGAGACATAACTCTGCGAGATCTGTCCGCAAACTCTACAGCCCCAACTTCTGGGTTCTGAATCTTAAAACCTCGATCACTAAAACCACCCTCGATAAAACTCCGAAATCCCACGATTCACATGTCCCACCTCTAAATGCACCCCAAACAGACAAGCACAACCGCTCCTCCATGAATCCTACCCATCGAATCCCCTGCCAACCCAATAAAGCTTCACTGAACGAAACACCTCAAAACTGTCGCATAAAACAACAACAATGATAATAATAACATTTCCAGAAGAAACCAACCTCGCCTCCAAGAGAATAAATAAACGTATAAATAAATAAATAAAAACAGTAAACCCAACTCCGAGAAGAAACTGGTAACGATCTAATGTCGTGGCCAAGGGCGTGTAAAACGCCCTGGCCACACTCCCGCAGCAACTACAAGTGAAACTCTACAAAACACTCCTCAAAAGCAGGCAGGCAGGCAGCATTCGATAAACTACAACAACAACAGTTTCTTCCTTCCTTCCTCAAGAGCAATGCAATGGGCGTCAAAGAGGAATGAATAGCCCTCTTCATTCATTCCTTGCCAGTGCCATCGAATGCATGCGTTCATGCATTTGCTTGCTTGCTAGAAAGTGTCAGTGTGGGGTGGGGTGGGGGTAATCGTATGAAAGGGGTGAGGTTGTAGAGGCTCTGGATGATGGGATATATGAGTGCTACTTACTGCTACTCACTGCTACTAATGCTACTAGCCAGGACAGAGAGAGAGTGAGAGAGAGAGAGAGAGAGAGAGAGAGAGGGGGGCTCAAAGTTGGCGGTGTGTGTGTGTGTGTGCGTGCTATACGGCGACGCACTCAATCTGTCAATCTCTCCCTCTTGCTCTCTCTCTGTCTCTAGCTCTGTCTTGGGATAGTTGGATAGTTGTGCTGCCACCCAACTTCTCATATTAAGTATTCAGATTTGAGGTATTTGCAAAACCAATAGATTATTGCATAAAATTATTTTTTAGAAATTAGATACCTCAATTGGCTCCTACTTAGCTTCTTACTTCTAAATGCTATTAATTTTTTGTTTTGCATGAGAATTATGTATATTACTAAATTACTAACATTTTTATGCACTTTAGAACATTGGTAAATTTTAGGTACTATAGTACTCTCAATGGCATTAAAATATTCTTCAAATCATAAAAAGTTGTTTCAAAAGATTTTTCCTGCTTAAATTTTTTATTTCTTATTGCAAGGAGATTTTTAAAAATCATCATTATTTCAAAAAGAGTTTCTATAAATTTTAAGTATTAATTTTAAAATTCTATTAAAGATTGCACTTTTTCTTGTATTATAAAGGTATTTTTTAATCTTTTATACTAATGAATTTTTTAGAGTTGAGTTTCAATCCTCAACTCTAAAAAATAAATTATTGATATTCTATATTTTATTTCTTATTTCAATTTTTAAAAAAATCATTACTCAAATTTTTATTCCTCTAAAAGGAGAAAGAATTGTGCAATTATCAAAGTATTTATTTATGTATTAAATTTATTTGTGCTTACATTTTTCTTATAATACATGTAATGGTGTTTGGTGTTCAAAGCAAAAACATTCACAAAATTCAAACTTCTTCCAATGTTGTAAAATTTGATTGCAAATTACATCCTTCTCAAAGCAAAAGATTTAAAAAAGGATGAATGGTAAATGTATTACTATTTAAAAATTAGATGATCACGCGTCCAAATCTGTGACTTGAAAATGCTTCAAAAAATTTAGTCCTGCTGAACAAAACAAGTATCAGTTTCAATAAAAACCCACAAGGCTCGGTCATAGGAGCGCCCTTGAGGGGTCGGTCACAGGACCTATCGCGAAGGAAGGGTCGGTTGTAGGAGGAGCTCCCATGTGACCAGGACCACAAACTCAAGACCTCACGGGACCCGAGCATTTCTAGCCTTCCGCCATTACAAGCTCGGATCTCTCCAAGTTTCGACTTCGGCAATAGAACACGGGAACGAATGGGAACGCATGAGAGCAAGGAACGCTTGCTTTCCGAAGTCACTTCGTGCTGCTGTTGCTGCTTCATCGAGCTTCATCCATTGCGCTCCCTCATGTTGAAACGAATGCAGGAGGGAAGCGACTGTTTGATTTCACTGCATGTTTTATTTGTTTGTTTTGTTGGTTAGTGAAAGTCGTTGTATAGCGCAGGCCTGGGTGTTAAATTCGCGACTGGTGATTTAGGTCTCTTCGACGTTTGGCGCTTGGGATACTATTGACTACAGAGGATATTGGGGTCCGGGAGTGGTGACGTAGGGGAGCAGTATATGAGCATGATGTAGGGGCTTCTCGAATTTCTGGTTGTATTATTTGTTCGATAAGTGGATTGGTTCAGGATTCGTCGCATTCCGTAGCTTGGCTTGTGGTGGACGTTCTGTAATCAGCGGGGGTTTCTCCGAGCGGATTTTTTTTTTTTATTATTTTTAGACTTGTTCTGTTTATTTTTTTGAAGCATTGGGCAGGTTAGAGTTGGAGCAGGTTTATGCCTCTGTTTATGCGGAGTGATTCGTATCATAATTTAAAAGGTTCTTAGTCTAATGAGCAAGTCAGGCGAAGAGTAATTGTGTGAATTGAATCTGGGACAGGATTTTAAAAGAGTTGTTTGAGCAGCAGTGAGGGTTCTTGGGAGAGAAATTGAAATCGGAATTTACTTAGCTCGTTACACTGGATTAGGGTTTAACATGGGAACAGGGCAAGGATTTGGGGTGATTGACTGGAGATATTCGCGTATGAAACATTGATCATCTTGGAGTGTCATGGTTGTTGTAAACTTGAAGCAAGTGCTGGTTTTCCAGTCTCGCGGGTTGACTGGAGTAACGCTACAAGATGGCAGGCAGAGAAGTGAAAGATTTTACGAATTTAAGTGATCCTAAAGGTGCGACACTTAATTTATTATTTATTGCCTATTTATTATCGTACATGTAGCTTTGAGAGGTGCTCAGTTCGGAGTGTAGCATAAGAACAGCATAGTACTTTTAAATCTTTATTAGCTTCTGGTGCTTGCGATTTTCTTCAAGTAGAAGGATTTAGTGGCACTTGTGTATTATATTATGAATTGTAACGGAGCTTCATGACCTAGTGGTCTTTGCAAGCGAATTAGTTTCGGAGCATTTCAGTGACGAATTCTGTCGACTGATATGTTAAGCGTCATGTTTAAAATTCTACGTTCTTGCACTATTTAATTTGATTACACAATGCAGACAAGAAATGGGGCAAAGGAGGCAAAGACAAGGCGGATGACGAGGATTTAGCATTTAAACGAATGGTGGCCAAGGTTAGAACACTATGTATTAGCGTAATCCACACACACACGCACACATATAGAATGGGTATATGGAGTGCCTTCTGGCCGCCTTCATATTTGAGGATTTGCGAGTCAAATGTATGTGTCAGGAAGGGTAGAGTGGAGGTTATCGAAAGGACTTATCATGCTGTCTTAAATGAGACTGGATATGAGCGTAGTATAGACCTTATAACTTTGGTACTTCTTTGAGAATCTGAGCTTTTGTTTGTGTTCTAAAGTGCTGTATGCCTGGTTAGTGAAGGTCATTAATATAGCGACCTCGGTGGATTTGTATTAGAGGAGGTTTTTAATTTCCTGAAAGCTTTGGTAACCACGTTAATAGAATGGACGTCTGTTTAGAATATTGAGATTCACGTTTGCTGAGGAGAACAAAAGCGTTGATTTCCTTGTTGAATGACGGCCCTTGTTTATTAAAACGTTGTTATCAAGCAGATGCAGGAGGTAGCTGGTGAACGTGGTGGATATCTGCATGGTCGAGGAGGTACAGCTCAAAACGCTATTTTTAGCACATTGATATCCTATGTACTGCATGCTGATGTTTGATGCATGCAGTGAAGACTCCATTGTGATGGCGGAGTGTGTTAATTATCATTGCTGACCTCTTAATGCAATTCATGAAATGCACAGCATTGGATAGTGATGATTTGCTTTACTTAAAAGAGCAAATGGAAGCTGAGGAGGATGCGGAGCGGTTGCGGCGACGAACTGAGAAACGGGCGTTCGCAGCTTTTAAAATATCCTTATGACATTTATTTATTATATTTTTCTATCAGTGCTACAATATCAAAATTGGATTATCTAAAAATGTCAGAAGTGATGGTAGAGGTGGTAGCTATAAACTATAGAGGGATTGGGTGCGTAAGAGCTGACTGAATGGTTTGACGTGAGAACAGGTTTTAAGCTAAGTTAATGGGTAGGTCGAGATTGTTGCCCTTGAATACATTGAGCTCTCTAATGAAGTAGTGAAGGTATAAAAATATTTGTTACTTTTGTCAGTGTCTTTCTTTACTCTGGTCTTTATCGTGATGCAGTTATGTCTAATTGCTGTACGCGTGGTGTTTAAGATCGTTCAATTGTGTTCTGCTCTATACCAGCTGTATTCGTTTGTCGTCAATAAATGAGTGATCTGTCACTTGCTTTGCACAACATCTGGCTGACAGTTTGTAATTTAGGTTCGATGGTGACTTTTGTACTTGATATAAGAGTTGTCCTTGACAATATAGCACAAAGCAGCAAGCTTGGTGGACAATGCTGCTGTGCCAACACTTCCTGCTATACGAGTCGAGCCTAAACCTCGGAGTGGTATTCGGTAATTATCTTCGGGGACTGGTTACTTTGTCGTGTAGTCCTACGTGAATGTTTATGTGGTCTGCTCAGCTCTTCTGATATCTGTTAGTTGATATGATGTCCTGAGGACTTACGGAAGTTGATTTGGAATTTTTAGTGCAGAGAAGGCCGTAGGTAGCCTGAACTCTTTGGTTCATCAGTTACACTAATCTTACAAAGCTTGTGTGGTGCTGGATTGATTACTTATAGGCAACAGGTTTTAGTAAAGAGCATAGTAAAAGTGAAGTCTGACCGACCTCGTTCCAGCGAGCTTTCCTTCACCGTGGATTCGGGAAAGTCTAGCACCAGTCCTCAAGACTCTAATGCACAGAGCACGGCAAATACCAATACGCCTCCTCGAGAAACCCTCAACGCAGATACTACAAAGTCTCAGGGTGGTCTTCTGGGCTTGGCATACGATAGTGAAGGTGACAGTGATGAAGAGTCTGAGGAGACCCCCTCTTTAAAGCGGACAAGAGATCGAAGGAACAGTTTAGATTTGGCTTGAATTTTGTCCGAGTTTTGTCAAGAAATCACGAAGATATCTTGCGGACATCAGTTTTGGTTGTATGCCGGGAGAGAGTTTCGAAGTCTATATGCCTCCTTTTTGCCCACAAGCACGTTGAATAGTTAATTGTTGTGGAGGTCGACCATATTGTAATCTGCATTCTGTACACAGGACAAATATCTCTTGTCCCTGCAATGTGTAGAAGGAACTGTAGATCAACTGGAAACAGTTTGCCGTTGAGACTTTGAGGGAGCCGTAGCAAATTCATATCCATAGTTCACTTCCCAGAATGGTTTAGTTATAATTTAGTTATTTGATTAGCTGGTCTGTCTTTGTGGGAAGCAAAACATTAATTCAATTAATGTTTTTAGTGCCAACACTGACCTTGAATCGGTTTCCCCTTTCCTACTGAATTGTTCTTTGCATGTGCTCGTGAGAAATATCAGAAGGAAGATGCTGAATGTCATATTACTACTGTGCAACACTGTACAGAAATCAATCATGTTGTTGGTGGATGTGGTGTGAGGGATGTTCAGTCTGACATTGAATATTTTAAAAAACATATTGTAGTTGATGTATTCATGAAGGTCGAGTCCGCATGAACATCCAAGTGAAGACCTTCTGTCTAAATGCGTTTTTACATTTCTACCGTGTAACATCATTTCTATTGACCAATTCAATGTAATGGTATTGTGGAGAAATTTTTCATGTACTAAACAGTACATAAGAAATCCTGTTTAAAGAATGCCCACGCTGGCACAAGGCCACTCCACCGGACCACCATATTTACTCATATGTCAAGAGATATATAATTAGTCTAACCTATCACACCGAAACACAATTACTCCAGTAAAAAAGACACTGTATTTTCATGTGCAATTAAGAAACTTTTTCAGGATAAGCAACAATAAACTCCTAGAAATTAACCGAATGAGCTCTCAATTGACTCACAATTTCATAACGTAAAGTTCAAAGGTGATTCTCCGAAGGACTGTTCGGGGTTTATTAGGGTAAAAGGATTTTTCTCATAAGGGTGGAGGATCTGTGATGGCAGGTCAAATTGCACCCGCCCTCTTTGCCAGCCAGCGTTCGAAGGCAGGCAGGCATCACTAAAAACTACCGTGGTAGCGCTGCGGGATAAACTAGTTGTCAGGGATCGGGACGGAGCGCGACCATGATGATACAATAGCATTTGCTTGAGCAGTAGGATTTCGTAGAAATTGAGGCTTCGGAGTGCGTGGAGTAGGAGCTATGGAGTACGAGAAGCTGCCGATGGAGGTGCCTAACGAGGTTCCAGAGACAGGGTTTGTCGATCCATTGGGAGCCAATTCCGCGGGAGTGTTAGGAGGAAGAGGAGGAGGAGGAGGAGGAGGGGGTTTGATTTCAAATCTAGGTCCCTCACGCACTGTGCAGCGTCTGCGGAAAGGGCTTGCATCGGATAGTTATGCGCAAGCTGTAGCTGCCGAGTGGGATTCTTACAAATCGTCGGTGATGCAGAGGTTTGCGTCCACAGGAACTATCACTGTCACGACGGTAATCTGCACCAATTCCCTCGATTGATAATGGTCCTTGTTGAAATTTAAAAAGAGTGAAAGAAAGAAAGAAAGAAACAAGAAGAGAATAAATTCAATGAATTCTAGCTTGTATTGTGTTTCCGATGAATGTCTGCTCTTTCGGCAGCTGGACATGCTTGGTGATCACATTTTATTTTGATTGCAATGCGAACGATTACTTCAGACTCGAATATGTTGTTCCGCCCAATTTACTCGTGTAGTGGTCATATTCCAGGGACTTGATATTCTATCGAAGGAACCTAGAGGTATTGTTCTTCCCAGACTGAGTTTCTTCTTCATCTAGAGCGTCATGGTTGATCTTCATCATATTTGTAATCACTTGAATAAGAAATTTGAGTCATCTGGACCCGGTAGATGCAAGTTGCAGCCGATTGCCGCAAATATCTTCTCACTGGATCTTCTGTATCTTTGCATTCGCTTGATTTATTTGTTTTGAGGTCACGGGTGGTTTTTAGGTTATGCATCTATTTACTTAGAATTGATGTCATTTTGTTCGAAGGGCATAAAAAGTCTGTGACAGCGGTTCACTTGGAGCAGTTGGAGGATACAGAAAAGGAAGCTCGTGAAGGAAGCAAAATAATCTCACAGCAGGAGTACATCACTCGACTGCGAGAACTCAACGACGAGATTGCCCATGCTTGGTTGAACAATGAGCGAGTTTCAGCTCTCAGACTAACGATCAAGGTGAATCTTTGATGTTATTGCTAACAATGTGATCATTTATTGATAATGAGATGTGTCTAAATATAATTTAGTGTCATGCACGAGTGATATGATGATCTTATTATTCATTTGGAACATGAAATGAAGTTCCCCTTACTGACGATGGCTCTGCCCTAATTGAGAGATGTTTAGGTTGCCAAGCTATTGATGGACACTTCAGTTCCACAGTTCTACCCAACACTTTTTGTCCTAGTAACTGATGTGATGGACACCGTCGGCAATTTAGTATGGGATCGAATCAAGAGGAAGTCGGAGGTTGATGACTGCGACAACCTAGTGGCCTTGCTTCCAGGTCAATAACCCTAAAGCATTCTTTCGTCAATCTAATTGCAAGTTTTCTGCGAATTCTTGCATTCCCAAAAGAAATTAACAGAGATATTTCACGGCTAAAACCATGCGTTTTGAAATTTAAGTTTAAAAAAAATATTATAGGGTCTTTTTGTAGCCTGAGTTTGCTCAGAATAGGGGTTTCACACTTGAATATTCTAGTTTACTTAAATGGTTGTTTGGGGTTAAAATGCTAGTTCAGGCCACAATTTTCACACTTTAGTCGTTACATTTTCCAGCTGAATTTACGGCTGACGATGTCCGGCCTGAGGCAAAAGAAACGTGCAGCAATTGGTTCTACAAAATCGGTTGTATTCGTGAGTTGCTTCCGCGAATGTGAGTCTTCTGGCTTTGTTGCCTACTGCTGAGTGGGTGATAATTCTTTCTCACTACTTCTTTGTACATCATGAAACTATTCTTCATAAACATTTTGTGACATACTTACTTAGAGTAGTGCAGTATTGTTGTAAGTACTTCCTTCATATATGGTCATGGTCTTCTTGCAGCTACTTAGAGATTGCGATATTGCGATGCATATACTTTTTGGAAAAGGATCCACCTGTTGCAAGCATTCGGCGGTTAAACCTTATGCTGAGGGGGATAGCTGATCCTTTAGCTTCCGCTTACGCTCATCTTTATCTGGCTCGACGGGGTCAAGTTCTTTTTCCATCAGATTCAGGTTCTTTTGTCTGAACACCAAGTATTTGATTTTCCAGGAGTTACTACTTGACACTTTCGCTATGTAAGAAACTTTGAACAAAATGGTGCTGCTCTTCTTTCTGCCTCTTTCTTTCCGGAAAGCCCAATATGGTTTGGTTCTATTTCAGTTTTTGAAAAAATTTACTGCTTTAGTATGTCAATTTTAGTTACCTTGAACATGGTCTCAAAGTGTTGATTGTTTAGGTGATTCTGATGCCCCGAATAGTTACGGTACTTTTGCAGGCTTCTCGCAAATGCCTGTACCATCAGCGATCTCTCAAAATCGAGGTTATTTTTGTTCAGATATCCACTTTTCAATTCTCCAGAGTGAACTTTGTTTTGCTGATCAAATCACTTTCTTGTGATGTAACATGTTTTTTCATGCGAGAGAACCCTTGCGTTGTTGAAGCTACTAAGCGTATACATACACAATACTATTTCAACATTTCCACTCCTTCACTAACATTGTCAATCTCTTGTACTCAGATTATCTAATCAACGGACTGAATGATTACCTGTTTCTATTTCGACGGGTGCTTCAAGGAGAGTTTGACAAAAAAATTAGTGCATCTGGCATCGATCGTCGTTTGTATGTAACATTGGTGGAGCCTGTATTTGAGTGGATCATGAAATGTATTTTAAAAGGAGCAAATCAGGTTTCTATCTTCACCCCTTGTCGTGCATGCCTTTTATCAACTCATTTTCTAACGATCATTTTTTATAGGACCATCCATATTTTTATTCTATCGATGTAGCCGACTCTAGATGTGTCGTGTTTTATTAGTACTGGGGTACTGTGTTTTAACATCTGATTGAATTTCATGTGCATTGGTACTTTATGTGCAGGAGGAGATGGCATTTATTGTTCATGCATTTGGAGAACCTGAGCCGTTGACTCCTAGACGTAGAAGTGGTAATGGTGGCCAAGATAATCAAGAGCCAGTCTCTGTGCTTGTGCATTACATGCTGAAGCAGTTACCCTCAGCTTACATTGCAAGTGAAGCTTTAAATATCTTAAAGTTGGTCAAATCTTCAAAGGATATTTCACTGTCGCAGGTAAGTTATGGTGTCGTATTAGTCTAGTAATAAAGAATGGTAACATTGTTTGTGTAGACTTGGAATGCTGGAAGATAGTAATATTCTCTTTAGGTCGGAAGTAAATTATTATCATTTTTCTATCGTATTTATGCTCGTAGGAGAGGTAGCTTGAAATTCTGAAGATGTTATTGGACCTTCTGCTGGACACGACAAGGACTATTTATAAGAGTTGCAAATATTGATAATGTGTGTTGTGTCAGCATCTTAATTACAAATTGCTTGGAGAAAAGCTCTGCGAATGCAGCCCTCCACGTGAGAATCAACTCACCATCCTTAATGAAGTATGGAAAGTAAGTACATGTGTTTAGTATCTTGCCACCCTTTTTATTAAAATTTCTGGTCTTTCCAGTAGCCTGTCACCTTCGTCAATGATCTCCTTATATTAGCTATCAAGACTTCATTGAGTGAGAACTGTATCTTAGACTATTGATTTGGTGCCAAATGATCCTAATTGCTGTACTTATATTTAATTAATAAATAAACTCTGGCTGTTTTTTTATGTGGAGAATCGAGCTGCACCGTCTCTGTTGACTCATTGTCTTTAACTCCTTTAGACTAATCTATGATAATTGAGTTTGGTTCTTTTTTACCTAGTTCTTGCATTTAGGGACGAAGTTTGGAAAGCTGCATGTTTGCGTCTATCGTATCATTTAATAATTTGAATGTCCTGCAGGTCGTGATGACGTATGCATCTTTACCTGAGTATATTACAGTAGCTGATGTTTTTGTGGACTATATACTTCAGTATTGCACGGTGAGTTTTCGGACTGGGCTTTGTGTATCCCTAGAGAGACTAAGTATTCGGGAGTAAAAAGTTCAAGATCCTTGCATGTCACAACGTACTCAGTATGTGAATGTCCCAGCATGAAATTGATGTGGATGAATTAATCGTGTATTATCCTATTTGTTGTGCAGGAAGTGGAGTTGGCTGTACTATTGAAGGATATTTTGAAACATCTACGCAAGAGTGATGCATCAGATGTGGTCCTGATGTCATTAGAATCAATCATCTTCAAGCTGGTCACACACTATACGGATATTACCAAAGTGTTGAATCTGGTATATCTCTGCAATCTGTGGTGTAATCTAAGAACGTGTCTCGCATCTATCTGTAGCACACCTTCTAGTGGTGTGGCGTCTAACTTCTAAGATTCCAGAGTTCCTTGCATTGAAGATCCACATTGCGGTAATTTGTTACCTGAGGCGCTAAGTAGCAAGAATGTTTTTGATCGAGCAATGTCGTGGACACAGGTGCATGTTGTGGACGTTCTGGATGTTTTCTACGGCGAAGTTCGTCTTTCGGTTTTCAAAAGGATATTAGCTTCTGTTACCAGGTAATTTTCAGAACGGATCGAAAGAAAGTAGAGGAGCAGGGCAAATTTTACTCGATGTTGTTGAGATGTTCTTTTTTATTCTTCTTCATCTTCATCTTCAACTTTTTGCATCTGTTTTAGTTCACATGCATTTTGCTTAAGAGGATATGCTCCTATGTTCTTCTAGACCACAGGACCATGCCTACACAATGTATCCTGTTTCGTAGTCACTTCGATGTGCATGTACTTCGTGATTTGATTGTGCTCAAATTTCACAGGGGCAACCAGAAAATTAGTGACCCCGTCACACGACACATTATTTTCGAGCAGGGTCGTGTTTTGCATGATTCACTTGACAGCTTGAGCAGTGAAGATGACCGCCGCCAAATTACTAGACTCGTTGCTCGCTTCGTGCAGCTGGTAAGTGTGTCTTTTGTTAGTAAGTCCAGCATTTTGCGTCATGCGTGTCTAAATGTGGTGCTCTCTTAATCTGTGATAGGACATCAACAAATATGTGGGTGATGTAGAAAGTTCGTAATATTCTTTTCTGCTTGGGGGATTTCTCTCTATTCATGAAGAGTTTCAAAAAGGCACTTGTGAATAATTCCTGGTATTTACTGGTGGATTTTTCAACTTGCAGGTAGATCTCGGATCTGACCTGGAGCAGCATCTTGCTTTTCTTGTCGACTGTCGGGCAGCTTTTGGAAATATGGATCTTCTCCGTGTAAGGCTCTTATCTTTAGTCGCGCACTCAAGTATATAAACGTCAATTCCTGCTCAGATTTTTAAGAGGGACACCATCGCAATTCATAAGAAGTGTCTTAGGAGGTTACACATGCTAATAAGAAAAATGATGATTTGTAGCGGTTATTGGTCGAATCTGTGTCGAGTCTTAGTCCAGTCTTCGAAGAGCAATTCTAACCTGAATAACTTTTCAGGAAACCGTGGTGCATGTGAGTAATCGCTTGTCTATTTCTGCTCTACAAATGGCTGGAGGATCGACTGATAAAGAAACGGTTGAATTCGTGAAGGCCTGTGTAACCTTCAATGGGATTACAATCCCATCCATTACAAGCATTATACCCCGCATACATCTTTTTCTTGAGACTGCAGAGGTGGGACACTGAGGGTTACATGTAGATGAAGTTCATTCTGTGTGGAAGTAGAATGTGTTCTAAAATCAAAATTTGAAGATTGTACGTGAGGGAGTTCAGTTACAATAATTAATATTGAGGGCGATGTGACATTGTACTGCAGTCGGCTTTTATGAATGGGTTGCTGTCTCACACCGAAGATCTCATCAAGACTGCTCTTAAATGCTTACAAGATGCATCTGTTGGTGATGGTAATTCTGCTTATGACTTGGGATTGGCCTGTCTTTCAGATTGTAGACGTATGATGAAACAGTGGGTTTGAACCCCGTGCCATTAATACACACGTATACATTTTCACTTTTTTTTAATTCCTTTATTTGTTTTTTTAATTTTTCGGATGACCTTTAGGTTTGAAGCCAAAGGAGTTTGAGGAGTCCGTTTGTAGCTTCTTACTGAAGTTGATATCTTTTCTAACTCTGGTTCCAGGTGAGTTGGTATATTCAAGCTTTTTGGGGCGTAGCTAAATTGTTCTTTTCACTATAATGACTTGTTGTCTAACTGCATTATCAAAGTTTTGGTTCTCGTAAGTTCACTTCTTGTTGACATTGTGTTCAATATGAGCCACGTTCTTTTATCATGGTTTTTCAGTTTGATGGTGGTCAAATTTCCAAGCATGTGTAATAGAGATTGATTATTTATGCAGGACACGGAGAGCTTGGCCCATTTTATATTCTCAGGGGGATTCTGACGCTGCTTGACACAAGGACCAGGTATGGTGCTAGTCTAAACGTTTTCGACCTGAAATCTATTGTTAAATACCTTCTCATCTTTAATCGTGGTTGATTAGGATAAGTAAAAACACATGCTGATTGGCAATATGGCCTCTAGATTGGTTACTGGGCGAGGAAGGTTGCGGGTCCTGTGTGGAGTTGTATGCATGCTTGCAGCAGTTCGTGAAGGGAAGAGTTTTCACATCACTCTTAATGAGCAGGTTCACATTCTCCAAATACCTTATCATAATTTCTTCCAATGATCTTCCTTGATCACAGTTGTACAGGAGACTCGAAAATGTGTGTTGGGTGTTACAGAGTCAATTGTGGTGGTGATGCAATGCAACCTAGCAAACCGTTTCAACTTTGATGTTTTTAGCTCGGTTGTTTTTCTTTACAGGTGGATAACAACGATGTACTGTACTTTGAAGATTCTTCATATGAAGAGGAATTGGCAGAGATTACTGCCATTGTAGTGGATATGTTGGTTACCTGTCTTGATCAAGACTACGATAAGGTGATAATATTTGGATTAGATCACTCTCTCCCCTGTTTTTTTGTTTGGTGTGGGGGTTTGTGGTTGTCAATCGATGCATAACCCTGTCAGTATACTTGGCTCCAACATGAATCATGTCTGTTTTTATTTGTGCAGGCACAAACTGGATATCAGTATCTTGATGCTTGTAATGCACTGGTTACAGCTTTCAGGGTATGAATTGGAATTCATTTACTTTTGATATAGTCATTTAAAATAACCGATTAAAACAAATGATTGAAGTGCATTGCAAAACATCATGGTTGTTCTTGCTTCTATTAACTACGTACTTGGCATTTTACAGGTTGATGGGGATCTGCAAATTCTTTGCACTGGGCTTCTGCAGAAAGCATCAGCTCTCATGATAGATACTGATGCTTATTTGCAAGCTACTGCTTGGTATGTACAAAGAAGAGGAATAACGTAGCTCGAAATTCTTCCCTTAGTATGGCCAATGTTCGTTACACGATTTCCTGTAAATGAGTAGAGGTAACTGTACAAAATTCTTATTCGAATTCTGCGTGTTCTTTTGGTATCTTGCAAAGCTTTTCAACGTATTACTTTTTTGTATACAAATCCAAATGTTTTTCATAACATTATATATATATATACATATATGTATATTTATATCTATATGAAACTAATAACACGTATTTTCAAGCTCTAAAGCTGAATCCGTAAATCCTAAAATTCGAATATATTTAGCTCATATCTAACTTAAAGAAAGAAAAAAAAAAAAAAAAAAAAAAAAAAAAAAAAGATACAAACACAAACCATATGAAAAGCAGTTTACAAATATTTCTGTTGTAATTTACCAAATTATATCCCCAACTGTTCATAGAGATCGAATTAAAATTTAAATACTCACTTTAATTTGAACATATTGAAATGACAATGGCAAATGAAGAAAAATGTTTCAGAATAATAAATTTAGTGAGTGCTTGTATTTACACATATTCTCCCAACAAATTTATAATTATGTTTTTGAGCTATTGTTTGTTTCAATATGTAACGTATTTTTAGTGAATATTTGTCAATAATTTTTCAATAAATATTAATAAAACAAATTATTTTCAACATTTTGCGTAATCACATGATTAACCATCGCATAATCAGTAGGGATATGTAACCAATACATTAGAACCGTAATCCACAACAAAATCCAATAATGGATTGCCGTCAGTACTAGTTTGCTTAGTTTGTCGAAAAAATATTCAGATCAAATACGGCAGTTCCCATGTACATACATCCCGCAAAAATTGAGGGATGCGTTTCGAAAATAAAAACTCTAGCAGTAAAAAACTTGTTTAAACAATATAATTTAGTACTCATATGTCAACAAGTATCACGTAGCAGAACCTGTTCTAAAATAGATTGCTGTGTTTAAATCCAAACTACAATCTAATATCACCTGCAACGTGATTCAGAAAATAAGGCCAGACAGAAGGCCCACAAGATGTTCTTAGTGGATCTGGGAAAGGAAGTAAAAATTGCAATTGAAACTTCTTTCTGTTTCCACAACTTCACTCAACGCAGATTCTATATTGAAGATGTTCATAATGTACAAGAGATGCCACATGCATTTGAGTAAAATAAGGGGCAAGAAAGATTACTGATCCTTTAAGAAGAAAAAGTGAACAGATGACAACCTCCGAATCCTCAATACAAAGACATGCCATCCTCGCCTTACATCGTTATAGCCTGCATTTCCAATGTTGAGCGCAATATTAGAACCGGCGCATGTCCTTCGGCGGCCTAAAGTGTACAGGATGTGATTCTGGTGTAGCTGTTTCGTCTTCCTTCCAAAATTTAATAGTCTTGTCTGCTTCACACGTAATCAACCGAGACCCTGTCTGATCATACGAAAGAGCATAAATTCCGGCCTCACTATCCAGAGAACCTGCACACCCAAGTAGAGCACAGTTCCTAAGTACATATACTCTCCAAATAAAATAAAGACGATTATGTTGAAAACCATCCAGAAAGTAAGCAGAGCATAGATGACACAGCAGATAACGGACCAAGGTTACATACAAAAAATAAAAATAAAAATAAAATGATACATCAGGGGCCATTCCTTACTCGAACAAGAAAAGTAAAGACAGCTGAGTTAGTCATGATTACCACCATATAAATAGTATCCCCTAATATAAGCCCACCAAACTGTGACATGCAAGTTTAGCTTAAAAGAAATCGTGCAAGTAGGTGATGGTGGTAGGATACCAGGCTGCACGATTGTCTGCGCTTGCTGGAAGTTATGCCCACTTTTGTAATCCCAAAACCACAAACTTCCATTATCACCTGGGCAGCATTCACGAGTACAGGAATGAGGAAAGGTAATTTTGGAAACACACAACAGCCGAAGGTCAAAATGAATCAATGTCCAAACTGTTGTAAGAATGCTAACATTTTGAATGGAACAGAAAACCGCTCCAACGAGGGCCCTGAAATACAAACCTGCTGATACCATTACATTATCTTCGTTGATAGACATGCAGTTAACAATTGTCCGCTGCTGAGAACTGCAAAATCCGCCATCCACATCACCACGTCAGGCATGAACAAAGTTAAGCAGAGCTTGAGGTTAGTCTTACGTAAGAATGAAAGACGACAGAGACAACAGCGAGACTACACCTCAATGAGTTTCGGAATGGACACTTACAGCATGTTATGCAAAAAGTCTCCCTTTGGTAGCCGGAACTTCTTAATGTTGTCCGCTGACGCTGAAGTAAAAGTATGTCTGTCACACAAAACATCACATCGTCCGGCTGAGAGAAAATCAAGGAAAGAAACACAGCAAGAAAAAAAAGTTGATTTATTGTTTTAGGATTTTTCATCATGGTAGGAGAGATGTAACTTACTCAAAAGGATGCATCGCTAATGCTCTGACTGACTTTTTGTGAAATGTCAGCGTCGACATAGTTTTTCCTGCTCAAATTGCACAAGTACGATGGAAGATAAGGAAAAAGTACAACGCTCTAACCTCTACAAGACAGGAAAAACAAAAAAGAAAAAGAAAAAAAAGAAGCAGGCTGAAGAAAACTAAAACAGCTGCACAAAACTGGATGTTGAAAAAACAGGAAAACTACATCAGGAAAAGACTACAAACCTGCAGCAAGATCCCAAAGTTTAATAGTTGTGTCGTGTGATCCTGTTACAACTTGTGGATCCTGGAATGTAATGGGTGCAAAAAAGTCAATAACCTAGTAACGATGGTTAATGTTTATTCTCTGCAAAGTTATCTTCACTTTGCAATGAGTACTTTGACCATTCAAAGATGGGCTTGAAAAAAAAATCACGTCCATGAACCGCGAAACAGAGCCGCAAACCAGTTCCAAGGTTGAACCTGGACCGAAGAACTGCTAACTCTGATAACAATAGAGACAGAGAGAAACGGCCTAGGATTCGTCCATGCAAAACAAGAAAGGTCGTAATTAAGCCTTACAGTTGCCTGCGTAATCACAGAGCAGACCGTGTTCTCATGTCCTGATAATGCAAACACCTGGGCCTTGGTTCTAATGTCCCATACCTGCAGAGAAGAGCGTTAGGTGCTAAAAACGTCTGATTGTAACGCGAAAAAAACAAATAGTTTGATCAATTGAAAATGAACCATCTGAAGTGAAGAAAGAAGAACCGAATGTCTTACTCGGCACACTGAATCTCGACCCCCAGTCATGAGAATATCAAGTGTAGGATGAAGAGCTAAGCAATAAACTCCACTCAAATGACCATGATATGACCGAATAACCTGCACAAACCAATACACCAGAGCAAAGATCCTCAGCGATAAATACATATAGTACATGGATTCATAGACACATTCATGAACTAATTACGGATGCTACAACCAACAAGCGTCGTAAAAGCCTGGACACACCTTATTGTATTCAAGATCCCAACATTTGACCTGTTTGTCATCACCAGCTGAGAATAAATAAGGATGCCGGGCGCTCACTGCAAGGCCTGCCGATCACATCCATTCATTTGCTGTCAACATGTGCCACATCAATAGAAACTAAGTGTAAAAATGGGATTTGGCCAAACTCAGTAACAAACCTCGAACTTGCTCGATATGGCCAGTTAAAGTAAGTTTCAGCTGTCCAGTTCCACTATCCCAAATCTGTGCCACATCGGTGTCAATCAGAGATTAGAATCATCATAACAAACAAATGAGCAAGATTGATTCCCGCATGTATTTGAAACTCGGTAATGAACCAATCAGCAGGTTTGGGACCGTTGACTGCAGACAAAGGCGAAGTGAACTACTGCGAATACAAGAAACGGTATCCATCTTGCTAAAGTACTGCAGATGAAGTGAAAAAATAGGGAGGTTACAGTTTGGTACACCTAAATAATAGGGTTCAGATAAAACGGCAAGAAAACAAATGGTGAAATGTGGTAAAATTGGTGAGCTATGCTGGCAGTCACCTTGATGGTCCTATCAGCTGAGCCTGTACAAAACCATTCATTTCCAGGATCAAATGCTATCGACCGCACCCACCCTAAGTGCCCACTAATAACCTGCAATATCCACAAAGCGATTAAGTCACAAAAACATTCAGCAAGAGCTCATTCATTATTCGGCACAACATCCAGACTCGTCCATACTCTACAATTATAAGGAAAACGTTCTTTGTTGTCTTAAAACAAACAATAACATACTCTTCCACCTAGATCGTAAGGTAGACCATTCACAAAATAAAAAAACAGAATTATAACGCTTACCCTATAGTTCACCCAAGGTGGATGCCAGACAGGCTTTGGCCATTTACTAGGAAGCCTCTTCATAACCGCAGCGCTTGGTTGATGTCTGCAAGGTTAATACACCACATCTGGAAGTTGTTAACTTGTTCCTTTTACCACTCCAATCAAAAGCGTCTAACTAGGCAATAATGCGCACATGTACCCTAATTTCATATTCCCATCAACAATGCAAACATAAACAATCTTAGAACAACAGATTTTGTGAAACATGTGTACCGGTCAGTCGATGCAATAGCTGTAGAAGTACGATCCACAGCAGGAGCTGCAGGAGCAGCACCAACAACCGGTGCTGGAACTGGAGGTTGAGCCCGAGCAGGCACCAATGCAAGTTGCTTGCCTCCTCCTTTTCCAGATGCTGGTCCTGAAAACACAGGCGGCATGATTTTCATGGTCGAAATGTTGTGATCGATTTTTCATAATACTGCTGTGAAAGCAACATCTACAAGTGGTTGTTCGTATCAATATTTACACTCTACGAAATACGACAAACAAAATCACGAATAATTCAACCAAATAACAAGTGCAATTCCCACAACTCAAATTCATCTTATCTCATTAAGAAGCCGTAAAGATACACAAATTTAACGTAATCACAAACACTAAACACTATAAAAAAATAACTCGATAGAAAGTGATTAAAACTTAAAGTATCAATTATACCTGCATTTGTAGTAGGCTGCTCTGAGCCAGGGACTCGCAAGCTTTGGAGTCCATTATCTCCTGGTTTTGCACCAACATTCTCCCTAGTGCTTGCAGCCGGCATGTCCTTGACAGCAGCATACTCATCATTCACCTGCATGGTTAGTTCCTCAAGCATCAACACACAATTACAAGAACCACAAGCCCAGCTTAGGGCAGGAAATGTTTGAAGATCTCAAACCAGAAAGATGAGAACCAACCATTCTGGGATACAATTTCACTCGAAAAGTGTTACAGATTGTCATCAGGACACCGCACCCTAATCCATGGTGACATCGAAACTAAGATCAAATCTCATACTACCAAACAGAGCTACTAATTAAGACGATATCAAGTGTTTTTGTCAGAGGCTTCCACGAATTCTCACACAGTAATGTTACAATACTGACTCAAACACTGTAGCGTAAGAGTAATAAGACAGCACATACCTTGCAACTGATACGAATTTTGCAACTGTAGCAGGGCAAAAATCACAGAACACAACGAAAATGGCACGGCATAAGTGAGAGCAGGTAATGTAAGTTTCCGCTTAATTCTCTAATTTCCTGTCCAATAATTGTTAATCCTCTAATACACCTATCGAAAAAGATAAACAAAAAAAAAAACAAAACAAAACAAAACGCAGAAACCAAAATTTGTGCTACCAAATTCCTTGATAAAACAATTTCACATTGGTTAAGCGCCGAGTCATGAGAACGCAGAAACGAACCTCTCAGGCATCGCGCCGTTGCGATCGCCATGAGTAGGCGCGAAGATATCCAAGGCGCGCTTCAAGGACTTGAGGGAGAGCTTCTTCAGGGACTGGGGCTCCACAGCCTCCAGCACCTCGGTGCTGCCTCCCCCCGAGGCCGGCATGGAGCCGGACCGGGTTACTTACTACCTTATCAGCAGCAATAGCAATGGCGACGGCGACGGCTATGGCGATGATCCGAACCCTAACATGCAAACAAAAACAACACACACACCCTCTACAACAACAATGACCACTTGTCTAAACCCTCCGAAAACCTTCCCGAAACCCAAATTCCTAAGTCTCTCGCTTCTGAAAACAGAAGAACCGCTTCGTCTTGGTCGAGCGAATGAATGAAATGTCGTGGTGTTGGATGATTACGGCGCATCGATGAACAGAGATTTACACGGTCTTACTGTGCCTTTTAAGCACACGGTTATTAACCCACTTCCTTATGACCGAGCGTTCTCCATGATGCAACAGAATGAGTCTTCAAACCGCTTTGAAGACTTTGAAATTTATTTTTTTATTTTTGTAGTGTCATTGGGCTTTGGAGGCCATAAAGGAAAGAATGTTATGCATGTGGTTGTAAGGAGGTGCAAGCACAAGCAAATAAATCATTTTTGTATGAATAGAATGTGAATATAATTTTAAGTGGAATATGAATCATTTTCTTTATTGGCTTTCTATTGCATCTCATTTCCACCTCTTCGGTATTCTTTTAATCTTTTTTCTTCATTATTTCTTATTATAGAATTTAAATGTAAAAATAAGAATAATAAGACATTTAGTGTAATGTTTAGGATGGATTCAAAAGTGAAGGAATAAAAATAGATTAATAAATTGGAAATGAATTATTTACAAGCTTTAATGCATTGTAGAATCTCCATTAATAATAATAATATTATTATTAATATAATAAATTTTATTTTTTTAACATAATTAAACTTAAGTAAATTTAATAATCACTCATTAATATTAAATTCAATCTTCTAGATTTTTTGTTTTTTTTAATACATTTAAAAAAAAGCCAAAGTTTTAAAATTTTAATATAGAATTTATTTTTCTATTGTGCCAAAGAAAAATATATATATTTCACAAAACTTGAGATTAAATAAATGAAATGGGAATGTAATAATTGTTCATCAAATATATAATTTATATCTTTGAAAATGGTTTAGAAATTTGTAAAATTTTAGATTTTAGATATGAATTTATCGTTATTTAAAAAAATACCAAATTAGTATTGTTAAAAAACTAATCAAATGGTTTTTTTTTTTATCTTATATAACTTACACAATAAAATATATCCCTACAAAGTTTAAGAATTACATGTAAGCAAAGTTGTCACAAAAAATTGATGAATTTTAGAAAATTTATGATTTTATTAGAGTGAAATCTTATCAATTGTTTTATGTGGTTAAAACTCCGTCAACCTACTTGGATGTACAAGTTAACAACACTTTTATTTAATATTGTGAATATTGAACTTATAGATTGTAGTTTTTGAATTAATCATTTTAAGTATTTTAAAACAAATATTTATAAATTGAATGGAATTGAAGAAACAAATTCATTACAATGTGCTTGTCGTTTTAAAGGAATAAAATATTATAATTTATTCAAAAGAATCATATTTTACAAAATCAAAGTTTGGAAATAAATTAAATAAGTAGATTGAGTTATATGAAAACAAAATAGATCAAGTAAAAATGAAACAAACAATGATACTTAATTGCAACAAGATTTGAATCACTTGACAATATATATGTACTTAAAGAATGAACTCTGCTTAAAGGAAAAGACAAAAGTCTACTTGCATATTACCAAGAGGTATTAAAACAAAAAGCGTGTTTAAAAATATATTTGTTTAAACAAACAAGATACACATACACATACTTCGTTGTGTCATCTCGTGCTGATGTATACACTAGAACTATCTTACTGGAGCTAGAAATATCAGGGGAGCTCAATACCTGAAACCAACAATATATATATATATATATATATATATATATATTGTTATATTGTTATATAGTCACCTGAGCATGATCAAGTGCAAGCTTAACGTAAAAGGATTCTGTAGGAGAAGAATTAACATCAATAGCAAATTATCCAGCCTTTCCAAAAAAATTTACTGTATGCCTTTCCCAGTGATGCACTAATGTGGGCATCTTGAATGCAAAATCTGCAACGTTAATACACTAGTGCTAACGAAAGAAAAGCAGACCTTTCGCGCAACTTCCATTCCAGAAAGGTCATCTGTAGGGTCAATCTCAGTGTTTCCAGCTTCTTAACCTTACCCACAATCTAGCCAAAAGCTTTGTCAAAGCTTTGTTGAAACTGTTGATGTGACTGAGTGTGCCCCAGCATCAACAGGATCCGCAATCAGACCCCTAGTTTCCTAAAACAACATGTCGAGAACAAATAAAAAGACATCTGAACTTCCTTAGCGTTTAGTTTACACCCTCAGCATCCTCACTTAAATTACACTTTAAAAGTTGTAATGAATTCATTTTAATTTGAAAGCATGATTGAGAAATGCACCCCTGATTCTAACCTGATATCATCTCCCACTTTCACAATCTTGTCAACAGTTTCAACAAGACTGAGATGTGCTGATTATGGGCAGCCCAGCCCCAACAGTGCCTTCGTAGAAATAACGTATGTGTGACTTCCGTTGAAGCTCTTTTATTTGTTTATACTGCAACAAACAAACATGTATAACACACAAGTCGAATTCGAATTCTTTTTCGAACATGAATCTAGAAACAGCAAATGGGCTGGATCACTCACAATAAACCAACTGGGGGGTTACATTTTCAATGCTGTCGACAACAACAACAAATGTGAGACTGCTTGAAGTAGTAGAAATACCTGGTCAATGAAATTAGTCTCGAAAATTTTCCCCAATCAGACCAGGACCAATAAGTCCAACTGATAAAGTTACCCTAAAAACATGCAATCAAATAATGGTTCAAGATTAGTTCAAGAATCCAGTTAACGACACAAGCCTCACATCGGTATTTCGCAAACTCAGTAGGATGCCAAGTTTGCCGACGTTCTTGAGACGAGTTTGAAAAGAACGCATTACTGCATTGGGTCCGAATTAGGCAGTGCAGTGATGTATACAACGCCATTAGCAACAGATTCAACGTCTCCAGCAACTATTGACTTAGAGCGATGTATAACTCAAGTTTCATATTTACCTTTCAGTACTGAGAAGAATATTCGAAATAATCACCTTGCGAAGCCCCGCCATGAGGATACCCTACACTCCGTCACCGGCGGCCATCAGTGCGAGTACGCCACAACTTTCGCCAGCGAGCACTTTACCACATTATTCCAGGAACCCTCTGCAGAATGCACCGATGAATGAACCCTCTCGCTCATCGGAGAGAGCAAATTATGGAAAATAAACATATGATTCTAATCCAAGCCAAATTCGTCACTTAGTAATCTATAAGCGAGAATCACCCAAACAATCAAATCACGCATTCTTCTCTAAATTACACCTACATGAGATTCCCTTCGCTTGATAAAAAGAAGGCAGACTGTTGCTTGGTCGAGTGAGAAACACTACAATCTCGATCGATCACCAAAGTAAAGGGAAAACGATAACAATCGGATTCAGCATCGAGTTGGCACCAAATAAATAACGTCCTCGATTGGGACTTTGCAAAATCACTGTGAAGCACGATCCTAGGTGAATGATGCTAACGTAACATTTCGTTCAATGCTACGAGGCGTGATGAGATCCAGGCTGCACCTAGACGTTATCAAATTCAACTTCAAACTCTTAAACAATCCGGGATTTGAACTGTAACTCCCGTGGAACATCTCAACTAACCTACAGCGATTAGCATTGCCGAGATTTCCAGGGTATGGTCAGAGAATTAGTTGATCCTGTCTGGAAGAATGACAATTTCACCACAGGTGATGTTCAAGAGACAAGACTGCAGAATGGTGACCTGTACATCTACCATGTTAGATGGTGCTTCTTTACATCCATTTACGTGGATAGTTCTTCTACACAAAGTCAAAATAGCGTAGAAAATTAATGTTCAGCAATATGGAGGTTCAGAAAATGAACCAAATGTGCACATCTAGTTATCACATACAAATGAAGGGCCGCAAAAACAACGTTTTACTGCACATATTTTTACTAGCTGGTTTCAGACCGTGTGTTAATGAGTTTCAACTCGGAAGTTATTGGATTGGGGGGATTAAATTTATGGAGTGATGTCACTCAACTTGCTCTCTTCCTCTACTCAACACTCGCCGTGGGGTCCTACAAAGGCCCCCAGGCCAGACGGCAAGCGAGGAGCGGAAGAACTATACCCTTTTTAGCTCGAGGAGGTGCGAGGGAAAAAGGGGTAGGTGAATGATTGGAAGACCCCACAGTCATCCATCACAAGGCTTCCATTGGAGCCCTCAACAATCAATCAGCCAGCCGCACTGGCTCCTCCTCCTCCTTCCCTGTCTCTGACAGCTTTGCTTCTTCAACGCTGCTGCTGCTGTTGCTGTATGTTGCTGCTCTCGCTGTAGTTTCTCGGACCAGGCAGCATCTCTACAGCAGATGCAGAGCTGGGTTGTGACCTGGGTGTGCCTCTCGTGGTGCAGGAGATGGGCTCAAGGGGAATGGCTGCTGTAGGATATCTAGGTGAGGGAGGAGGGGGAATAGCAGCAGCAGCCATGGACTGGCGGTGGCGGAAGATAGGAGTGTTGTCGATGCTGATGCTGGTGTGGTGTGGGGGAGTGGAGGGGTTCGATGCTGGCGTGGGGAGTAATAAAGTGATAGGATTGCGCGAGGTGCGATTGGGGACGGGCTCCGTCCTCCAGGCGTTACTGGATTCGCAGTACTCGGAGATGGTGCTGTACTTAGACAAGGCGGATATGTTGGAGGAGCTGGAGCGGGAGGTGCTGCGCCAGAAAGCGATCACGCTTTTCGCGCCGAAAAACAGTCACTTGGAGCAGCTGGATGCAGATTTGGGGAGGTTTTTGATGCGGCCTGGGCATGAGGAGTATCTACGGACGGTTTTGAGGTACCATGTGATTCCAGGGCGGGTTGAGGGTGCGGATTTCCAGAACAGGACGGTGGAGACATTGTCGAAAGGGGATGTCGTAGGGTTGAGGACTTATGGCCTTAAGCGGTACGTTGGACTTTTGCGTGTGTTCTCACCCAACTCCATTGTGCGGAAAGATGGCATTGTGCACGGAGTGGATGGGCTCATGGTCCCGCCCAAGGTCGCATCAGCGTTCGAGGAATGGAAGCGGAATGGGAAATCGGGCGTCAACCCCCACGGTTCCCCTGTTACGCTGAAGCGCTCCAGGAAATCCAGCGCTGGCGCCAAGAGCGCTCCCAAGGCTCGCTACATGTTGGAGCGATCTGCACCAGCAGTGCCAGCGGCACTGATTCACGCTGTAACAGCCCCAGCGCCGCCAGCTACGGCCCCATCCTTGGGTCCATCCCTAGGCCCATCTATAGCACCGGCTCCCGGTCCCGGCACGGCGATGTTCAACTGGGACGACGAGGACGAGATGCTGCAGTTCGTTACTGCGCTCTCGAACTACGGTGGGTACAACGACATGGCAGAGCTTCTAGTGAACGCCACAACCCTGGGAGTGGAGCTAGGGAAGCTGGCGCGAATGGGCTACAAGCTCACCATCCTCGCTCCCAACGACCAGGCGATGCAGCTTCTGACAACTGAGCAGCTGAATCAAGCAATGGAGCCGTTGCTGTACTACCACTTTCTTTCGGAGTATCAAACTGAGGAAAGTATGTACAATGCAGTGAAGCGCTTGGGCAAGCAATCCTACAGCACCCTTCGACACCCCCACAAGGTGGTGGCATCGGAGTCGGACGGGACGGTGAAGTTCGGAGACGGGGACGACGCGGCGCACATCTTCGATCACGACATCTACGTCGACGGTCACATTTCGATCCAGGGAATTAATAGGGTGCTCACTCCGCCTCCCTGAAGGAGGGCACAATCCTGCGCCGTTGTGACTGCAGCGCAACGGCGTCTATTTAGGTCAGTTCTTCTTTTTTATTCAACTTTCATCAAAACCATGTGAAACTGCACCACAATTTTTGGAACTTGGCATTGTACAAATTTTCTCTCACTAGTCCAACCTTGGCATGAGTCCTTGGAAATATAGTGATGCTAAAATAAGGGATGGCCTCTGAAAGCCGTGTTCCCTAATCTGTCGAACTTTGACTCATCGTAAGATGGTCTTGAGTTTGGGTACATCATAAGTTATGCTTGGCAGATCCAAATGCTGTTGGCAATTGTTGAAAACCTGGAATAAGGTTTTTTTTTGTTTGTTGTAGCACGACCTAATTGGATGTACAGTTGCAGGTTGTAGCTGTACACCTTAGTTAGGAAATCTAATTACGAATACATTGGTGCCATGTTCATCACTCCCGGTGTTCTTCCTCCCACCACCAAGTTCTGTATATAAGTCCTATTGTGGTTTGTTATGGTGGATTTTACGGTTTCGACCGAGTCCACCGATCTGACAGTGATCTTTGCGGTAAATTGTGAGATTCGCAGAATATCCTCCAGAAATTTTCTCCGGGGGAGAAGCATGTTCTTATGCACCGTTTGAATACCTTCTACATTCGAAGTACAACTTGTCAAAACCAAGCAACGTGCCCAGCCATGTGCAGCGCCTGCAGCACACCAGGAAGATTAAATCAAGCTGGAGAAGCAACCAAAATCACCTAATCGGTCTCCGGGGATTGAGTCACTTGCTCTTCGAATCACGATCTACCCACAATTTGCAATAAGGACGATACCAACTCCAGCTCCAGCTCTGGAATCGACACATGCTTCGCATAAAATTAGGCCCTCCTTCCATCCAGAGCCTGCGGTGAAGGCTCAGATGCTTGATGGGGACAAATCTACTGCAGAAAAAAATAATTTACTCTAACTCGTGACCTGATTGTTCAATCCGTGTAGTGATTATCTGATAGTCCACTAGCAGCACAAACCAAAGTGAGAGTGCTTGCTTCATATCTAAATTGCGTAATAGCGTTCAGTCAGATCCTTCTCTTGTGTAAACCCAACCCGGCACATTGCCCTAGTGTTATTTATATTCACTTTCATTTTGAACAGAGATCAGGTCCACATGTATGGCCACTCTTCATTGTAGCTACCAAGCTAGAAAGATCTTACAAAACTTATCTCAATGCTTGACACAAGCGTGGTGTGAAATCCTCTTCATCGAGCCCAGCTTCAAGCCCACTTTTGGAAACGTAACCAATATGTGTGTTTTTTGTTCTCCATAGTTGGGATGCACAGTGTGTTTGTGACCCCTGGAAAACCATCACATCGTTCTTTAAAGTGATTGTAGCCACATATTACGACGATGCCATGGACCATGCTCAGATTCTCTCTCTCTCTCTCTCTCTCCAACTATGGAGTATGAATGACGATTTCTGCAATTACCGTGACTTTATCGTGAACAACGTGTGCTCCGACTGTGTGTCAGTTACCGAATAATCCATCACTCTTTTGCTCACGCTTCGCACCTTTTCTCTCAACGTTGTGGAAGTAGTGTTGACAATTGAATGCGTTGCCACCCTGGTCACCGAACACCCTTTCGCTTACTCAAAACATGAGGAATTTTTTTCAGTGTAACCTTGCAAATAACCACTCCAGTGATAAGTGAGTCCATTTTGCTGCAAGATCACGAAGGGTGGGTTGTTTGTATGAATAGACCCTCTACGAAATGAAAATAGAATGTGATTGTTTTTGGTTTTATTTCTTCCTTTGATTGTTTTATTTTTTTTAATTTTATATTTTTATATAATAAAAAATCTTTGTTCTCGATTGAAGTGATGCAAAAACGGAGACAATGTTTACAGTGAAGGTGCTGTGTTGACTCCAGAGTGTTCGGTTGACTCAAGCACTGGATTCTGGGTGGGGTAGCCATGGGATGTACAAAGGTTGCATTATGCAAGCCATTGTGTGTTTTCTTTTTCTTTTCTTTTTGAGGTTGATGGAATCTGAGATCTATTGAAAGAGAGCCAGGTCCAACAAAGGCCACAACCTACTTCTCACCCAAGAACCATGACCAGGGAACCTAAAAATACTTAAATACTTAAAAACATAAAAAAAGAAGAAAAAGAAGAAATAAAGAGAGAGAGAGAGAGAGAGAGGGCCAACCTCATGCATTCCCCTTTTCCTCTCTCAAAGGGGAGTGCTGGCCCATATGATGGCTTATGAACAGACACCCACAATAATAATACACAATCCTAAAGGGTCTACACAATGTAACAACAACAACACACATATATGTAAGGGCATCCTTGAAGAAGCTTCCCAATTAGGGTTAGGTGACCAGCCTCCCTGGTTGGGCTGGGTGGGGGAGGCCCTGCCCTGACAGAGAGAGAGAGAGAGAGAGAGAGAGAAGCCAGTGCTTTGCTATTATTTATATATATATATATATATATATATTGTTTTGGTTTTGTTTCCTTGTCAATCAAGGCGGGCATGTATGTTCTCAAAGGGGGGCATAGAAAGCCAATAATGGGAGGCTATGAGAGGCTTGGGCTTAACTTGGGTCCAATTGTTATTTACAACCATCATGGGTGGGGGTGTATGTCCATGTATGCAAAGCAGTGTTGGTTTGTTTATTTATTTATTTATTTATTTATTATGTCATGACTTTCTGTTTCTCAGATGTATCTGTTGTTTCTGTTGTTTTGTTGTTGTATTTTTGTTGTGATGGATGACTGTCATTGCTCAATAATTCATGAACCTGTGAAATTCAAAGGAAAAGTCTGAAAAGTAAACCTGTGTTGAAAAAGAAATGGCTAAGTCTTAATGAAAATGAAATCTTTGAAGATGTTTGGACTGGTCTTGTTAGATTGGTATGTTTAATTGTATGAAAACACTCTCTGGATAACACAATACACAATCTGTTTATACATCATCATCTTAATTAATGCACACACACACACACACACACACACACATATATATATATATATATATAATGTAACTAAAGAAAAATAAAAAAAGTATCATAAAATGTTATTTATATACTTACAATTGCATAAATTTTATTTATATAAAACTATATAAATAAAAAATCAGATTATATATATATATATATATGGAGTTGTTAAAGTTACACCTCAATGTTGTTAAAGCCACACTTCCCTTGCCATCTCATGATTGATTCCATCCATCTTTGTCTTTATCTCCCATTCATAGTTCCTATTCTCCTTCCTTGTTCCTTGTTTCAAACTCACCTCGTCCATGTTCTTGTTCTTCATTCTTTATATCGATTGCTTGTTGCCTTCTTTGAGTCCAATATTGACGTTTGCAAATGAGATACATGAATACTTTCTCATACCAAGCCCCTTGAAGTTGAGTACGCATTGAATAGTGCTAAAACATAATGGATCAATACAATATTTTAATGCTATATTTGAAGTTAATCTCAAAAATGTAGCATTTCTCTCAATTGCCTCAATTCTTATAAGATTATTAGTATCAAGCTATTATCTATATAGGCATCATTCAACTATATATGTGACTATCTTGGATCTCCTTTTATGGTGACATGGGACATCAAAAGATTAAAATATATACTATTACAATGATTATTCTAATTGATACAAAACTTAAGACAATAATTATGTGCCAAATTCTGCAATGAGATTTGTTACAAGAGCCTTGTTGAAAATTGTTGTTAAGCTGCTTGATCGTGGCATAAAATAACTAGAATCAAGGAAGGTTTTATTTTGTGCCTTAGATCCTTTTTTCATTAGCAAGTAAATGAAATCCAAAAATTAGGATTGATTGACTATTTGAATTTTGATGCTATAAGTTGATGTTGTATTGAGGTGGCTTTTTCACCTAAAAATTGTAAGTCGAACTTTTTTTAAATGCCACAATAGATCTGTCAATGATAGGCTATAAGAATGAATGAATGTTCTTCATATTACATTGAATCAGATTGTATTGTATATCTATGGGCATGGATTTCTTGTAAAGTCCTTGGTCATAGGTTTGACTATGTGCTTACATGCCTCACCTTCATCATATACATGAAATGTGATATTAGTATCAATTCACTAAAATTTTAGAATAAAAAGGAATGAGGGACTAGTACAAAGATGAGGTACATGGAACAATGAAGAAGAATGGAGACATGGAACAAAGAAGGGAAATATGGACAAGAAATGAGGGAAGGAAATATGGACAAATAATGAGATAAGAAAACATGCACAAATAACAAGGAAGGGGAATGGAAATATGGAATAAGAGAAAAGAATGGAGACATGGAATAAGGGAGGAAAAAATAAAAAAAAAGAAAAAAAAAGAACAAAGACAATGAATAGGGGATGGAGATGGGAGATAGATGGAATCAATCATGAAATAGCAAAGGAGGTGTGGTTTTAACAACTTTATATATATTATTTGAATCTTATTTTAACTTTTTAGATTTTTAATTGTAAAAGCTATAATAGATAATTTTTTTACTTTTTGATAGCATTCAACTTTTTTTAATACAAACTTAGTAATAATAAGTACTTTTTTTGTTTGGCATTTAAACATTTGAAAACATGACTTTATTTATGTTTTTTCATTTTTTTATTTTTATTGATCTATATTGATTGGAATTTAAGAATATAACATTTTCATAATTAATTCTAAATATTTATTAGATACTATGAGCTAATTATACTATGTTTTATTACATGCACTAATAAAAATTTATATTTAATCATTTTATTAAAAAAATTAAATAATAGGAAATTTAGGAATTACTAATACATGTACCATTTATGATTTTTGATGTAGCATTGTTTTATCTTTTGTGCCTCATTTGGTAGATACATGCATAAATTATTTTAATTTAAAGATTAACATGCCTCTAATTTAAAAATTATAAGTGGTCAAAATGTCAAATGATAGTAAGATATTTGAAAAAGAAAAAAAAAAAGATATGTAACTAAAGGCAATCAACATACCAAAATATCAAATATATTTTTAATTTATAAGAATGTATAACCTATTAGTAATTGCACAAATGGATAATTACTTAAATATTTATTAGAATAATAAATAAATATAGATGAATTTCTTTTCTACCAAACTTCATTTAATTTTTTTTTAGTATTTTATTCATAAAAAATAGAAATCAAATTTTTAATATTTTTAAAATATTATTTAAAAATAATAAAATATAATATATTTTAAATAATATTATATAACATTCATTTTTATTCTTAAGTCAAAAAATATTTCTTATAAAATTTAATTATAATAATGTAAATTTATAATATTTTATATTATAGAATTATTGAAATTTAAAAATATATATTTATATTTATCTATAATCAGAAATAAATAAATAAAATAAAATTTAGTATAAATTTTGGAAATTATATTGTAAAAACTGATTTAATTATTTATTCATTTATTTTATCTTAATATTTTTTGAAGGTAAAATGTAATTATTTCTCTTTTTCTTTAGTTTTGAATATTATTTTAATTTTTATTTTATGATTAATTTAAAATTTTTTCATTTAAAATTTTAATAAACATCTTTTAAAATTTTAATGCATAATTTATTTTCAATTTTATATAATTTTAATAAGTAGTTTATGACATCTACATATATTATGAATAGAGAACTAAGCTATTCTTTCACTTAGAATAACATTTTTTACACAATAAATTTTAAACTTCTATTCATTTTATTAATATACCATTATCAAATATAATTTGAAGAATTTGAGATTAATAGATTTAAATTAGAATTTAAAATAATAGATAGGAATATTTTTCAAAAAAAATTAATAGTTAAAATTATCAATATGCATTAATAATGTAAAGTTTTTTGCTTTAAAAAATATTCCGAGGCTATATAAATTCTTTAAATACTTTTTTTTTTAATTTTAAAATAACATCTTTATTTATGCTAAGCGGTGAAAGTTATTTATAAAGTTATGGTGATATAAAATTACATGATACTTTAAGGACTTATAATTGTTTCTGATCTTTTGGAGCATATAGACATCTATCAAATTAAAAAAAAAAGACATGTTTTATAAACTTAAATTTATTTAAATTATAAAATATTTTTTATTCCTCAAAAATAAAAATAAAAATTTAATTTTTATTGAAAGAAATTCATAAAAAATAGAAAATAAAATAAAAATTT